CTTCGTTAATCAGATCCAAGGCTGGAGTCAGTGCAGTGTTAGGGTTCTCCTGTACCTCGATAAGATCGTGGACTAAGGCAGGAATCATTTTTCGCATTATCGGTAGTAGTCGGCTGAAGGACCATTGGTTAGCTGCTGTGGCATCAGGAAACTGACTGGCAAACGCTTCGATGTGAAATGGGGGGTCTGGTTCGTCGGGGGCTTTGGCTGCCATGTTTGTCAAATCTGAACCCCGCAGGCCTTACTTATCTCATGCACAACGATTACTAGTATTCCCAAACAATAATCCAAATATCAGAGAAAGTACTGGAGAAAAATGTAGTTAAAACAGGCTGTGCATGAATCTTATTAACCATAAGATCTAGACTATGATTCTGCTTCTAGATCTAGACCGTCGGTGTCTGCTTCTCATCATCATGGTGATGGGCATCATGTCGACTATCTTGGCAACGGCCTTAATCGAGATTCTTGGATTTATGCTAACCATATCTACTGGAAAGAGCTGTTCTAAGGCGGACATTTACGAAAGTGGTGACAGTTACGATAGCAAGACAGGGTGTCCAGCTGCAACGACCAGCGGCAACGCCATCCTTGGCTGGCTCTTGGCACTGCAAAGTCTTATGTGGATTTGTAGTTTGGCTCAGTCAATTACTGCGGGAATATTCGCACACAAAATGTCGGAAAGCAGGGAAATCACACAAGTTCAGCCTTTACAGCCTGGCGCCACTCATCCACCCGGGGAACCGCATCAGTGGGTTCCTTTCGTGGCAGAATAATCAGTGACAACGGCTGGTTGACAAATTCCAGTGAAGGTTAATTTATTGCCGAGTTTATGATAAAATGTTTGATAACATTGAGGCTGCCGATAAAAACACGCGCATGTTCCGGATCTCAATATTATCATATTATGCAAGCGAAGGCGGCTTTAATTACGCACAGCAACGTCATGAAGCGACGCTGCATACTGAAATTTAGTAACTTATTAGAATGCACTACTTTTCAGTTAAAAATATTAGCAATACAGAAATTAAGCATAATAACCAGTCAAAATTACTTACTTATTTATCGAAAACAAGTAAATTTGACTGTTAATAGTGAATTTTGCTTAATTTTTGTGTTGCTAATTTCTTAAGTAGAAAACCGGCAATAAATTATCCTTCATTTTAACCTATCTACAGGGCTGTATTTTAGGGACAGCTGATGGGATGTACAGCTCGTGTTTGTAAGTTGTAAGCGTCAAATATGTGCACAAATTGTTATGGATTTTTGCTTTTTGGCTACGAACTGGAAATGCATGTAACTAATAATTTTATATTTATATTAGTGGATTATATATCGTCCATAAATAAATCTAAATTAGCCTAGCGCACATCCGCTGCATCCTGTTCCGGTTCGTGTTTTTCCCAAGTCTGATCTGTTGGTTAACAAAATTTATTAAAGATGAAAGCACACTTAGATGCCCAATAGTGAAGTTAATAGAATTGTATCAGATAAAATTTGTGTAGCGATTCTGTAGCTTAGGACGTGCACTTACGGAAGTCCAATGTTCAGCAACGTCTTTATTTGTAGAATGTAGGCACGAAACCATAAAACTTAAAATCCGCCAGTCGGCCAACGCCTTAAAAATACTTTAATGTTACCGCTTCCGGACTCCTCTGGGGGCACTGGAGCCCCGGCTGCTGGGCGGCTGGTGCTCTCGGTGATCGGCTGTGTGCGGTGACCGTGGGTCAGCAAAAAGCCGGCCGACCGGGGTCGGCGGAAGAGAGCGACCAGTGCCCTGCGCAACCGAAGGCCCCAAACAAAACCCCAAACAATCCAGTAAAAGGATTGATGCAGCAGTTGGCACGGTTCCACGGATGTATTGGTAGAAATTCCACTGGAAGTGCGTAAAATTCGGCTGTCCTTATCTCGCCAGAGCAGGCCCTTGCGTCGCCGATGCGGAAGGGGTGCGTGCTTGATCCTATCGTGGTACGGCAGCGCAATCTGGTCTTTTCATCGTGAAATTCGCTGTTGTGCAGGCTAGTTAAGCAGACGCTAGCGCACTGTAATCCGGTGCCGTCTCGAATTGGTTCGTCTTTGTGGTTCCCAGGTATAGGTCAGCAAACTCAGCGTTGGCAGTTACTCCGTCCAAGAGTGGAGGTTAGCTGTAGGTGCCAGAGAAGGGAACCGGTCCCGCTTGACGTCAGACATGGCGAAGTTGTCGCTAGAGACCCGCCTTTTTGTCGGTGCAGCTATAGCTGATGGCCTGTCATGCTGACCGAACGGAGTGCCGCCGTCGTAGATGCCCTGCTATGCCAGCAAAACGTAGTTGTAGCCGTTGCTGGAGGCCCCTTTCGTCGGAGAAAGGTGCGGCCCTAGGTGAAAGTCAGCTTTGCCGTCAGAAGTGGTAGAGCCATCGTCGCTGGCTTGATGTTTGCTTCCAGTTGATGGAGCATAATTGTTGGCTTTTTCGCTTCCGTTCGAGGTGGGTGCAGTCGTCGTTGGTATGCCTGCATGCGGTCCGAGGGAAACGCCGCTGATGCTAGGACGCCTAACTTCCGTTTGAGGAAGGTACAGCCGTCGTTAGGAGGCCAGCTTGCCGTCGGAGGAGGGCGCCGCCGTTGCTAGGGGGTCTGCCTCCCGTCCGAGGAAAGTGCAACCGCCACTAGAGGTCTGCTTGCCGTCGGATGTAGGCACGCCGAAGGTGGCGGCCTTGTGTGCCGTCCGAGGAAGGTCCAACCGCCGCTGGGGGTCTGCTTCGCGTCGGATGTAGGCGCACCGAAGGGGGCGGCCTTGTGTGCCGTCCGAGGAAAGTGCAACCGCCGCTGGGGGTCTGTTTGCCGTCGGAGGTAGGCGCAGCCGAAGTTAATGGCCTTGTGTGCCGTCCGAGGAAGGTGCAACCGCCGCTGAGGGTCTGCTTGCCGTAGGAGGTAGGTGCAGCCGAAGTTGGTGGCCTTGTGTGCCGTCCGAGGAAGGTGCAACCGCCGCTGGGGGTCTGTTTGCCGTCGGAGGTAGGCGCAGCCGAAGTTGGTGGCCTTGTGTGCCGTCCGAGGAAGGTGCAACCGCCGCTGGGGGTCTGTTTGCCGTCGGAGGTAGGCGCAGCCGAAGTTGGTGGCCTTGTGTGCCGTCCGAGGAAGGTGCAACCGCCGCCGGTGGCCTGCTTGCCGTCGGAGGAGGGCGCCGCCGTGGTTGGGGGCCTGTGCCGTCCGAGGAAGGTGCAGTTTTCGCAGGTGGCCTGCTTGCCGTCGGAGGAGGGCGCCGCCGTGGTTGGGGGCCTGTGCCGTCCGAGGAAGGTGCAGCCGTCGCCTGTTGCCTGCTTGCCGTCGGAGGAGGGCGCCGCCGTGATTGGGGGCCTGTGCCGTCCGAGGAAGGTGCAGCCGTCGCCTGTGGCCTGCTTGCCGTCGGAGGAGTGCGCCGCCGTGGTTGGGGGCCTGTGTCGTCCGAGGAAGGTGCAGTTTTCGCAGGTGGCCTGCTTGCCGTCGGAGGAGGGCGCCGCCGTGGTTGGGGGCCTGTGCCGTCCGAGGAAGGTGCAGACGTCGCCGGTGGCCTGCTTGCCGTCGGAGGAGGGCGCCGCCGTGGTTGAGGGCCTGTGCCGTCCGAGGAAGGTGCAGCCGTCGCCAGTGGCCTGCTTGCCGTCGGAGGAGGGCGCCGCCGTGGTTGGGGGCCTGTGCCGTCCGAGGAAGGTGCAGCCGCCGCCGGTGGCCTGCTTGCCGTCGGAGGAGGGCGCCGCCGTGGTCGGGGGCCTGTGCCGTCCGAGGAAGGTGCAGCCGTCGCCGGTGGCCTGCTTGCCGTCGGAGGAGGGCGCCGCCGTGGTTGGGGCCTGTGCCGTCCGAGGAAGGTGCAGCCGTCGCCGGTGGCCTGCTTGCCGTCGGAGGAGGGCGCCGCCGTGGTTGGGGGCCTGTGCCGTCCGAGGAAGGTGCATCCGTCGCCGGTGGCCTGCTTGCCGTCGGAGGAGGGCGCCGCCGTGGTTAGGGAGCCTGTGCCGTCCATAGCAGGTTCAGCCATAGGTAAAGACCTGCTTACGGTGCTTAGACGGTTCAGCGCCGTTAGTGGTTCTGCGTCGAACTTCCGTTGGACGTGGCTATTGCGCTGAGTGGTGGTTGATCTTGTCCTCTGTTCGCTGTGCACTGGACTGATGGCTCTCTTTAGGGTCGCTTAATGAGAGTGGCGTTCAAGAACTTCCACGAGCACGAGCTGTCTCCTTAGCTCTGTCGGATAAGGCGCGGATTCAGATTACGCAGATGATAACAGAATCATTCTAGCTAGCGCTGAATGAGCCATCGCACAAATGGCAGCAGGTAGAGACTAGTCAGTTGCGCAGTGATCAGCTAGATAGCCGCGAGCCCGCGACCGCAGATGAACAGCAAAGAAGGCTGGCGTGCGGAACACCTCGAAGTCCAAAATCCAAGGTGTGTTGATCAAGGAAGATCTCGCTTCCAAGGGAAAAACAGAAGAAAAGAACAGAGATCACTCGCGCGCACACGAACTCGAAGGAGCAGACTCAGAAACAAACAGCAATGCAGAAATGCAGAATCAGTGCGAGCGCACGAATAGTGCCAAGCGCAAACAGCATGCCCGTGCAAGACGGCGGCCGCTTTGATCTAAGCGCCACGGCGACGCGCACCGCCACCAACAGACTCACGTAACTTGCTACACATGGGGAGAGGAGAAAGCGGGAGCGCATGTCCTCCAGCTAACATTAACATCAATTAACTCGTTAATTGTCATTTAACATTATGATCATATCTTATTGTTTGATACTGTATGATCATATGGTATCTGTAGCAGCAGCGCATCCAATACGCATACCTATATCGTCAACGTTGGGTTAAAACAGAGAAAGCGCGTGTACATATGTGTCATTCGAAACGAAAAATCTCCAAGTCTGTTGGAAATTTTTTAATCCAACCTAAATAATTTTACAGTACTTAGAGATTTTTGTTGTCTTACGACACTCGTACTATTAAGGTGGCGTTCGGGTGGTATCAGGCTGTCTGAATCGGTAATTGTTTAATTATTAAAACTCCACTATTTTTGGCAAAACCAACAAGAGATTACATAATAAAAGGCAAAAATGAATTTTTGAGATCCAGAAAAATTGCAGTTATTCTCACAAGCATTTTGCCGGTTGAAAATGATGAAATTATCTTATCGTTTTTGTGCGTTAATTATCTCGTCAACCGGAAGCACGCACTATCTATCAGTTTCTTGTTCAGATAACATCGCTTGTCCAGATTCTCGAGCGACGCTTCTTCCCAAATATTCGTTTCCGGGTTATAAACCTCCATGGTTTGTGCCAGATCACCCTCCTCACCAGATGGATCGCTTTGAGTACAACCACCGAAAACGTACAGGCGCCCATCCGAAACAAAAGCTCCGTGCTTCTGTCTTGGTCGCCGCAGGTTGGCGATCGGTTCCAGTTCCAGGCTGGCACTGTCAATTCGTACACAGGTATCCAGAATTTTTCCCGCCACATGCATTCCGCCCGTAATGTACACGTGATTCTCCATAACAGCGCAAGCATAATCCAACCGCTGGTGCTCAGCGGGCATTTCGCGTACGAACTCCCATTCGCCAGTAGAGGCGTTGATTATTATGCATAATGCCGTGTTCAGGATGAAGATGCTTTGTCCGTCGTTAACCACGGCCATAGTCGGAGCATTCCTGCAGAAGACTATCATCATTTCCCTTGCAAAGTTCAGTTTTGGTGGCCTGTAAATTACAGCATTGGATCACGAAACGGTACTCGATTCAGAACAGTAATACACCTCAGGACCAAAAAAGTACTGTAGAACGGCCAAAAATAGTGTTATTGCTTTAGTCGTTGATTTGTATATTAATAATCTAACTCACAGTTCACAGATGTCACTCTCGTTGGCGCCTTCCTGTGTGATTAAAACAGTAAAAGACTGCTCCAAGACGATGTTATCCCCGTCAACGGCCGCTACATTCAAGAGTCTGTGCTGTTCATTCAAATTCGGGGTTTCGAAGGAATAAATCCTGTTCCCAATTGCCATCGGTGTTCGGTACCACGCTTTGACTGCGAAGTTAGCGTTAAGAATGGACCATTTCCCCGTCAGGATATCTATCGCCATGATGTACACAGATTCTTTAGTAAATTTTCCGCACACTTTCACTTGAAAGAATAAACGGCTTCCCATTACGACGTACGAAGAAAGAACATGGCAATCCGAATGCGGGTGTCCCGGAAGTTGAACTTCACGAAGCTTTTTGGCAACTGGGTCGTATAACTGTAATACAGTGAATGTCAGGCGTTCCGAACCTGGATAGTTAACCCCGGTTCCGTACAGCTTATGGATAAATAAAAGCTTTTCATGCTTATTTAACCAGAGATTGTTTATTCTGGAGAGATTATTCCGGCAAATGCAGTCTTGATCATCTTCCGTCCATGGCGTGAACGTATAATTTGGACACAATTCCCATGCGATTTTTATTAAAGCACTTTTAAGGTATGCTGCCGTTAAGCGACGGTTGCTGTCAACAAACAACTCGTGCACTAGAAGTTCACGGAAATTCGACGGTACCCGCTCGTTGACATATGGTGCTGCTCCATTCATCACGTTCATCGCAAACACGTTGTCATTGGTACGTTGCTGAATATGACAGTAATGTGCAACCGAAGAACCTTCCGCTGTTGGAACAACCATATGCAGTACTTGCTTATCAGCACCGTAGCTACAGTTCAACAGCTCGTGAAGGATGCATCCGAAACTCCAGATATCCGTCGCGCGACCCGGCGAAGCGGTCGGCACATCGCCAAATTTCCTCAGCATTTCCGGTGACATGTAGCGAATACTGCCGCGGAGTGTCGGGATATCGTAGGAGCTGGTGACGGTGTGGTGCATCTGGGTGAAATCGTCCAGATCGCCAATTAATACCCGGTCATGGTTTGCATGGCAGTGGCGCAGGATGTTCGCCGGTTTCAAATCACCGTGGATTATCTTGTGCTCGTGGAGGAATTCCAATCCGCTACATATTTGCAAAGCGTAGCAGAGCAATTTCGTTGGACGGAGAAATTCCGTTCCCTGGTGCGCTGTGCGTACTTTACTGAGGAGATTCGCCAAATCGCCGCCTGCGAGGAGACGTTAAAGAAAATAGCACTTTAAAACGTAGGGCAGGCAAACAATGCCAAAATGAAAAATGGGCAAATCGGCTAAGCAGTGTGCGAGTTAAAAATCGGCACTAGTAAACATTTCCGTCTTATATTGTATGCATACCGTTGCAGTACTCCATTAAGAACTCCACAGACGCTCCCCCTGTCGATGTATTGATCGATATTTTGTGGTAGTTGAGCAAATGGCTGTGTCGAATAGTAAGCAGTTTAGTCCACCTATCGCGCAGTCTTCTCCAGCTGTCCGCATTACTGTAGTGATCGGATTCCCGGTACAAATGCGTCACTTTCACCGCAACTGCAGTTGCTCCAATATCACCACCAGATCCCGTAATATTCCCTCGGTAGACAATGCCAAACCTTCCTCTCGCAATGAACGCGGTGCTATCATACTGATACATGCAACTGCTTCCCAATGTATCGCTTTCAGGTGCTTCCATAACGTATAGTATGATTAAACAGGAGCGTGTTTAGCTATTGCGAAATGCCATACGCAGGTAAACGACACTTTGGAGCCGTGTACTTATAATACATTAGATAATGTTTATGATTAATTTTATCAATCTCAAGTTGAGATTCTCAACTGCGCAAGGTACGCGTACCTGTGAAAACATACTCTCAAGTCTAGTCAGCAGATAACCAACTGTGGTACCCTTACAGCCACTGCAGTGCACGTAAGCTCGTAAACTGTTTAATACTGGTTCGTTTGTACTGATCAGCTGCTGTTTGTATGTACCCCGTGTTTCACGTAAAAATACTAGTACATGCACACATGTGACAACTTGCCTTGATACTGAACGGTTCGTGTCGTCGAGGATACAGTAAGTGCGCAAGCGCTTTGAAATTATTAATAGCCTGACAGTGCATGCAGAAATTTACACGCCGGTCAACGTGCAATATTTCACTAGTCGTGCATTATTAAATTTGACTGTTTTTGTCGTCGGCAAACCAAGAGTTGCCGAATACATATTTAACACAACGAATTAGCGTTAAAAACTGGAGAAGATAGAGCCTAAATTTAGAACAGCAAACAGCAGATTAAGAAGAGATTTTTACTATTCGACCGGCTAAAAAATTATCAAGGGTATTTTAAAACCTCACTATTTTTACGTAATAAATTAAATATTACTACTCTGTAAGCGTTGCTGAATTCTGTGAATAAGCGTACATAGCTACTGTTTTTCCAAACTGAAATTAGAAGTACTTCGAAAAGACAAAGTGTTGTCAAACAATTAAAACGTCTTCTGCCTTGTTCCTAAGCTCATTAATGCTTTATTATGTTTCATTAAATTATGTCGTACAGGATCTTACAAACTTGAAAGAAGAGCACCAATCAAAAACAGAACCATTTTTAATTTTAGAGTTATCTAATAAACTGAAAACATGCAGTTTCTATCAAATCCTTGTCCAGAAAACATTGCGTGTCCAGATTCTCGAAAGGGAACTCTGACCATATATTCGATACCGGGTCGTAGACTTCCATTGTTTGTGCCAACTGACTTGACTGTCCAGAAGCACTCGGCACGCAACCACCAAAAACATAGACTCGGTTGTCAAACGCAAACGCACCGTGCTTATGCCGACGGTTCCGTAGGGGGCACATCGTCTGTAATTCGAGGTTTTCAGCATCCAAATTAATGCGTAAACATGTGTCCAGCGTTTCCCCCGACTCACTCGATCCACCAGTAATGTACACGTAGTCACCCAACACAGCTAAAGCAGAATCCACCCGTCGGTGCTCGGGCGGTATAAAGCGCATGTCTTTCCAGTAACCTTTGGTTGCATGAATTTTCAAAAATAGTGGCGTACTAGTACAAATTGTATCTTCTTCGTTAGCCACCACCATTATTGGGGAATTGCTACAGACTTCCTTTACGATTTGATGGCCATAAATAAGTTTGAGTTCCCTGCAATATCAAACGAAAAATAGCTAAGTACTCATAATGGTGCTTTTGTGTGTAGATTATTCTGCAGTATTGTGCTCTTTAGTGTTTCTCAATGACAACAGCGACATTTCTAATCACACAATTTAAAGACCAACAACGTGTTGATAAAGCATTACTCTAGTGAAAATACGAGTACAGAGACTCAACCAGAGCCTTAATTATCATGAAACTCATCTGTAAGGACACCTATTCGGAAACAGGTTGTGCTACACAAATGGAAAGCAACGTTTTCGGTCGTGTTGTATCTGGTACGAGTACGGGTGGTGCAGTCACTGCCACTGCAATGCTCCCGTGCGTGACCGCATCGTCCGTATGTCACCGGTAAAACTAAAAGGAACTACATCGTAATATTAGCGGGCCGAAGGCGATTACTGTCAGTAAATCCGTGGCAGCGCAGCTAACGTAAGCCGAACGCCCGACGGAGCCCGGACGTACATTTACTGTACATACTACGGCACATAGCCATTCTATGAACTGTGAAGATGAATAAAGACTGTTCAAAGACAATATTATCCCCGTCCACCGCTGCTACATTCACAAACCGGCGTTCTTCACTCGGATCCGGAGTTTCAAAATAATAAATCCTGTTCCCGATTACCACCGGTGTGCGGCACCACGCCCTGACTTCAAAGTTCGCATTCAGTGCACACCACGCTCCCTTCTCCAAGTCTACGGCCAGAATTCGCGTTACGTCCTTTCCAGATTTTTCCTTAACTACGACTTGAAATATTAAGCGAACCCCCATTACGACAAACGATGAAAGAATATAACTGTCTGAATGTGGATGAACAGGAAGTTGAATTTGACGCAATGTTTTGGCGAGGGGATTAAACTGTTGCACTGAAGTGGAGGTCACCCATTCCGATTCCGGATAGTTTCCCCCGGATTGTTTTAATTTGTGTACAAACAAAATGTTATTTTTCAGATTCGAAGGGGGTGGGTTTCCATGAGATGAAGTATTCCGGCAAAAGCAGACTGAATTATCATCCAGTTCCCTCCACTGCGTAAAACTCGGATATAATTTCCAAGCGATTTTTAATAATGCATTTTTAACGTCTGACGCCGTAAAGCGACGATTGCTGTTTACAAATAGTTTCTTTTCCAAAAACTCCCGGAATATGGAAGGTACCAATTCGCTGATGAATGGAGCATAGCCGTTAAGCACGGTCATGACGAATACGTTATCGTTGATGTTTTTCAGCATATGAAAATAATGCGGAATCAGGGTGTTTTCGGGTGACAGGAGAGTCGCGTGCAGCACTCGCTTATCCACACCGTAACCGCAATTCAGCAGCTCGTGAAGGATGCACCCGAAACTCCAAATGTCCGTTACCCGACCCGGGGACGCGGTCGGCATACCGCCGAATTTTTTCAACATTTCCGGTGACAAGTAGCGAATACTGCCGCGGAGCGTTGGAATATCGTAGGAGCTGGTGACAGAGTGGTGCATCTGGGTAAAGTCATCCAAATCGCCAATTAATATCCGATCATGACCGTCAGCAGTGCAGTGACGTAGGACGTTTGCCGGTTTTAAGTCGCCATGGATAATTTGGTGATTGTGCAAAAACTCCAGTCCTTCGCTTATTTGCAGAGCATAGCAGAGGATTTTATTAGGCCTGAAAAATTCGATTCCTTCGTGCGAGTCACGAACGCTGTTCAGAAGACTCGCCAAGTCGCCGCCTGTAGTAAACGTTAGAACAAGTTGTTATAACACTGCTTAGGGTAATCGTATTTCGCAAATCGACTAACGCGAAATCAAGTGATGAAACTGCTCGATATGTTTACCGTTACAGTATTCCATTAAAAATTCCACGGACGCTCCGCCAGTTGATGTACTGATTGTCACTTTGTGGTACTTGATCAAATGAATATTTCGAATACCAAGCAGTGTTGTCCATCTGTCGCGCAGCCTTCTCCAGCTGTCGACATCATCGTAATGCTCGGATTCTCTGTATAAATGGGTAACTTTTACGGCTACCTTCGTTTCTCCAACATAATCACCACCCTTTGTAATAGTTCCTTCGTAAACAATACCGAACCGTCCTCTCGCAAGGAAAGCGTTGTTATTATAATGATACTCGCAACTGCTTCCCAGTGCATCGTTTTTGCGAAAATTCAGCACCTCCATGATGCAGTGACCAGTTAATGATACAATAACTGTATCATTAGGTTATAGTATACTGCACTAATTTCTATCGTTAACGTAACCTGCTGTGAACCATTAGTCATAATACAATTTATACATGTACCTGTAGTCAGGCGTACCGATACTATATCCGCCTGTGCTACCGTAGGCGCCTTGGACGCGTTGAGTTACTAAACGTAATGTAAATATCCTAATAAAATCGCAATCATAATGTAAATAATATAAATAATGCAAATAATAGCAAACCTCATCGTCAGATAAACTTTTATTGCAACTGGGTGTGGATCTGCAATAACGTAAGATAAAGTAATATCGGTATGAGAGGTATCTGAAAACATAGAGCTGCGATTAGAAAGTGTATTCAGTCCAGTTTAACCCGATAGCGGCATTGGTTTACCACGTTTTTCAGTGACTTTACTATGTAGTGTGATAATTTTACGGTCAAAAGCCGGTTTAGATTATGTGCAGGCGGCATCGCATTTCATGCTCGTTTACTTAGTATGTATTATATGCTTCTCCAAACTGACTCAATGCTACCGACGGTCAGCTCTTATTGTTTGTCCCAATGTTGGACCACGTCCAAGTACATACATTACCTCCACAATTCCTGATAATTTATAACTCAACTCAATATCACCAATAATTTTATATTCCTCTCTTGTACAGAGTAAACTGCAGAACCGATGCAGATATTCAGGTGCAGTCTGCAAATATACACTGGACAATAAAAATTTAGGATTTCCAAAATCTAGGAACGTACACTGGTACAGAGTACAGCAGTGCGCAATTGATGAAAATTTATACATGAAATAATTTCGACCTTTGTCGCAAACGGCGCAAACTACAGATAGCTCCAACCCAACGCCATCTTCCACAGAGAAACCAGATACGATAAAGGCCCAACGTAAAACAACAACAACTATAACTGGTGCACTCAGATCTCCTTTTCATCCCTTACATTCTGATTTGAACTCCTCCTCCCCCGCTTTCGCACTGTTTCCCATAAAGTCGTGCTTGATCGAGTAGACAACTTCCGGTTGACTATTCGACATTTTTTAACCCACTCTGTTAAGTTTTCGCAGAGACGGAGCAAAAATCAATCACGAGATATTTTATTACCGTTAGATATAATTATAATTAACATTTACTTTTAATTGTTTTAATTATTGTTATACTTATTTATTATAATTAACGTTTGGTATTTTCTTTGAGATATGAGGAAAAATCTGTGAACGATCGAAAAGAATGAGATCAGTTATTTGTCGGGAAAAAATTAAAATAACAACAAAAACCGAAGTGGAATAAATCTTGAAAACTTCCACGGACTTGCAGCTAGATTGCACTTTGAGAAACGAAAATATTAATTTAACAACGCCATCACACTGCGATACTCGTACACCGGAACAACAAATGACGGCGCCTGCTTACATAAAAAATTCTTTGCAAAATTCAAATTATAACAGGAAAATACGGCATATTTGCTAAATTTTTACATGTAATGCATGCTGACTGTACAGCACGTTCAGTACATACTCTACTTATCGTTAGTGATCCTTGAGTATTAGCCTGTTTATTAGCTTACTCTAATATTGATTGGTGCACAAATAATATAACTGACGTGTTAACTGCTAACTACATCCCGCACTGCATGTTATTTATGTACAGTAATTTGTTTGTTTTAATAAAACCCGGTACATTTATTTTTGTATTGGGCTAAAGTTTTTGCGGTTTTTACGTCTTCTTCCTTCATCCAAACTGAAGTCTAGCCACAAAATAAACAACTCAGCTATTTTCCGACTTTTATTTTAAAAATATTTCCCAGCCATTGCACACGTGCATCGAAAGGAATCGCTGGCTGCATAGAACCAGCTGTTTTACTCTACAGATATAAGTTCCTTTTTTCCCGTGCCATCGAATGAATAGCCAGGGTCCATTATCATCCCGAAAACGCTGAAAAACTTGAACTCATTATAAGCAAATCTTTGTCATACGCAGTTGCTGACCATGGACCACACGGTCTACACCGTCAGATAGCGTAAAGCTACTGATGGTTTATGTGGTGAATGGCCTTTACTGACTAACAACTACAGACACGACGCTGACCCAATCGTTCTGCTAATGTTGACCTTTATGTAAACTTATTCAAGTTAGCACTGCAACAACATCAAGGCTAAGAAGACATTCGGGAACCCTTTTCCAAGACCAGATATTTCGGAGCTGCTAGCCATGCACGATGACATTAATTAATTCACAAGAAGTTCTTCGCCCTCAAACACTCAACAAAGTGTCTCATCCAAGAATATGAAAGATCAGAGAACGCCTTCAACTCAAAGGCACTTACAGGCAAACCATGAGACAGCCTTTTATTGATTGTTGTATGAAAGATCAAAGTATACTTAACACCAGACCTGGGCAGTTAATTTTAACTATTTAACTTAACGCGAGTTATTTTCGAGTTATTGAGTTATAACTTAACTCTTTAGCGTAACTTGCTCAGAAGAAAACTTAACTTTAACTTAACTCTCATACAAATACTATGTATTGTCTATGGTACCGTAACTCGCGGTTTAACTCGAAACTCGGTTTTCCTGCATAAATAACTTAACTCTTAACGTAACTCGCACGTTCCTGTAACTCCTAACTCTAACTTTGGGTCAAATTTCTATAACTGCCCAGGTCTGCTTAACACATTATTAATTGGCTGATACTTTCTGGCCACTTCCTTCCGTTGCAAACCAAGTCACAGTATCACTGCATCCATACAAACTGTACTTCAACCAGTCGTACACTGACAACACACAGACTATCAGAACGCAGCTTCCAATTGCAGCTGTTTATGCCCAGCACTTGACACTGAGTACCTATGTACTGCTAAAAAAATAAAAATTTGACACATGTACAGGAACTGCTTACGCACAGCGTGCAGCTGGAGAGCGCAGATAATCCGTATATAACCAGATAACCGTGGGATATTAGTAATTTTGATGCAGGATACGCGTGCGGCGTGAGTATCTTTAAATAGTGACATCAGATAGACGACTGCAGTTCACGGTAAAGAAAAATGTCCGCTTCCTGTGTGGCCGGTCGCGGTAGAACCCATGTCGATACCGTCTCTGGGGAGCAGTGCAGAAAGTCATGCTTCATCAGATCCTTGGTTACCCAGCGGTCCTTTGCATTACGGCTGAGACACTTGCTGAGGAAGTCTTGTATCTCGGCCTGCAGCAGTGGAGAAACAGTCGGCACACCTCCATGCCCAACAAACATCATGACTGGCAAATCCTCTGTTAGCAGATCGCCGTCTTTCTGGTAGAATTCCGGCCAGCCCCCGTTAATTATCTCCAGCACGACACAACCTAAGCTCCAAATATCGCCTCGCATAACCAGCTCACTGGACTTGCCCAGGGTCTCACCGCGACGGGCGACTCACCGCGGATCCTCTCCGGCGGTACAAACACCAGTGTTCCCCGTTCACGCCTCTCTTCGCCGCGCCTATCCAGTGCATCGAAGATCCACCCCATGCCGGTGATTTTGATATGAGGAGCGCCCCAGGCGTCGACGCATATCATTATGTTAGCGCCCCGGAAGTCGCGATGAGCATAGCGTTGCGCGTGTAGATATTCCAGACCGGCAACTATTTGGCCAACTGTGTGCTGCAGCTGCAGAGCTGTAATAGTGTTTGTAGTCACGAAATCATGCAAATTTTCACCTGCAATGAAAAAACAAATATACAATATATCTCAAACTAATTCCCGTAATCAGGCAAACTGCTTTGCAAAGGCATTCTTCATAGACGAGCTTAACTCGCTTGAGCGGGAGGGGCATCGAGGAACCGAAGACCCAAAAGACGGTTAAAATAATCTGCTGTAAAAATTGCTTAAAACTATCAAAAGTTATGTAAGCTGAGTCAATTTGCGTCTAAAGCAAGGCGCCAACCTAAAACGTAACCGTTGCAATTTTTCTCGCCATGCCAATGACCCATTTCGCTGCAAAAACTGCTAAAAATCAAATAATTAAAAAAAACAGCTGAAATAATTCAAATTTCTGCAGCGAAATTTAAAGGGCAAGACATGTAGAGTTGTAACATATGAGGAGTTACAGAAAAAGTAAACGAAACCAGTGCACGTTGTTAACAACTTAACAGTAAAAAGTACTTCATAATATAAAAGTTAGTAGTTTGTGATCTGTTTTTTTTCATAATTTTCCGAGCGTTGCCCGCACTGCTCGAAGGTTAGGTTGCACAACTTCAAAGATTACGGGTTGGTTACGACACTAAACGACTAACCGTTGAGATTTCCATTTGTACCCATTTAAAAATTCCACAATATTTCACGACATTAGTCAGTTACTGGGACTAACAGCCGAAACTGATATTTAACAGTCTCGAACAGACTTGGTCGGCAGACTTTGGTGAATTTTACTTTGGTTTATTGTTTAACAAATATTCAGATAATTTACATGTTACTGATGTTAGGTACCTTCGCAGAACTCGGTGATGACTTCATAAAATCGAGGCTCATTATCAGCATATCTGTCGTGTTGAGATTCCTGATGATGGATCTGACGTAGCAGATTTCGATGATTCAAGTTGGCAATAAAATCAAAATTCGCTTTTAAACGCTGAATTTGGCAGTCACGCTCTCGTTTCAGGACATCTAGCGGAATATGCTTAACGGCAACGCACTCACTGCTTTCCGTTAAAACATCTTTATAAATTGATCCATGGACACCGTCAAAAATTTGGGAGAGAAGCTGAATTTCTTTTCCAGGCTCCGTATAGGCCATCATATTTGTATTTCGCTGTATACCTTACTTCCGATAAAAGTAACAATGCGATAAACGTTCAACCATTTCCTCTATGGTTCAACATTAAAACCTTTTCATGAAAATAGGTATAGAAGTATCTGTATTAAGCAAATATTATTATGAATCATGTAACGCATACCCCTATACGAGCATAATATGATAAGGATAATATTATTATCATAACGCTCGCATGCTGTAGTGAGTGTATACACTGTACAGTAGTCCTACGGGGGTAGAACAGTCCCCGTCTGTTGCCGCTGCGCATGCTTGACGTGCTGGCTTCCCGGCCCACCCTGGCTGCTTCATCGACTGCGCCAAAGCATGGACACTGCAGTGCCATGCCTGAGGGTCCTACCGTGCTGGGCCACTTCCACATTACTATATAGACAACTTGAAAAGTCTTTCTTGTAGTCAAAGAAGAGCTTTATTTTCTTTTTCTTCTGTTAGTCTTGTGTACAAGTTTGTATCAAAACACGGATTATCTCGTAATTAATTTTAGAAAATTTTTTGTCACGTGGAACAACGCAGTGAACACCGTGACTTTGGTGTCCGATATGTGAAGCCATAGTATGAAAATGACCGGCATGCAAAATATAAATATTAAAGCTGATGAACGTTGTCTAAGCAGTTCACCATATGCGACTGACTACTTTACCTGTTCTGACCAGCTGTCATGATCGTAGCATGACTAGACACATTATCGGAAGCTGACCATCCTATTGCTAAACCTGATTTTAGTTTTGTTTCTTCTTCCGTTCGTACGGGACGACGTCTAATAAATTAGGCCTGCGGTCTGGCCGCACAGTAAACCGGTGTCTCTCCCGCTTCTGGTAATCGTAATCATAGCTGATTCGTGACCTTGCATCCTTTTCCAACTTGTACAGTCGTAAGCTCCCTCGAAGCGCTGAGTAAGCAGTTCGAGTTGAGTGCTTTGAAAGCATCGTTTCAATATTTATGCTTCAGTTTAGTTTCACCAGAATATCGTATTCAGTTCTTGTACAGAGTACGCTGCGGCCCGGTGCAACTACTCCGACTCAACAAAGCGTCAGCTAATAACATTTCAGATTCTCAACATCAACGGAGCCCGCACATACTCTGTACTGTATCAGTCCATAATAATAATAAAAATTTATACCGTAAGCATAAACAATTATAACGTCACACAGTGCGCAAACTCTTGACCTTTCCAACAATCCGCAACCCCCACCATCCCTCCGCAGTGCAACACAATAAATCTCCCCTTGAAAGCATAAAATTACACAACAACTACAACGTGTGCACCATTCAGATCCCGTTCACATCCTGATTCCCTGTTTAAACTCCTCCTCCACCGCTTTGGCAATGGTATTCAGCTGGATATTGGAGGTGCCCTCGTAGATGGTGCCGATCTTGCAGTCGCGGTAGTACTTCTCCACGGGGTACTCCTTGGAGTAGCCCACCCCGCCCATCCACTCGATGCACTTGGAGGTGGTGGCCGTGGCCACCTGGCTGGCGTACAGCTTGGCCATGGCCGCCTCCTTGATGTACGGCATGCCCTGCTCCCGCAGACGCGCCGCGTTGTAGATTAGCAGTTTAGCCGCTTCGATCTCCACGGCGATCTGCGCCATCTGGTGCTGCATGGCCTGGAATTGGTATAAGGGGCGGTTGAATTGCCGGCGTTCCTGCACGTAGGCCAGGGTGGATTCGTAGCAGCCTTGCGCCAGTCCCAACATCTATTGAGAATATAAATTATATTGTCTTTTTTTATTTTTTTAAAATTATTTTGTCATCTTTCGTTTTTTACATCATTTTTACCGTTATTTATATCATGTGCATCGTGCATACGCGTTCCAATAATAATTATTTTATATTTTATAATCGAACAATTAACATTCACATTTGTTCTCTGAAGCATGTTAACGATATTAATTTCTTTCTTTGTGAAACATAAACAACTTCAACTTACAGACACTCGTAATTTATTTATCAAAAAATATCTGTACAAAGAAGAATTTTAGAAAATAAAACTAATACGATACTCATGGAGAAAATTAAAAGAAATAAACTGCACAGCAAAAACGCTCATGGAAAAAGAATCATTATTTTGGCGTTGTTCCCATTTTCCCACTCACTATTATAAAGAAAAAGTATCATAAACAACAATGAAAACTTGCACTCGCAACTGGACAGGCACCTCGGATGTTGACAACACAATCGGTGGACAGAAATTATCCTTTACACTACGATATTGATATATGGTAAGAACTAAGAGGTGACGGTGTCGGCGTACTGTATGATGTTGCAGAAACCAAAAATTTCGTAAGCCAATACATTTTCGGATCGCCAGTAAATTTACAAGCCTAGAACAATTATGAATACTTATTTATTTCTACAGTAGCCAGAAGTACTAAAAATCTCAGAGCGGCATCCCTGAACCGTAAAATAAACACGAGAAAACCCGACAATAATTGGTATTTTCTTGTAAAATAAAATAAATAAAATCCCCCCACCTGACTGCCGATGCCGATGCGGCCCTCGTTCAGCACCTGGATGGCATACTTGTAGCCGCGTCCCACTTCGCCCAGGACGTTGGCGGCTGGCACGCGCACCTGGTCCAGATGCACCGGACAGGTACTGCTGGCACGGATGCCTACAATTTTGCAATACAGAATTTGGAGGCAAATTATTTTCGCCGCTTGACAAGCATTTTAAGGCAAATCAACATGCAGCGCAAGCAATGTATTCTTAGGCCTACGGTATATTTTGTTCTAATGTTAATAAAACGCCACCCTCAGTTCTCACTTTGTAGTTTGTACGACAGTGTAGTAAAAATACTTCCTGATTATTTTATTACAGTGCTGCGGTTAGTAAAGAGGCTTATCATTAAACCTTTTTCACCATATTTGTTTACTACCATATTTGTACGGGAAAATGTGCCGGCTTTGTTTTTATAATCGCTGCATACATTTTTACTGTAATAATCGGTAATATTATATTCAAATTATCGAAAAATATTGGTTTTTGTATGTCGTGCAAGCGACCTACGAGTGCATATCTGTAGCTACTTATCGAAATAGCAGTTAATTATTTTATTAAAAATTGATAAACTCTTCTGTTAAATTGCCTTACAAACTGCAGAGTTACGATTACGATCATACATGGTATCATATTATGAAGCCTATCGCATATTCTTTTACTGTTAGGCGCGTTTTACAGCAAAAGCTTAAGTATAATTATGGAGAAAGTAGCCAGATGAACGGGTACAGCGTACAGTTACAGGAAATTTGTTGCAACCATACCGAGTTTATCCTCTTTTTTCCCGATGGTCAATCCCGGCGTATCGCGATCCACAATGAAACAGGTGATGCCTTTGTAGCCCTACACAACGAACAAACTGTCAGCATCAAAATACTGCAAAATCAAGCTAATTTTCTCCAAAAACAAATCCAACAAATACTAAGATACGAAAGCTGTTTTGTCATTCAGCTTGAAAACAAGAAATTATGAACAGGCAAAGTTTTGGAATTTTCGTACAGGTTTCAAAAATATATGCAAAATGATATCTGTTACTCGATAACTTTCATTTCCAAGCTTTAAATAAAATCAGTAATGATAAACAAATCAGATAAACTATAAAATATTAAGTACCATCAGACGATGTCTGAAATTAACAGAAGAACGATGAAAAAAAGGGCGGTAATCAAATTGGTTAACCAAAAAAGATGTAAAATTTTCAAGAAATCTCGGCACAAAATATGCTGTTATCTCTGCACCACTACGTACGTCGGTTGGGCGAGCATTGGCAAAAACGAGAAAAACACCTGCAAAACAACCCATGCCGATTCAACACAAAATAAATTCGAAATCCCAAAAACTTAATAATGAAGTAACGTATTTTTCGCACCGGCATGTTCTGCATTGGTGATCCACATTTTCGATCCCGTCAACACGTAATCGCCGTCCATTTTGACGGCCTGCGTCTTCAGGGCAAAAGCGTCCGAGCCGGATTCCGGCTCCGACAAACAGAAACTACCCACCTGAAATTTATTAATTATTATTCACATTAACACATTTTGCCGGCCTGCAAAGCAAGCGCTCATTACGCTGATATTTCAACGCAAACGATTCTTTAATTAGTTTTATATCGCTAATTATTAAAATTTCGATAGCAAAGGCATATTTCCGGACTTCAGGGGGAGTATTTTTGGATAATAATCATAATAATTTTAAAATTAATACAGTACGACAACGTAAATTGTACACAAATCGAGCTGAACTTCGTAAAATCCAAGAGTAATTAAATAGTAACAAAGCCCATTATTATTCCATTACTAATTTTGATTATTACAAATTACTGATTAAATTGAACTATCTAATCTTACCCGTTAAAATACGCAAATTTTAACAAAACTGCACTATACATTATTTACTTATAAACATTTACGCAGACATTTTTCCTGAGGATTAAAATCGTAAAATAAAAAAACAGGTACTAGTACAAGTAAAAATTTCAACAAATTCCAAAAGAAATTTTTTTCTAATTGTTAAAAAAAAAAGCGGAAGTAATATAGATAAAAATATTAGCAGTACAGAATAGTAAAAAAACCACCCGAAAATCGTTCATACCATATTGGTGGCTAGACGCGGCAGGTATTTCTCCTTCTGCTGCCGATTTCCGTGGATGCGGAAAAGCGTGTTCATCAGGGTGTTCTGCACATCGCAGAAGACACTGACGGACGGATCGACGCGGGCCAGTTCCTGGATGACCAGATTGCTGACCATGAAGGTGGAGCCGGTGCCGCCGAATTCCGGCTCAATCTCGATGCCCATCAGACCCAGCTGGAACAGCCCGTCGATAATCTCCCGCTTCATCGCCGACTTCTCGTCCATCTCCCGCACGAACGGCCGCACTTTCTCCTCGGCGAACTTCCGCACTGCAACAAGATGATTAATAACCAAAAGCGACAAAAAAACAACTGTCTTGGTACGATACAATGTAGTACAATTCAGAATATCATATGCTAATTGATGACAACTTGAAGACTCGTGTCAGGGACTTACGAAAACATCAAATAAAATAAGCAAAATTTATCGTACACAATTCATGACGTGATCTTACATTCGAACTACGGATGTGAAGAGTTCTTCTAATAAAGTTAATCTGATAAAAAAATCTATTCTAACCAGCTGATAGGGCATTTTCTAATTTAGAGCTGAAGTAAGGCCAACAGTAGAAGCCCCAAACTGAGCCAGTGTACTACGTTATACCACACACGTTACTCGTACACCATTCATACAGCGGCAGGTAGGTACTGTACTCGTACACAAATTCTGACAAACACCAACAGGAAATTCACATACAGACACATTATAATACGTACGACACAGATCGGAATATGGGCTTTGTAATTAGTTAATTACTACATTTGATTTCCTATTTTTTTTACACATATTATTACAGATAGCCAAGATAGGAAACCATAAACTGTTAGAAAAAGCAGCTTTAGTCAGCTTCATTGGAAAACCTTACTTAATTTAAAGACACACAAAGTAAAAAATTATGTATTACTTATAGAACAAGCAACGTTCAGTTTTTTTGAAAAAACAACATAGTAAAATTCATTTTTAACTTTTAACTATTGCATCAACATTCAACAACAATTTTCTTCAATTCCAGCCTAAACATCGTACACTTATTATTAAATCACAAATTAATAAAGATTCCATTGTGGCACCACGTTAATGAAAGTATAATTAAATTTTTATTTATATTCAGAAGATGCAGTATTATTTGCTATTTATTCTTACCAAGAGAAATAAAACCATTTATCAATTCATGTCGTTCATTTATTGACGAGTATAACAACTAACGGCATGAAAAATATTATTTCTCTCGTTATTGCAGGCTCTCTCCTTTGCAACGATTATCAGACGACTTTTTCAGTATTTCCCCACCTCTTACCTATGTTCTTCATCTGCTCCTCCTCTTCCGTCAGCACCGACAACGGCCAGCGCGTCTCGTGCTGATGCTGCGCCCGCGGCTCCCCCCGCTCACTGCCCCAGTCCCCGTGGGGCGCCATGCCCGCCTTAACGTGTCCAGGGGTTAGGAAGTCATCGCCCAAGCGTTTCTCCTTCGTCACTCCGAAATCCCCACCGGATTTCTCTTGGCGCTGCGTCTGGGTCGCGGGGAAGGCCGTGTGCAGAGCGCGTGCAGGGGTACCCAGAACCGCGCAAGGGGGCTTGCAGAAAGAGGCCAGCTGCACGGGGAGACGCAGGAGTTTGCTGGAATTCATCATTGCAGAGTAAAAATGAACCAATGAGGATTAGTACAGTGGAGACTGGAGGAGATAATGCGACTGAGACGGGAAATAATCCAACAGACAGTAGGTGACAGATTCGTTGCCCGTTGGCACTGTTTAAAGAGGTTCGAGTTTCGACACTACGGTTTTCGACGAGCTGCTTGCTGCTGCTGCTGAAGGTCGATCAAAAAGAGCCCAGAAATATTACACGGCGAATTTATGATGTTGCATCAAACTTGCACGTCACCTGTACAGGCTGTACGGCCGGACACGCACCAAAAAAACCGTCAAAACATGTTCTGACGTCTTTTCTATCAGCTGATCGGAAAATTAATTTTGAAAAATCAATTCTGCAAACTGCAGTGCATCACTGCATAGTGGTGAGTCCCACTGGTGAGACTGTGATGGGAGTTACACACAACTGGAATTATCGAGCAGTGCACTGGAATTGCAGATGGGGATTCCATTTCGTCGTTTCCGGTGGAATGCACAAAGCAGTGTTCAGTAAGCTGCTGTATGCATTTGGCCACTTGGCGATTTGACCGGTTAGCTTTTTTTTCTGGATTTAAGGAGTTAGCGCTTACTTTTTTCGGTTGGTCCAGCTCAGAGGTTAGCCGATTTTATTCACTTTCCATTGTCCAACTGGATATATACCAAATTCATTAGATGCATTAAAAAAAAATCTGTATCATTAAAATTATACGCATACAACTGTATACGTCAGTATAATTATCATGTACATGTATACCGTACACGGTACATACTCTGTACATCGATGATATACGCTATGATTCTCGACTCCTTCAGGGTAAAACCGTAAAAGTATAAATAGATTTCAACTGTTATTATAAAAACAGATTCTTTAATGTGCATATTACTGTATTTATAAATAATTTAATAATTTCCAGAACCCGAACCGGTCATACTTTAAGCGCATGCAGTTGGCTGCAATTTCAACGGCTCTTTGCTGTATTTTCGTTTAATCAATTTGATACATAAATACGCGCAATGCATAAACAAGGTGAATAGGGTACCCTATTCACTTTGGCGTAAATACTTAATGATATTATGCACGTGTCTTATAACATTTTGATTGCTGCGTTCACTGATACACACAAACATGCACACGCACGGAATAATTATATGCGCCGTAAAAATTTAAAAATTGTGATTGTTGTGCATGCTCACGTTTCGTACAGAAATGCAAGTTCATCGCTAGCCGCAGCTCGCAATTAAGCACAATCGAGAAACTGCATAATTGTGCGCATGTGCAGAGTACAATATTAGGCATTTTACGAAGTACAATAATAATTGCGTATATACAGCCCTGCTACACCAAGTTCGGACACTTTTGTAAATAAATTATAAAATATTCGGTTTTGCCGTCTTGTTTCACTTTTTCGACTTTTCTAGTACAACTTTTTATCGCAAATCTAGCAGTATCAAATTCGGATTGTTTTGATCTGCCACTGCCAGTAAGGAGAAAAGGTCAAATTAAAGGGATGGGGTAAGGGTCATTATCGGATTGATTATATCGGCAACTCCCGTAAAATCCCCACTCAACAGTTTCGTGCGAATGTTTTTAAAATCTTTTCAGGGACCGACAAGGTATCTGGCACGGGTTAACAAAAGCGTCTTACGTGATTAGTGCGCTAGGTGAGCTCGAACTCGAAGGATGATCTGTCACCCATAGACTTGTATGTTAAAAGGTACCTGCCGAAGAATGGGGTTGCCTAGTGCGCTGATCGCTTTTGGAAAGATGTTAGTGCTTAAAAAAATGTTAGAAAGGGACCATTAGCAAATCGCAATACCACTTGGAAGTTCCCAATTTTCCAGAATTTTTAAAGAATTATTGATTGAACACGATGATTTTTTCGTAAGCAGTGCGTTTTTTTAAGAAACAGTGAGAGTAAAACTTTTGCTCGCGTTCCCGACATGGTAGCTTCTTGCACAGAAACATAATTTAGAAAGTTGCTATAGATAATAATCTATCATAAAAAAATTACATTAAAGGTTTAAACGTCAACGGTCGTAGATGAGAAATATTTGTTACTGTCCGAACTTGGCCTAGCAGGGCTGTATTAGGCATTTACGAATTGGCGAATTAGTAATAGTTGTGTATACAGATGCAGGCGTTTTACGAAGTAATAATTGCGTATTTTGTACTATGCTTCATGGAGATAGGTTTTTTTCTAAAAACAATAAGCAAGCTGCTAAGAAAATACTAATTTCGTACACAGAAGTACAGTATACTCGGGTATCTGCTGGATAGTGATTGTTAACTGTAAATACAGGCGTCGTTTAACGAAACAAAGCTTTGTTATATTAGAAACCATTTATAAGCACGCTAAAATATTCAGCAGTGTAATTTAACTTTAAATGCTGCATTTGGAATTTATTATCGCTTTTCTTCCAGCTCCTTTTACAGTAGTAATCTCGGTTCCGAAATTTTCGCATACTTTTACCGGTCTGGATTTATGTAATTCCTTTATCCGGATATCCTGCCAGGTAACTAAAATTAGGTCAAGTTAACTAGAAGCCGTATACTTCTACATCATCAGTTTTGTAATAACATTATGCGAGTGCATTAAGCAATAACCGCATGATAATAACCGTGTATCCACAATGGCGATCTGTGGACATTGTACTTCCGACATTGTAAACTCACTACAAATTACATTTTCCAACTGCAGTATAGTACAATTCACGAAGTCGATGTGTAGCAAAGAATCGGCGCTGTCCACGGCGTGCCAGCGTTCTGTTCTCCCATTGGCTGGACACTGTGCAAAGGTCAGCCGGCAACCGTGTAAAATTGGCGATCGCGACCGGTGATTACATGAACCACAGTGTGATGAAAACACGGCCAAGGCGAAGTCCACACACCCGCCACATAAAACAGGTTGCTGTTGAACGTGTACGGATCTGTGCAGTCTACGAAGAAAATATTTTTACGGACTAGAAAGTTGTGCTGGATTTAAACGCTTAAATTACCTCACTGTAGCATTTGATTTTGCCCGTGAACGTGTGAAAGGTCACAAAAGCATACTGCTTTTTGCCGTTTATTCCTTGATTCCGCTTTAATTCAATGTAAGTCCATTTTTATTGTCGTTGACTTTCTCAAACCAGATTCGATCGGATTACGTGTATTATTTTACTGCCATTTATATTCCACAGAAAATAATATAATTTCGTAAATAATACAGTTATTTTGTACAGGTATGCATACGCGAGCGTGAAATATTTTCTTTAACATTTTTTTCTGCGGAGGCATATTATTACTATTAAACTGTATGAAAGTTAAGTAATCAGTCGTAGGTAGTTCGCAGTAACTATTCCACTGTTTTACTTTGCAGGTATTCGCTGTATTTTTGCCTTGGATTTCCTTACTGATTTATTCATGGGTTTATACATTTCCTCCTCTCTTCTGCCTCCCTGGATTTCGGCATTTTGCTGGTTGCTGCATCTTGATAGTTTGGAACGCGAAGTTTGCTGGGCTTTCTTGTTTGGTGTCCATGTTTACTCTACTGTCTATGCCATGTAAGTAAATAATTTCTGCGGATCGATACTTTACAAAATTATTTGTACATTGCATTAACGAAGCTATTTGTACATATGATAAAGTTTAAAATTTACAATTTTATTGTGACTATAATTGTTGCTTAGATTATATGTGTCTGTATATAGAAAATCAGGTTCATCATATTTTATTGAAATTTTATACCTTATGCTATTGATTTAATGATTCTCCTGCATTAATAGCGCTTTGTGATTACGTTATTCATTTTAACTTGCAGTGTGACGTGAACGACTCTTCTTCGCATATTCTGATTTTCCTCAATTAAGCTCTCTTCCAATCCGAAGAAAGCTCACTACTGACCGGTGAACTGCGTTGTTCCCAAGTTGCAAATCAGCTTTTTGCCCTACTTCCAAAATCGCATCGCCACCGAGAATGTCAGCCACTGCTGTTGAAATGCAGACGTCACCCGTGACCTTCCCGCTGTCCATCGGGCATCGGCTGGATACGATCCGTACTGCGGCCGAAATGAAATGGAGTTCAAAGTGAGTCTGGCACGACTAATAATTTTTTTGTGCTGCTTTATATAAACGTTTACTGTACTTAACCTAACTAAATAACTTAGTTTTTATAATCACTTTAAACGTATATATAATATTGTTTATCAATTAATTTAACGTAATTAATAATAAATTAGTTAATTTATGACAATGAAGCTTGGAATTATTAGTATTATTGAAACCGGCTTTTTAAGATTGATATCGGTTGCCAAAAGCTTCGAACTTTTAACTTATCACGCACAGCGTGGCTGCTAAGCGCATGATTTTTATCATTGCCGTTGCATCAGCTTTTGTTTGGTAACAAGAAGACGCCTTGGCAATCTAACGAGAGCATCAAACATTGATTTTCCTTGAGAACGCAATAGACCGTCGCCAAAAGTGTATACTGCGCGCATGACCTTCGTTACTGTGCCTGTAATCGTTGGCGTTTTGCAGTTGGTCCACGCCAGCGAGGCCGGAAGGACGAAAGGTCACTGCCGGTCAGCGCGACCGCATTCCAAAGGTCCTGCTGTCCATCGAGCGCAAACCGAAGCCCAGCGTTCCCAAGGACACCGAACGCAAACATCCGGTTAATGAGGTCCAGCAGACACCGGAGAAGGTCACCGCCGCGAAGGATCCACAAGCCGAGGAGAAAGCTTGGGGTCCCCTGTTCAAAAGCCGCGAGCACTTTACGGAGATGCATCTGTGCTGAACGGCGCTGCTTTTGCATGATTGATTTTAATTTGCAAGCCAGTTAAACTTTACTCGTATATACATAATATAGAGTATATCACTTCAAAGAGCCGGCGTATTTTTGCGGCACTTACATGTTATTTCTTCTTGTTGCGCATAATAATATCTTATTATTCTACAGTACTACTGGCTGTATCAATTATGTTCTATGAGTACAGTAATAACTATGAGCAATGTTTTACGGGAATTCATTTTTATATGTTTCCTACTTAGTTCTAAATGCATGTAACCAATATTTCGGTGCGTGAATTAGTAATCTACATACTCTGATTATGCATACAGTACACATAATTATAATAAATACTAGCGCATCCCAATCTGTCCGGCAATAAGCACCTTTATATAAGGGGCGAAAGTAAACGCGTTCCACCGTTCCCCTGTACTGCTGCCGTCACCCGCCTGGAGTGTGACGTTACGGCAATACATGTGGTTAAATCTGGCGCGGTACATAAGCGCCATGTTCAGCCACAACGTCAAACTCCAGCCGGGTGACGGCAGCAGTACAGGGGAACGGTAGAACACGTTTAGTTTTGCCCCTATATTAACTACATGTAGTGTATATTAACTACATCAACATAGTATACATTTTACAGACTACAGCGAATAAAATGAATGGGCGCAAAAATGTCTCGCTTGCAAAATCCGGTATGCAATACTTATCGGTACATTAACATACTGCATACAGTCATTATGCAGAACAATGGGAAGAAAACAGCAGTACCACAGAATCTCGAAAAGACAAGCCTTCTCCTCTGGTTTATCATAGAAGCATGTACGAGTAATTATAAAGAATATAAACTGCTTTGCGTAGAAATTGCATTTCTGCCAGATTATTGCGCAATCTACAGGGCACAACCTTCGAATTTGGATCTACGGTAAATATTTAATTACAAAGTGCAGAAAGCTTAATTATTTGTAAGAAACCTTAAGTGTCACCTAGTATAATGTATGAACACATACTGTACGACAACTTACGTTAGTATTAGACTGTACAAAAACAAACCGAAAGTGCAGATAAGTTTTTCCTGTTTTTTTTTGCGTGCCACTTCAGTATACATACTCGATCTGCTGTAGTTTTTGTTTTACATATAAGCAATGATGATGTAAATTATGGAGTAAGCAAGGATTAAAAAAGTGGTACAGGAGTGGAAACGAAGAAATGAAATATAATTACATGGCAGCACTATAAGAAGGATAAAAGATCATTTCAACAGATACTGTCACTGGCGGAGACATTGGGCGGAAACTGATACCCGCCGTTCATCGGCAGAAACACCGCAATAAAAATATTCGACACCAGCACCACAAAAATACAAAACGACCCGCCTAAAAAGGCCAGTTTCCGCAGCGTCTTATACGTCTTGTCCTCTTCACTCTCCCACCAGTAAGCTAATAGAAAGCAACCGGTCGCCGCGATTTGCAGTACAATAGAAAGCATAAGGAGGGTAAAGGTGAAGCACCTGAACGGATGATACGGCACTTGCAGTAGTTCGCGCAGCTGCCCGGCATTGGACGTCAAGAGCGCCACGTCCATTATACCGAGAATCACGCGTTTGGCGGCCAGTGTGGCGGAGCCCGGGTTCTTGGCCGGCTCTTCGTCATCCGGCTGCAAAGCGTCATTTTCATCCTGCACAAAAGCACGAGAAAACTTGATTTTAATCGTTTTGTAATGAAGACCAGCTAGTTACTCATACTGAGATTCTGCTTGAAGCTTCGTACTGCTTCGCACTGAACGCAAAATAAAATTACTAAAGACGCAGTAAATTTCTGAAGCTTTCAAAGTACAGTACAAACCGGAATGCCGTTCGACCGCAGATGCAGCTTTTTCACGGTTTTCATATGTGTGACTTCGGTGGCTTCCGGAATGGGTTCCAGTTCGTCGGATGCTGGAGGACCCTGTATGGCGTGCAGTGTGATTCGTTCCTGTTGAAAAATGGCATAGGCTTTGTTGGGTTACAAGATTTACTAGGTTCTGCGCAATTAAATTTCCGTTGCGCATAATACGTGTACGTGAAAATGTCTTAAAACTTGGCATATTCACACTTGTACAGAATCAGTTTTAAATAAGAGTACCTCGTTTTCAACATATCCTTTATTGGTATAGTTGGATTTGCCGCAAGTACGTGGATCAAGTACAGCCATTGTGGACAGTATTTACACTGGGTTTAAAGCAGCTTTTGAGGATATCCTCGGAATCATCCAGCTTTGAAACAGAAGAAGTGCTTGCTACGAATAACACCTAGCTGTGTTAGCAATTCGGCGAATATGCAAGGGAATCCAGCATGAAATGTACCCAGGATAAACACTCGGTCAAAAAAGTGCTTTAATAGTTCTCGAAGATGAAAGTACCGACAGTAGCCAGTTTAAATTATAACAAAAATACAAGAGTTACACAAAAAAATCGGTAAATAGGAAATTATTACTCTGTTGATCGTTACAAATGCGGTAAGCGCGAGGAAATTTTCAGTGAGGCAAAGTATAAACACACATGGACATTCTGTACAAGTAGAAGGTAAATCAGCGTTTATACACACAAACCACTGACATTAAAATTAATAGACCATAGATAATAACACATCAACCATTGAAGTATGTACTTATAATCAAACGCCTCTTATCAGTTTCGCGGTGATACAGTAGATCGCACGTTGACCGATAGGCCTAGGGGACCTCAATATCGTACATGTTGACATATGCAATATTAAATACAAATAATGAATACAATAATTATACAAATTGTATATCGCGAAGGACTCCGATTTCGAGAACTGTATCGGCTAACACCGGTCGGATTAATCTCATGGTAAGTAACTACAATAAATACGTATTTACGTATTATAAAATAGCTGATCAGATATCAAGAAGGTGCATATGGCTGTGTAAAGGTAATAACGCTGGCTATTTTACGGCATGACTGTAATATGTCCTACAGAAATAATAAAATTAATGTACAAGTACAACGAGTACAGTAGTACGTGTAGTTCAACAGTTATATCCTCATGCCTTGTCAACGTTAGCAAAACTAGTTCAAATACGAAGCAAAATTTAGTTTAACGTTCCCCTTGACGTTCAGGGCTCACGAAATCGGAAATCGTGGTTGCATCGAGTACGCTGCTTTGCTCTGCAGCAGCATTATTTTTTTCGAGGGCGTTCCAACGGTTGTTTGAGCCGGAGGCGAGTACAAATCCGGCAATCAGTCAGCGCGCAGGTTTTCCAATGATAGAGGATTTCAAAGGATGAGGCACAGTGCGGCACTATAAAAAAGCAGTAGTATTCAAAATATTCAGCCTTTCGCTCCGGTGTACGGAAAATGAGGTCTTCACTCAGATTTATTAGGTAGTCCGTAGTCATGCACTATTTCTGATACGCTATATAGTACTTTTTAAAAAATTTCGCTGACACTTTTCGATAGTTTGTAAAATATGCAGGAAATGTCAGATATGTACTCCCATCCAGTTCTATCGTGAAAAATCACCTGTACATGTCTCTCGATATTGTTAAATTCAAAATTTACTTATAACGAAATCAAATAAACTGTTTGACAGGAGAATAATTTCCATCCAGATTGTATTTCTGGTTTCTTACCAATGCACAATCTGCGAGCGGTACACTGTTTCATATGGGCGCAGACATTTTGGAATGTTTGACAGTGCGGAATCGCGCATCCAGATTTTTCAGGGGTGCCATCGCCCTCCCCCTGCGCATCTTTTTGCAGGCATTTATGCGCATGTAACAGCAATACCAGATGTTGTTGGATTATCTTGATCCTCTCTGTAAAACAAACCACAAAAATTCAAGCCAAACCAGGCATGGAACAGAACCTATCGGCGTGCGTGTCATTCGCGCTGTGACCTTCTAGCACTATCCGTAAACAGCAGGTATCCTCTTGAAAAAATTAAGCGAAGGTAAACAAGAAATTTTTAATTTATCTTCAACGCTCAGGCGTTTTACAGACAGATAGGTGTATTTTCTTGTTAACTACAGATGCGCTTACGAAGTATCTGTATTTTCGTGATGCTGGAATCTGATCCGAGCACAGTACGCGTCAACACAAAAGACTCCGCTATTTATCAAAAATTTATGTTTCAGAATAAGCATATGTAAGATATCTAAATCAGGAACAACCGACCCGCAGGAGCTAACAAACGAAAACCACTGGGATCCGTTGGATTTTCTGGATCCGATTTGGATGCCATAACTAACGAAAGCACTGAATGCAGCAACCAAATCCAAAACAAAAGTAAAATTTAAACTGAAGACCTTAACTGCTTCCGCCTGAAATGTATTTTATTGATAAACGACGGCAGAGTACAAATCAATAAACATTTACAAGTTAACCAAACAATGAAAAAAGATTAATTATCACAACAGAAAGAGTTCAATAAACTTTTCAACTCCATCCATTGTTCCTAAAACCGAAGCCGCGTTTCCCCGCTGAATCTCCAAGGACAGTCGCTGCCGGAGAAACTCATGGGAGCGAGCCTCTCCGGTTTGATTATATAAACGTTTCCCGATTTCCTTGATAATGGCCGTAGCTGACGGTCCCCATGGGCCCATTGTTTCGAAAGCAATGGCTGCGAAAATGTATCGCCCAATCAGATACGAGTACAAATTAGTTTTCCTTTCTTCTGCTTGTAACGCGGCCGATCCGGCAGTCGAGGATGTGGACCTGATATGGGAAGCAGCGACCGTGTCGACACAAGTGACATCCCACGCCAGGCACATGCCCCTCTGCCAAGCAAACGTAGTACAGCCGTCTGGGCGTCGTTCGCTCGTGTGGGAGGTGCCGCGCGGTTCTAGTTTAGAGGGGAAGCCGGCTGAAACGAGGGCGCGGCATACAATGTTATTGAGCCCACCATGGCGTGGGAGCCTGCCGGCGGAGAATGTGCAGGATAGGCCGTGGTGTGCATATTTGTCAACTGGCTTGTGACACTTCGTACAGTCATGTGGCTCACAGATAACTGCGCCAAGACGGAGCCCAACCGAAATCTTCAGCGTGTCATCGTCGAGTAAATTCCCAATGTGAGCGGAGGGCAGCGCGTTCAGCCAAATGCCTGCTTCCGGCCGTGACTGGGCAAGTAAGCGCGCTTTATTAATTTCATCGTCGCGGTACACATCCAGCAAGATAGACAAAGATACGTTGCATAGCGGTAAATCCCAGGTTTTCTGCAATTTCCGGAAGTTAGATTCGGGCAGTTCTACTTGACGAGCGTTTAGCTTCCACAGGTTTAGAGCCTCCGTGACGTTCACAGCCGGCCGTGCGGGTAGCAGACGGGATACCAAGTCAGATACGGAGTGAATCGAAGCCAAAAAGGCGGGAAGAGCTAATTCCTCCGAACGACGTATTCCGATACCTCCTCTGCTGACCGGGAGACTGGCTTGTCGCCAACTAGGGTAATCATCAAGATTGGTCCGGACGTTGCACAGCTGCTGGAAACAGGAGCGTAGCGTTTCGTCTACCTGGTACAGCTGCTGCGGATACCTCCACGCGTTGCAACATCTCAGCATGTAAATAATCTTAGGCGCGCCGAGGCAATGTCTCAGGAGGTACAACGCTTGGTGGCGCGGGAGAAGCTGCATTCGCTCACAAACCGAAAAAAGTGTCGTTGCTTTTTCAGCAAACATCGGGGCGATTGCATCGTCCAATACTGGTGCTCCAAGAAGTGTCAGGTTAACGCTTGACATGACACGCAGCTGCGGATACCGTGTGAGAAAGCTGTCCACTGCTTCTTGCTGGATACTTTCAGGTCCGCCTGTAACATATAGTTCACATTTTCCGACGTTTATATCCAGGCCGATTGCTTTGGCGCCTTCGATAACCCGTGTAAAATTTTCCAATACGCTCAAGGGAGGCCCGCCCATAGTCCCATCGTCGAGATACCAAGCATTTAGCTCGGTAGTGAGGGTGGCAATTACAGCTTGCAGGGCTATACAAAACAGTAATGGACCCAGTGGATCTCCCTGCTGTACTCCAGATTCTGACGACAGAATGTAATCGTCGAGAAACAGTGACGAATGGTGGCCGTAAGTTGACAGGAAAAAGGGATAGTATTCTGGGAAATGCAGTTTCACAGCATTAAGAACCACTTCGCGAGAAACTGTGTTAAATGCATTCCTAAAATCCACTTTGATAACGGCTTTTATGCTGTCCGGCGACGCGTCAAGAAAGCATCTGGTACCGTGGACTATGGCCTCAGCTCCACCGCGCACGTTGAAACCAAGCTGCACACTCCACCGCGCACGTTGAAACCATTTTGCTGCATGTTAGCGTATTCCGCCTGAATACGCTAACATGCAGCAAAATGACGATAACTCTTAGCTAGAAAATATTACGAGTTAGGAGTACAGTGAAATTTCTAAAGGGCAAATTAAAGTAGTAATAATAATAAAGCAACCGCTGCACAAAACTAAATCCCTTTGCTACGGAAGTTACTCGTAGCAGCTGCGGAAGCAGTATAAAGGCAAACATACGGTTATACCGAAAAAATACTCGTCATGATCATTATGGGATGTTGTACCTTACTCGCAGATGAATTTTACTGCAGGAAGCACGGTTTTCCGATCGAGGGGACCAGCGAGTTGGGAAGCACGCGGATCGTGCGTTCACTTCCGCCCGGGTAATGGCCTGCTTGAACAAGCTTCGAGCACGTACAACGTACCCGTTGCTGATTGGGTACTACGATAGATGACGAAACGAATACCTGGCTTGTACTGAGCGAACGTTCTCGTGGCCGTGAATGATGTGCTCCCACGGCTGTCACAGCGGTATAATTCCTGGCGTTAACGAACACCCGGAAGCTGCCTATACGGTTAACATGAAATTAAGAGACAGCTAAAGTTTACAGTTCTATACCTGATTGAGTAATTTTAAGGGTCAGTAGAGATGCTTGATGCGAGTATAAAGTCAAGCAACTTTATCAACTGACATAAATAAACCGAAATGTTAGCCGTATAGCCGCTTCCGGGTGATCGTTAACGCCAGGAATTATATCGCTGTGACAGCCGTGGGTACACATGAGATGACGGGTTTGTACGTATGTTCGAGCCCGGAATCCTTATAAGTTTGTACGTATGTTCGAGCTGTAAGAACTTCCATTCCGATTGATTTGTCACGGTGCGTTTATTACGTTGGACATATCTGTAATGTTACATACAATCTACAAAAGAATGGAAATACACAAATGTACAAATAGATTGGTAGACTTACCTTCGCGTTAGAAAAAATTGTATAATATACCGGTTCTAATTTGTAGTAGCATTTATCATCTGAATTTACGAGTAAGATAAAATGAAACGTCATGTTGTGTACGTATCTGGAAAAACTAAATCTGTTTGTTTGTTTACGTATTCTTCAGCACTGGGTGTGTGTTACTTAGCAGTGCGTTTCGGCTTCAAAAGGCCCATGCGCATGTAAACTGAAAAATTTTAATGAAGAGATTGTGTGACGGAAATCTGATGGTTATCGCGGAAAAAGGCAAGGATTTGTCGGTTGTTTTTATTGAAAATAGGGAGTACAACCGTGCAAATGCCACAAATAAGGCTCGCAAATTCACTCGATAATCGCGGAACATTACGATTTTTCTACTTTATGTCAGATTAAATAATAATAATGCAGCAATTTCCTTAGAAATACAAACTAATTTTGCGTGGATAGTGAACTATAAAAATTAATGTTTTGCATGCGCAGAGAAGTGACCACTTTTCAAATAGGCAGATAAAGGCATTACGCTGCCATGTAAATTGTAATGCAAGCTGAAAAACATTGCGACCGTGTAAATTGATAACTTCCGCTGTTGAAGATTATAAAAAAATTTATTTGAAATTTGTAAGCAGCGGATAATATCTGTATATTAAATAACGAATGACATTCAGTGCAAATTATTATTGTCGTTCCACAGATAATACTGTGTCATGCGTTTCTAATAATTTCTGTTGTGCTTTGTCAGCCAAAACTGCGTTGCAACGGAATGACTTTAGTCTGGGTGGCCGTAAAGCCGGTAAAGGCGTAGATGATCGTGAAACACGAAACCCATTAAAGCGCAGCGGCACTTCTGTTATACTGGAGCGTTGCCCTTTTGTGTGCTTCCGGAGTTTGACGCACGCACCGCATAAAAAAACCTCTTCAAGATATCACAGTAATTGCATGTGCCAATACCAATAGCAAGATATCCAATTACCGGTCCCGCCGTCCACAAACTTTCCGATAAAAGTGCGTTCCAGCTGTATTGCCGTAGCTGTTCGTTTCATAGGCAATGCAAATATGCGATATCATGGAGACTTTTTCAGGTTATCCGTGCGTCAGTCTCCGGACGCACGCAAACAGGTCTGGTTTATCTTTAATTTCTTTTTCAAGCAATAGTCAATATCGGCATCGTTTCTCCGTGTTACAAACCGGTTATCTATAGGGAAAGTAAACGCTCTACAACATCTTGCTTTTAACATCTGCAACGACGGAACACAGCAATAGTAGCAGTAGGACAGCCCTGCATTCTTCCGTACTAACACAGCGAACGAGGAATTCACCGATAGTTTTTTTGCAAATTTGGATGAGAACGGAAAATCGGAAACCATGTGAATGCGAGTGGCCGTTGGCGCCACTATATACTCGCTGGGGAGTTCATAATATGCCAGCATTTTTTGCGGCCGTACACGTATGCATCGATTATCAAATTTCACTGCCGAAAATTCTGAATTTTAAAAAAACAAAAAAGGTACGCGCAAAGCGCAGAAAAGCTTAATTGGGCACGACTGCAAATATACGTTAAAAAAATGCTGACAGTAAGCGCAAAAAGGGTGCTTTTGTATCACATTAAATGGCTGCATATCAGTGCAGAATCAGCTCACTTGATTGCACGGTTAACGTTTAACGAAATTCGCCGAATTCCAGCAACTGTTTCACCGTGATCACAGCATACTAATGTTACACTGGTGTTTCTTTCATGTTGTCGAACGGGAAACTTCTGAGTAACAACGGTAGTTTGACTGGTGCGTGCTGACCATTCTGTTTGTTAACTGAGTCCGACCGGAGAACGCACCGTCGTTTTTTCAGTCTACTCGTTCGCGGACTGTGCAAGGAATTCGGATCAGTTGGTACGGACTCTCCCGACCGATCATTATCCAGGCGTAGTTCTTTCGTTCGCGTTAAAAACATTTTTACCCTCTCCAGCATATCTATGTCGTCTTTGCCAGGAATGACAGCCGCAATGATATCTGTAGCGGAGGAATTGTTCTCGATTTTCTCCAACAGCTTTTGCATGGTCTCGTCCTGGATAAGATAACTGTGCGCGCCGTGCACGGTAATCTCTTGCAGAACACACTTGTTACATGCGGAATGCTTTCGTCGGAAGAATTTAGCGATTTGCCAGCACGCTTGCTGTTGGTCGTGGTTGAAGATTCCGCGACCGTACGCCGATCCTTTAAACAGCAGTTGTTCGGGTAGACTATATTCCAACAGCTCGTACAGCGTTGTCAAAAATTTCAACATATCAGTTGGCAGCGATAATTCTGTGGTTTCCGGAGCGTTCCGGTCTTGTACACCGAATGGCCTCAACAGGGGAATAGTAAACGTATTTGTGCCGTTTTTGGTTAGTAGAATATTGGCCAGATTCACACAACGGCTCGCCAAGGCATTCGGAGCGCTTGTGCGCAAATTATTCATCAGCTTAAAATGTCCAGGACACAGAAGAAAATCCTCCTCTTCCTGTGTTACCGGGACTTCCGCTAACAGCTGCAAAATGCACTGAGCTATCCAATCGGCTTCTGTCCATTCGTTTTGAGAAAGACTGAATGGGGCGATGTAAGGAATTCTTCTTTCTGTCCTTTGCGACGGTGTCGTGGACAGGGCAGGTGTGCTACCAGGACAACAAGATCCCGTAGTTATAGTCGGGGAAGACGGTGCAGTTTCTGCGTTATTATTGACTGGGTTATTGGCGCCGGAATGGCACCACTTCCATTCACACAACCAACAGGGGCGATAATGCAAGTAGCGGTCCCGCAGATCTACGTACAACGAAACAGGTTAATTTTAATTGGTTCTGATAGTATGAGGAAAATACATTTTGCTATAAGAATTATTTCTGGATTCAAACAATGAACATTTTACAACAATGGGCGGTTACTCCCACTGTGCAAGCTCAATGGGCGAGCCGTCACAAGCGTTACGCAAAACCTTTCGTTTCCGCAATGCTAACGGAAAATCTGGAGTGAAGGTTTGAAATGTAGTACTACTGTATGAACTTCAACGTGCTGGTGACATTTTTAGTTTCACCGCGTTTTCCTCAGTATTTATTTCAGGCTGGGTCATTATTGTTTCGTAATGGTACACGATGGTGTCTTTGTTTTGGAGTGGGTTTACAAATCGCGGAGGGTCACCAGTTGATGTAAAATTAGGATAACAAGAAATGGATGCTGCAGTGCAGCATTATACTTAAGGACCATGAAGGAAGCAGAACTTTTTGTTGTATTCAGCGGTCTTATCTTCCCTGTCCTGGCTTAAGCGGAGTTACTACTCGTTTGCACCCCTTTTGCTAGAAAAAAAGCCATGAAGGGCTCGTAAACAGTTCCATAGTGTACGTTACTGCTTTCAATGCTAAGAACATTGAACTACACTGATTTAAACTCAAAATGTGCGCGCTATAACCGGCTGTTGTGCTATCACCGGAAAAAGTTTAAAAAGTCAAACGCGTCAAATAACTCAGCTATCGACTCGAACTTTATGAAACTTTCCCATATGGTAAAACCACATATGAAGGACATTCTGAACCAATATCATGATGTACTCTTAAAAAACAAAGGTGCAGCGAATTTTCAAATATTTTAAACTCGTATAACTCGGTGAATTTACTTCGGATGACCTTTATTTTGGTTCAGAATGTGTACAGGAATTTACTCCATAAGATGGAGGTGTCAAACTTAAAACAGGAGGAAAAGCTGAGTTATTTGATCCGTATTTGTAACTTTGAGAAATTCAACTTTTTGTGTTGGGCCAGATAGGCCGGAGAGCAACTTATTCTTGGTGCGACTGCTGCGTATCCTGTTGTGTCCTGGTCTCATCAGGTCACGTATTGTTCAGCTGAGCAGGAATGGCTTTCTGGTGCTGACTTGTGAGTCAAGCGCAAGCAGGGAATGGTGATGCACATGCTAACAAGGCAATAAATCTCATTGTTCTACCTGATCATTTATGACAGAGTGCGCGTATTCTGATTCTTATACAAACACGCCTGTCGCTTGTTAGCTTCTTGTGGCTTGTGGTCAGCAAACTTGCCGCCATCCGGAACAGAGATATTCTCCTCTACTGCGCAGTATTAAACCCTTGTTAAAGATTTCTACCCTATGACAGTTTTTAAAATAACTGCTTGTCTACAATTTTTTCACAAAGACGTAATTCACATCAGTAGATAGAAAAATGAATTCTCTATCGATTCCTGTATAGTTTAATATTGTCTAATTTGAGTGGAAATCCACCTTAAAATGAGACTGTAGCAGTTGAACGGTAACTGGTTGCAAAACAAAACAAGATGTAGAAAGCGAAGCACTTCTGCATTCTAACGAGCATGGGTATGCTGATACAGTACTCGGCCGCAAAGCACTACTTTGTACACTGTAGTTTGGATTGCATCGGCGATTCGGCAGTGTGGTACTATGAAAGTATAATTGCTGACCTGAGCACGTTTTGCATTCCTCGAAATGCGACCACTTCTCAATATCTTTCCAGCAAGCGTTCATTGCAAAATGGCAGGCCGGTAAGGCTAGCAGCGAAAGGAAATCAGCGGCTGCCAGGATGTGAAACAGCAGTGAACCATGTTTTTCCGCCTGCACCAGCACTTCATCGGCATCGGCCACCATGGAATTCAATTCGGAACTCCAGTCAAAACTAAACGCTACCATGTACACCACGAACGAGCACAACTGCAGCAGGGTGGCCATCCACATACCCACCCGCGTCATGGTGCTCGCAATGGGCACCACGAGAAAATGCCCCACCACGTACAGCCATTCCGCGACAAACGCCAGCAAATTCTTGCCACATCCTTTCGCACGATCCGCCGGGGTCTCCGCTTTGCGACCGTACTCTTTCTTAAATAGCACCACCATGAATACGGCAATAATCACCATCTGGACAATGGTAACCAGCACCAGACAAGCATAGTTGTACAGAAAAAGCGACGCCACATGACAGTAGCGACACATAATGTACAGTTGGTTGGCCAGCACGCCGGCGTAGTTGCACACGTTGGGCTTCAAGAGTTCTGTTAGTTCTTTCCATTCGATGTAGTCCTTCTCCGCCAGAAGCCGGTTGTTAGCGGAACACATACCCGGAAGATGGTTAACCGCCGGGAAATACTTGGCGATGGAGAAGAAGGCAAAGAAGATGATGATCCATTTCCAAAACGGCGGCGGGGTTCCCTGTGATGCCCAGGCTAATGCGGCCAATAAAAGTTGGATGACTAACTGCGGAGCCGATTCGAATTTGATTTCATCCAGCTGGGCTTTCTGTAGGAAGAGCAGCTGGAAAGTCGGGTCGCGCTTGTACATATACGTATCACGGAATTTTTGAGGATCCTCGCGGTGTAATTTAAAGTCCTTCATAAAGGCGAGTGACCTGCAGAAAGAAATGAAACCATGTTTCTGTGCTTATTGCGGTTGCTGTACCGAAGAGGGTCTATAAGATCACTTAATTTCGCATTTCCTCGTGGCAGCTGAAGAGCTTATCGAATTTCTTTTGGATTTCAAAAACTTTGACTTTCTCAATAACTTAAAACTGTCATTTTTATACAGCTATAAAAAAATTGCCTATTTCGCTTTTTCCTCTATTTTAGGACACTCTTTGTGTACACGTTCCACACGGTTACGGGTCACGACCGAGTAACCGTCGACTGGGAACGCTTCTGCGTAAACTGTGGTCTGTGGTACCAAGTGCCTCATTTCGTTTTCATTTTGTTAAATAAAGGTTTTGCGTTAATTCGAGGTTTTGCAAAACTATTATCATCAGTGCCTTAATAAACAAATAATAAATGAGTACCTCATACCTGCAGAGAATACTTAAAGGGTAAATTTCACAAAATCGCTTTACGTAGGCCTTCCTTAACCACTGCGGTAAATAATGCTCCAGACCATATTCCGGATCCAGATGCTCGCTTTCCGACGGTACCAGCGTGATGTCCGTATTAGTGATGAGGCGGTCCGTCACGCGTGACCAGTTTAGTTTGATATTCGGGGCGCCTGCCAGGGCACTGCGGCAGAGGAAGCGGATAAACGACACCACCGACGGCAGGATCACAATCAGCGACATCACTATGCGCCACTCGAAGTGGATGCGGTACGGGTTTTTTATCCACATGTGGTATACATCCCATACATCGAAGGCAAAATCCAGCACCATTAAACCCAGAGTGCAGATCAAAAAAGAGGTGACGAAGGTGAACAAGGAAAGGTTCAGCGGATCCGACTGCAGGCCAAGGCACCAATGTGCCATGGAAAAATTGGGAAGCAGCGGCCGGCAGATGCCCCGGATTACGTCCCCGTGAGCCATCAGAGAAAGAAAGGGAAAGAGACCACTTTAAAAAAAATGTAATAGACAATAAAACGTTATCTGTGTTTTTCATGTGCATTGTGCGCGCGCATGATGATGAGTATCACATAAAAGCATTTTTTATGCGCTAACAAGAGAAGTTGACTATAACGTGCGATGCTGATAAAATAGCCCACCTTTTTCGGAAAAAAACTAGAGATTACCAGTGGTATTCGTAGTTTAATATTGCGCACTCGGTGTATAAAAGACGTCAGTTGTATGATAAAAGTACTTGTCGGCTGTGTGACTAATATGTATAAACCATGATATAGTATTTAACATAGTATCACCAGTTGAGCTCAACGTCCCCTCCGGGATGCCTCCAGGCTGCTCGAGCCAGTGCACATGAAACCGGCATCTTTTTGACGAGTGACTCCAGTCGTCCAAGTCAACCAGTTCACGTTACTAGTAAAATATCATATTTTTTGTCATTATGTCGTCAACGTGGTTCTCAGTGTAGTCTCCGAAAAATCAGCAAAACTAGTAACCAAGATACATTTAATTTTCCCTTTACTAAAAAATTATTGTTAATCTGCCCCTCATATCTTTATTTTTAGAATTTTTTCTTGAAAGTAAAAATACCATAATTTTTGGGTTTTGATATCGTTGGCTCATTCTTAAAATTTGGCAAATTTTAGGCAGGCAACAAAACCGCACATATTCTGAAAAAATATTATATCTTCACCGTAAAGATCTGAGACACTTAACGTTGATTATTGAAATTGCCCACGGGGCGCAACATTCAGCAGCCGTTTGTATTGTACTGTAAATAGCACATATCGCCTCCAGTTGCCGGCTTGCTGTAGCGGTACCTGGCTTTTCCTTTGCCAGACGCACCGACAGTGGGCTCCTACCGTGTTTGTTGTTATTCCACCCCAAAAAAATCATAATCAATCATTTATCCAAGTTCGACTCGTGTTATACATTTTTAAATAAAATCAACGCCAATACAGTATGGGAAAGGAACGCTGGTTTATCTTGTTCTACTGTTGCGTTGTGAGCTTCGCCGTGGATTTCTTCTACGATGAGCCGTCAGCGTTGGTGCAACGTTTAACCGCGCAATCGGTGTACTGCGTTAATGGGACCGACCAAGCGTGCCTGCATCTGGATATGGTGCAGTTTAATTCCTTCTTCTCTGGAGCATCGTGGGCCAGCGCCGTAGCGGCAATCGTGGCCGGTATCTGTGTCGATCGCTATGGCGCAATTACGCCGTTGTGGCTGTCGATGGGATTCCTTTTTGCCGGCTCGTAAGTGTTATCCGCCATCCGGCAAAAAAATATTTAAAACCCAGGAAATTTAGTTCTTCGTCTGGGATGTAAGTATCATGTTACTATTAAATAACAAAACAAAGATTGTACATATGAACAGAAATTTTACCCTTTTTGAGCAAATGTTTCTTTAAACAAAAAGCTGTAAACCTGTCAAATTTTGGCAAAAAAATCTGTCTAGTGATTTTAAATTCATTTCGAAGGATATAGTTATGCTCACTACGAATAGTAATTGACATTTATAAATACGAGTATGTATGTTAATTAAAAAATGGATCCGGATCCCAAAATACTAAAGCCATTTAAAACATTTTTATTTGTTTTATGCGTCAGTTATCATTAATATATTCTGACAATTAAATCCAAACAATAAGTACAATACAATCTATAATTAAAAATAATGAGAACCGTGTAAACAAAATGTTTCGCTACAAATTCGCTGCGCCACAAACTAAAGGAAGTTCTTAATTATTTTATCTGTGATTCAAGTTAATTCCAGTGTGTTATATCTGAATTTGAAAAAACAAAATTTGTAGAAAACACATTTTTGAATTATTTTTTTTTATGAAGCATGAACCGAGAAATGAAAACATGAAACATTAAGTTTTTTGAAACATGAAATATTTTTTTTTGATTTATTAAGATTTTTTGCAGTGTAATGTTTGCCGCCGGCAGTTACGCTGCCTCAAACTCTGGCGCCTTCGGCTGGATGCTGTCCGGGCGTATCCTCTACGGTCTCGGCACCGGGGCGGCGGTGACCATTTGCCACCAGCTGAAAGCCATCTGGTTCCAGTACGACGAGCTGGCTGTCTCCTTCGGCCTTCACATTGTCGCTGGGCGGATCGGCAGTGCGGCGGCCTACGCCATTATCGGCACGGCGGTGACCAGTATCGGCCTGTCCAACTGTCTCTGGATCGGGTGCGGTGTGACCGTCCTGGCGTGTGTGGCCATCGTCGGCCTGGTCAACCGGGAAGAGAGGATTATCGAGAGCGGGATCCCCGTGACGGTCACTAAGGCCAGCGAATCCTTCCGCACGCTGGATGGGCTTTACTGGTGTTTTGCCGTGGTTGCGTTTCTTATGTACGGGACGGTGTCGACCTTCACCGCCAATGGGGTGGCGCTCGTTGCAGTACGTAGCGAAAAAGCTGCTTTCGATATAGAAACTGCTACCTTAGAAAATAAATTTGCACGACAAAAATCGAAAATCTACCATAGGCTGATATGCGTAATAATTTATATATAACCGCTTACAAATTTAGTTACGCGAATGCGAATAAAATAATAAAACACGCAGTTTTATAATTACTGTACATTAAATATTCTATCGAAAAGATTCACTGTCAGATTAAATTAAAATTAATTGTACAAATAATCAGGATTGATTACAAATGCCCGAAGAATTCGGTGTGAGCTTCGATTTCTCAGCGCATTTCCATAAATGCATAAGTAAACAGTTAGAAAAACTGCAGAAAGCATAAATTGTTCATAACTGCTCGAAAGCCTAAGAAATCAAAACCATGATCGTTTTAGGATGTCTACGGCCGCACCGAGACGGTCTCCAGTCTAATCGTCGGCCTGGTGTACGACATCAGCCTAATCACGCCCTTCCTGGCCATCTTCCTGGATAAATTCGGGAAACGCGACTACTGGGTGACGTCCAGCAGTATCTTCCTTCTGGCCGGGCTCCTCTTCTTCCTGATCCCCGCTTGTCCTCCCTGGGTTCTTCCCGTTTTCATTGGCATCGCCTACTCCATCTTTCCCACGACTGTCTACAGCTCCCTACCTCTCATCGTTCCCCAACGCTCCATGGGCGTGGCCAACGGGGTTATCAAGTTTGGGCAGTACGCCGGGATCGGGAGCTTGACACTGGCTGGAGGAGCGATACTGGACCTCCTACCGACGAACGATAACCGGCGTTGGCTGAATTTCGCACTGTTTCTAGCCGGGATGGCGGTACTGGCTTTGGTTATTGCCGTTGTGATCAATTTCTTGAATGCCAAGACCGGAAAGCGTTTGACGCCGTCACAGCGGGAGCGCCGTCAGGCGGCCGATATTGAAGAAGTCACGCCCATCAGTGTGGATTTCGGGGTGGAGCGGCACGGGAGCGTGGTCCGAGAGACGGTCGAGGTTACGAGAAAAATCTCACCGGGTTCGTCGCTAGGCTCGCTGCCGCCGCCTCAGCGCGTTTCCATTTCCTGACTTCCCAAATCAAAACGCAGAAAATAACGCTTTTTTTTCTGGATCGTGCATTTGCAATGGTGATAGATTGGTGGGTGCCGTTGTTGAAAATGTCGGTAGGATATTTATGATACGTGTGAGTTTAATAATTTCGAAATATGTGTGTAGTTTTGCGAGTATATTGTCGGCCAGTGTAAGGCTTGCCACCAGTCTGTTGTGATGCGAACTCTATTTTTATTAAGACATGGATTTTGTTCATCCGATAAACTAGCCTAATAAACTTTAGGGTCTTACTCGTACAGAAGCAAATGTTTTTCTTCGCCAAGGAAAACTAGTATTGCGGGACGCAATATTGGTTTTCCAGCGGCCGGTTTTTACTTTGGTGCCAGCTCAAAGACATCCACACCCAAAAGTGTTTTTCAGTTGGTGAAAACTTCAAAGCGGCAAAGGTATTCACTATTTTCTTAGGAAGGAAGCCGATTTTAGTTGACTTTATCATGTATAGGTAGATAACAAAGTGTGAGTATTTTTACCGGGTACGAATAGTTTAGTTTATCCTGCCATTTATTGCTTTTTACTGCTGTTGTAAAGCTATAAGCTGGTGGGCAGAAAGAAGCTTCGCTTCTCAGTAAAGCCGATACATCCTGTGTCGTTATTGGTTGTCGTTGGCGCCCAGCCCCTGAACCGATGCCCGCGTAGCCATTTTTCTCTTCTCATTTCGAACGCGCGCTACAGGTTTCAGAAGCCTTCATTTTCCGAACCGTGTCGATCTGAACTTTCACTGCGCGTTGAAAAATAATTTTCAATAGTTTTTGACCTTTGAGCTCAGGTTTTCTGCCTTAGTTTTTACAGTCTTATAGGTTGATTCGTCTTCTGGCTATTTCGAGTCTTTCCTTTCCAGTTTAAGCCGTTTAGTGACGTGAAATGGCGACCCGCAAGTCCTTCCTGCCACGTGACATTTCGGGAAATGCAAGTCAGTGCCATACTGCCGAGATCGACAGATGCCGAGTAATCGTCAACTATCTCCCCGTCACCGTCAAGGAGCCATTTGTCGAGCAGATCTTCGGCACGAGGAAGATCCTCGGTCAGCACGGCGAACTGCTGGAATGCAGAGTAATTCGCCGTCGGGTGCACGGTAAGAGAGCGCGTCTGCACACGGAATTCAACGTATGGCGTTCACTATATACTGCAAAAGTGGATTTGAGGCCGTTTCTTCGGGAATATCGAGTTCACATGATAACGTTTAATAATAAATAAAATACCTTAATCGTAAACGGATGTGGAATTTCAGGTGATCGGATTAGTCGCGGATACGCATTTCTGACGTACAGCCACGAGGACGCGGCCGCTCGGGCGGTAAAGTTGCTGAACGGGTTTATCCTGCTTAACAGTGGCTCGCCGGAGGATGTCGATGCAGCGGGCGATCGCAAAGTGAAACAGCTGAAGGTAGTCTTGGTGATCGGTTCAGCACATACAGGATTCTATTGACAGAAAATATGACTTTACGTTTTCTTAATGCAGGAATATCTGTAATCTTAAAGCTGTTAAATTTCAATTACTTTACGATGGAGTTAGAATTTTATGAGTGATATTGGTTATCTTGCTATTTACCGCAGGTATCCTTCTGTCGACCCTCGGACGCCGAGCACCAGAACACCAACCTCTTCATCACTGGCGTTCCGTGCGAGTGGGAGCTGGAGGACCTCCGTGAGCATTTCGGCCGTTCTGGCGGCGCCATCCTCACAAACAAGCTGGCTCCCCGCAACTGTATCTGCAGTAAGCTGACAAAATCTCGTTAACCATTTTCTAATGCTTCCATTCAGGAGCCATCAACCGTTGACCTGTTTATACCTTTTGCAGAGGGCGCTGTGGTAAATGGCAATCCCACCGTGCCGTGCGAGACGACCAACTGGGCCTTTGTCCGCTTCTCCCGCCACGCGGATGCCGTTGCAGCGCAGCGTCGCTGGCACATGCAGCAGCCACAGCCCGGACGGGGCCGCCCCCTCAACGTAAGGATCCTGGACGACGACCGTGCCGGCCTGCGCTACTTGCAGCTCCAATAAGCGGCCGCGTCCAGGTCATCTGCATTGTAGTTGTGTTTGTTTTTTACTTTACGTGTTGATATTGCAAGTATGTACCGTATCTGTTGTTGTGTGTGTATCTGTTGTTCCCGTATTTTGTTTTGTCGAGGTGCCTTGTGCGTCGATCCTTCGATCGTATTTTTTTGCAAATGTATGTATTGCGCTGTTAGCCGAGTTGAAACCGGCTTAATCACTGTATGCGATGGGATGTTGGTACGCACCTGAGTGAATAAATGAAAAGAGTATATGAAAGTAAGCAGTTTCGTCACTGGAGTAAGTGAAAGCGTATATCGCAAATTGACAGATAAATAATCTGTTTCGTAGCATGAGGGAGAAAGACTATATCAAGATATACTGACATGTGAAGAGGTGTGTCGAATCTTACTATGCGATTCGGGATCGGAGAGGGAGAATTCCAGCAAAAATGGTCAATACTGCTGGCTTGATGAGCAACTTCATGCAGACCTGGTTAGTATCTAGGTATTCTGCGGCGTCGAAGCAACGGTTCCGTGCAGCAACCCCAATTTTGCAGAGTAGTGCATTTTGTAGTACATTCACTAATATGTTCGTGTGTATTCAGTATATGACTGTATATCCATGTGCCCTTTATCAATAATGAAAAACCGGCACTTCCGCCCTCGAGAAAACAGTGTCTGCTGTTTCGGAAAGCCATGACACTTGTCTGCATGTAGGTAATTTTTACACAGAGTAGTGACCGATACCACCAGTACGCAGAGATGCGGACGAATTTGTTTCTGAATTCACTGTATCGCATGTGCAACTACACTATCCGGTGTCCCGTACCAAAACACGTATTGCTTCGTCCAAATACTCACATACGTAAAACCCTGCGTACCACCTTGATGAGAATAGGCGGCGATTTGCTTATGAAATCGACTAATAATAATTTTTTCGTTTTGTTAATGAATGTTATTACCCTGTTATATCTGTACATTGTTCTGGAGACTATTTAGATTTTCTATAGAGATAAAAACGCGTAACAGAATTTCAGTAAATTACTGTACAAGTACATGTACAATATGATTGACAAGTGTATAAGAGCTTTGCAGACTGCGCATTGTCTGAGCGTACATAGTACACTGCTGCCGGGCATTTACGCTGTGAAATTCCGCCTGTAACCACTTAATCGCACTCAGTAAACCAGAAAAATTATTTTTCACCTTCTACAGCTGATTTATAGAACAGAATTCCCCAGATATGGTCGTACGATAATAAGGAGTTTCCTAATTAAAATGTGAGTGCATAATTTCCAGCGCAACATTACTTACCGTTCCCGTTGGTGGAAGGATGGCCAAGGAGCGCTGGTTTATCCTCTTCTACTGCTGCATTATCGCCTTTTCCGTGGATTTCTTCTATGATGAGCCGTCGGCGTTGGTGGCCCGTTTGACGGGCACCTCGGTGTACTGCGTCAATGGGACGGATACGTCGTGTTTAGAGCTGGATATGGTCCAGTATAATGCCTTTTTTTCCGGCATATCCTGGGCTAGCGGGGTGGCGGCTTTGGTAGCCGGGCTATGTATTGATCATTATGGGCCGGTGACACCGTTGTGGTTTTCCATAGCGCTGATTTTTGCCGGCGCGTAAGTGCATTCGCAAATTACCTACAGAAAATCGCTAATGAGAAAATGCTATTTTAAAATTTGTATGTATGTATTTAGTGACTATTTACAGTCTGTACCCTGCTAAAACTGAATATGTTTAAATTTTCTTAATTCATAGAAAATTCCCGTATGTACAGTAGATTTCTTTGTATAGATTTGCGCACTACGTTGAATTTTGTCACTTGAACCGCTTTTACAAAATTCGTAAAAATTGCTGCGTATAATAAATTTGCCTTTGAAAGTGAATTCAACTGGTGCTGCCTTATTTCGAAATGATAATTAAAGAATTTATGTACACATAATCATTTTTCTTTAAATATTATTTAACTGTTAGTTTTCTATTTGGCAATTTTTGCACTGAGTTCAGTTTTTGAATTTTCATTTGCAATTTAATAAATCTAAGAAATGATATACGAGTAATTCCTGCTCTGCTGCAAAATTGTCGTAATTCTACAGAATTCTGTATTCGTACTTCTGTATAATATCATGTGTGAAATTAAAAGAAAAGTCTTCTAAAATTTTTAAATATTCTACATTAAAGCATAGTCGATCCTGTGTTTGGAATATGGTAGAAGTAGGGTATAAGTCCGTATAACGTATATTATTTCTCCAAAAGCGAAAAAAAATTAATTTGCACCACTTTCGCTGTAGATTATTATTCGCCGGCGGCAGCTACGCCAGCTCCACCACGGTGGCCTTCGGCCTCATGTTAGCCGGAAGGGTGATCCACGGGATCGGTGGCGGGACCGTCGTTACGGTATGCCACCAGATGAAAGCCGCCTGGTTCCATTACGACGAACTAGCCTTATCCTTTGGCCTGCACATCCTATGCGCCCGCCTGGGGAGTGCGGCCGCCTACGCCATCATCGGGACGGCCGTCACCACGCTGGGACTGTCCGGTTCTCTGTGGATCGGGTTCGGGGTGACGTTGTTGGCCTGTATCGCCATCGTCGGGCTGATAAACCGCGATCACCGCATCCATGACAGCGGCATTCCCAGTTCCATGTCGGGGGCGGGGCATTCCTTCCGCCGGCTGAATGGATTGTTCTGGTGTTTGGTCATCGTGGCGTTTTTGTTGTACGGCGTGGTGTCGACGTTCACCGCCAACGGGGTGGCACTCATTACGGTGAGATTGCTCTCATTGCAGTCCGCAACATTTTAAGTATTTCCGACTATTTAAAATAAAAATAATATGATATGCTAACGGCAAAATAATATTACCTCAAAATTAACTTAACGCTACTGTTTTGCTTGATACCAACATAATAAAATCAGTTATTTAACACGTACCATTATAAAAAGAACGTTTTTATTAGTTTTTTCAATACTACTGTCTATAAATATTAAAATCTATATGCCATACTGAAAAAAAGGCTATAGCACAAATAGTGTGAACAGTGAACACATGAATATAAATAATTTATAAAAAAATAAATATTAATATTATTGATGAAAAATAAATATTTACGTTATATAAAACTCGTGGCAGCCAAAGTCGAGCAATAATAATTTTTATTGAAGCGGTGATAAACGGCACTTCAAATATTTCGGCAATTTGTTCACCGTAAATGCGAAAGGATGAAATCAAAACGTAATGATTTTGCGTCTGTAGGACATATACGGCCGTTCCGAATCCGTATCCAGCTTGATCGTCGACCTGATCTACGACATCTGCCTGATCACCCCCTTCCTGGCCATCTTCATGGACAAATTCGGCCACCGCGACTGGTGGATCACAGCCAGCAGCCTCTTCCTGATAATCGGTCTGGGCCTCTTCCTGGCACCCCGCTGCCCACCCTGGGTGATCCCGGTGTTCTTCGGCCTGTCCTACGCCATCTTCCCCACCACCCTTTACAGCTCTCTCCCCCTGGTGGTCCCCCAGCGCTCCCTGGGCATCGCCAACGGCGTCCTGACCTTCGTCCAGTACGCCAGCACCGGCATCTTGACCCTAGGCGCCGGGGCCATCCTGGACATGCTCCCGAGTGATGACAACCGGCGATGGCTGCGTTTTACTATCTTCCTGGCGGGAATCGCCGTCCTGGCGATCCTCCTGGCTTTTATTATTAACTGCCTAAACGCCAAGACCGGACGCCGGCTGACACCGTCCCAGAAGGTCCGCCGGCAGGCCGTGGACATTGAAGAGGTCACCCCGATTAATATTGATTTTGTCACGGAGCCCCATGGGAGTGTGGTGAGGGAGACAACGGAAATCCGCAAATCGGAGACTTCGATGCCGGCTTCCTGGAGATCGTTCCCGTCGCGGCAAGAAGTGAGAGTGACATCGGATTTTTAAAACGCGCTTGTCTGCTTAGATTTCCGGTCGATTTGATGAATTTTTGTTTACGCGATGTGCATTTACCGTTTACCGGCATTTTAATGGATTTTGCTGCTGTGCGTTTTCGGCATATAAAGAAAGCGATGCGTTGTAAAAACGCCTTGAGCTATGTTCCGCGCAACAACCATGCTTCCGCCGCGGGCACAACAAGCGTTTTTCTTTAGCAAACCTTTACACAGACAACCTAGGTTCTTGTTAACGGTTTTACTATGTACACATCAACACATCTTCCACGCGTTACGTCATGGTAATTCCAGTATTTCACCACCCACGATTTTCTTAAAAATTCATTTAATCAATTTAAAATATAACAACCGGATAATTGTGTATATATAAAATGGGATTAAAATGGACGGTGATCGTGGCGGTATGCCTGGGCGCCATGATGGACGAATACCTGTACCAAATCCCGGCAGCCTTATCCGGGCAGTTCCGCAATTCCACCGCCTGTCAGTCGGTGTACAAACTCCTCCAGGAGGGACGTCTCCGGAAGGGGAAATTCGGCCGTCTGGAGACCGTCCCCAGTGAGCCGGTGACCCTCCTCCCGGTCCACCACACCGCCACCACCTCCACCGGCCGTACCCGCAAGCGTCACGACTACCGTCACCGCCCCACCACCGCGGAATGGGGACAGTCCCGGGATTTCCGGGCGGGAACGCCGGAGCGGGAAAAATCCCGCCGGGAGACCCCGAAATGGGAGGAATTCCGAGAGACGACCGAAGACCCGGAAGATAGGCGGGAGGATTTTAAGGCCGCGTTTACTAAGCGGTATCGTACCACGAGCACGACGCCGGCAGAGGAACAGGAGGGCGGAGAGTGGGCGGAGATTAAGGAGTCGGATTTGTTGGCTATGGACCGGGAGATTGAAGAGGCGGATAATGATCCGTGCCTGCATTTTGGACCGCTGCGGTATAACCTGCTGTACGCGGTGCCCGCCCTAGCGACGGCGGTCACGGCGCCGTTTTATCAGTGGGTGCTGCGGCGGTTTGGCACGGCGACGGTGTGCGTGGTGACGTATGCGCTATCGTTTATGGCAGTGTAAGTTGCTTAAATAATTTTGTTCTCGAAATAACGCATAGAAGTAATTTTACTTTAGTAACCTGTTTTATACGTAAACTAATCCTTGTAAGAAGTGGATAATCAGAAATACTATAAAGAATGCAATAAAACTTTATCAAACAACATCATTCTTATCAAACCACTGTGTAAACGATTTTAACCGTACTATCTGTACGAGCGTTAAATCACGGCATACAGTAGTTATAGTTTTACTGATAAAACCTTCTATGTTTAGCGTTTCAAGAATAGTTATTAGCTGAAATTAATTAACAGAACTATAACAGGAATTTTGAAAAAAATAGCTTAATAATTATTATTATAATTTTACTTGTCATAATAAAAATTTTATAACTACAATGTTGGATCGCTTAAAATTATTAATTACGATCCGTATTCATCTTAATACGATACTTTATATACGAACCAAAGAAGTCGCGATACCCGGATTATCAGTCAGCGGCTGCAATATTGTTGAGAAGTTGCTGGCAATTTATTGCAGCGTTGATAATGATTCTACAGTTTTCGATTCGTTCGTTGGATCGTTGAATTAATAATCATTATGTCATGCATCACAGGGTGGCAATGGCTATTGGCAGTCAACTTTCCATTTCAAAAGCGCTGACCACGATGCTGGTGGCTCGAGCTGTTCAAGGTTAGCGAATCAGACAGAGTTATCGCAAATAAAATCAGTCAAATATAATTAAAACCCGTAAATTAAATTCAGTTATTAGTACGAGTGTTACAAAAAAAAACCTCTTATTAATTTTCTATCACGGCATGCAGGTATCACGCGCGGTCTCAACTTCAGCGCCGCCCTGCGCATTTTATCCAAGACATCGGTCCACTACGAGGATTCCCTGTACATCACCGGTCTGATTCTCTTTTACGACATCGGCGGAGCGTTGACCTTTTGGATCACCGGCTCCCTGGGCAGTCGCATCGGGCTGACCGCCACCCTGTGGGTGGACGTGGCGGTAGCTTGTATTTCCTTCGTCCCGGCGATTATTCTCTGTGTATCGCTCCGCCGCAATGAGAAACGCGATCAGATGGCGGCGCTTGTGCAGACGGAGATCTTCCAGGATTCTCTCAACTGGCGCAAGGCACTTAGCCGACAGAATGCTCCAGCGTCCTATTGGTGGCTGATCGGGTTCTCCGTGTTTTTCGTGGGGTGTATACAGATTTTTATCGCGAACGCGCCTCAAATGATACAGGTACGTTGCAGTCAGTGCCGGCATTTTATTCGGAAATTCGGGTGTTCACAAAATCGATAAAATCAATAAAAAATCAGTTGGGCAACGATTAAGACAGTTGACACAAATACGATTAAAAACGTTTATTTTAAATCAAAATATGAACGCGACTGTTTTAATCAGGGGTTGCATACACCTACTGTACATGTATATGCAAACAAAAAATTAGATAAATCATATTTAATTATGTAGGTATGTTCAATCAAGTTAAAAAAGAAAAAAGCAGAAAAGGTTTGAGTTAAAAAAGTATACAAGTACCGATATAAGTTAGATTATGTATACATTTATGCATGTACAAAATTTTAATTGTTGTTGACTTGTTGTACGAGTATTGCAATGGGCCCTTGTGAAATAATGGGTTAATGGTTTGATTTACATAAAAAATTTTGCTTTTGATTGAAAAATATAAGAAAATGCTGTAATTATTATTTTAGTGCGCTGCACGCAGTGCCACTACTTAATATTATTTACTTCAAATCAGTTTAATAAGCACTTAAATATTTTTCGGTAGAAAAGCTGCTTCCGGTAACAGATTAAGTAATTCTTTTAAAAATTTCTCCGTTACAGGACTTGGGCTATACTGAAAATCAAGCCAGTTACGCCATCGGCTTGATTTATTTCACCGGCTTCTTACTGCCGATCTTTGCCTTCTTGGTGGATTACTGGGACCGAAAAGATCTGTGGATCGCCGTCACCGCCGGACTCCTGCTGCTCGGCTTCTCCTTTATGTACCTGCTGAAATCCCTGTCGCTGTTATGCTTCTTCATGGGCACCGCCTTCGCCATGCAGTACATTCTCATCCCAGCCTGCGTGGCCCGCAGCGTCCCCAACGCTAGCTTCAAGTCGGCCATGGACTGCCTGATGGCCGTGACGAATGCCGGGATCGCCGTGCTAACCGTGGGTACCGGCTCCGTCTTACAGGTACACAATGGTATAATATAACATCCAGTTACTTAATTCACTAGGGTAAAGAAGCAGGTGCAGTATTAGTGACCAGCTATAGGAGCTATCGGTACATGTACATAAAATAGTTCACCATGTACCGAATGTAGGTATTAACAGTTTCCAAAATACATATTCTTCGATGTTCCTCACATTAGAACGTATTCGATTTTTTTGCTGCACTGATATGCAAAAAACACTCTAGTGTGCGGCTACTTGAACAATTTACCGCTGCCGGATATCGTAAAGTTTTATTCGAGCATAATTTTTTTTATTTTTTTGCTGTACTTTTATCACAGTACATTTGTCTACTGCCATTTTTGTTTTGCAATCTATTTTCGCAGCACATTATGTTGCTTACCGCAAATATCTTTATTTGAATACAATAACCAAATTTGCGAATAATAAAGTTGGTTTCAAGAAATACATGCATAAGAGCTTGGAGTAAATTATTTTTCCTGTAGACTGGCAGATGTTTATTCTGCAAGTTCGTTTAACAAACGCGTTTAGGATCAGAAAAAGAATTGAAGCGGTAATTCACGCACACCGGTTAAAGTAAAGGAACTGTGGTTAATTTGTCCAGATATTTTCCGGGTATCTCCGCGATGCTTGGGGCAAATTCCTCCTGGTGGACACCACCATGGCCATTATCGCCGCTATCATGGTCATCATGGTCCTACTATTCGACAGCCGTCTGGGCGGCCGGATGCGACAGCGCAATCCTGAACACCCGCGCGCGCTGACCATGATGAACGACACCGTCGGCAAACTGAACTGTATGGGCCACCGCGAGCCGCACCCCCCGCCGCCACCGCGCTCCGAACCGCCCATCGCCATCCGTCCACAACCGACCCGCCTGGTCCAACGCCCCGGTATCCAGCCGGAGCACGCCCACATTGTTGACCATCCGCCGCCCCCGCCCAGCTACGACGCGGCCATGCTGCCCAAAGAGGAAGAAAAGTTTGGGATCCTGCGCAACCCAGCAGGGGGCCGGTCGTACGCCACCATTGGACGACCGGGACGAGCGCTGTCGCAGTCGTCCCGGAGCGATTCCACTTCCAGCCGCCGCTCGCAGTATGGTATATAATTTCTGATATTTCACGGACTGTCTATTGTCAACTGTATTCTTAATTCATAAACGCAGTCATATGCCACTCTGTCCTGTACAACAGAGGTTGATTTTTGACACCTCTGATTGTTTCGTCGACGTTGCGTTGTGTTTTGTGTTTTCCCGTTTTGCTGCTATTGCACTAGCTCCATCTGTCCATCATTTCATTCGTACCGGAGCGCACCGAAGGTCCTTCTAAACGAAAAATGTGTGTCAGTCTGTCGGTTACGGAAGTAAAGATTGACGCCATATAAGAAAGTAAAAAACGAAATCCTACAGTAGATTTGCATAACTGTATAACAGTCCTTGTGACGTCGGCGCAGAGCGGGAAAGTCCCGTATTCGGTTCCAGTGTAGTGTCAATCGCAGTGCAATGCAGTGTCTTTATAAGTTTATATTGCCGACAGAAGCAATTTGTGCTTAATCACAGTCAGTACTAGCTGCAAAATGTCAAAGTTATCTCGCTTGTCTGCATTTCCACCTGGGGATTGGGTAATATAGCCGAGTTAGCATTATACCCTTGGGCTTGGGGGTATCCGTAGCTAAGAATTATATTGACCCGTGCCGTGACTTTTTGTTATTTTACGCCCTGCCAAATCCAGGTAAAATATGACATCATGTTATGGGCTAAACCAGTTTTGTGAAAAGAAGGATCAGTAGTTTAACTCCCATCTTGAATACTTAAATGTGTACGAGGCGAGCGGCAACTCTTTCCCATCGCTTTAGTAAATTACCTCACTTTCCCTGCTGCATCTTACCCGTGTGCAGGCGCTCACGTGATACTTGATTTCAGCCGTTTCACGTCTAAACCGGTTTGCGGCTATAGTTGATTATGCAAACTGATAAAGAATATAGAGAAGAGCACGGCAGGCGAGATTTTATCGCCGGCTCAGTAAGCGCTGATCAGTGATCACAATGGATACGTAACGGCTTGGACTGCTACTCAGTAACGGCTTGGACTGAAAGGCCTGTGATGTCCGCAGCACCAATCGTGCCAAATGGAAGGAGACAGGGAGATCAGTCGAAGCAGAGGATTGGCGCCTTCCCTAGAGATGTGCTTGCTGTCTACCTGTTTAGAATTCTCTTAGTCTGGTTCTGTTGAACGTCTTGCTCTGCCCGAGCCGGTTAGCGCCATTGCGCGTTAAATAAAGCTGGCGCTCGCGTTTGCGAGCTGCTGCATACGATCTGTCTGTTGCAGTGTTATAGCCTCCATTGTAACTCTGCGTGAATGAATTACCGTACTTTGCACAAAATGTTCTGTCTGTCACCTGATTAATGCATTGCTGAACATGTAAACCGAGCCGTTTTCGAAACAACTAGCCGCATAAAGCAATCGCAAAGTACCGGCTGTGTTTTTCACGTGAGCGCCTGCACACGGGTAAGATGCAGCAGGCAAAGTGATGTAATTTACTAAAGCGATGGGAAAAAGTTGCCGCTTGCCTCGTACTTAAGATTTCTACAATTGTGCCAAAAAAAGCTGAAAAACGGAAAATCGACTGCTTTTTTAAGAAAATTCACATCAATTTTTTTATTGGTGCAGATTCTATAGCTACCATCATATAAAAACTTCGTAGACGTCAACGTAAGTACATGTACTGGTGTCATTTATTTTACCAGTGCGCTGTCGTGCATTTTTCGGGTTCCTTGCAGGCAAAAACTCGGATTTACACTCAAAGGAACGGCGTGCATCAGGTTAAAAGGTTTCCTGTTGTATTGACTGAGCATGTCTAGTGCATACCTGTCGTATGGATGCAATAATATGCCTGGTGTCAGAATTTCAGAGAAACAGGTGCTTAGGCTTTTTTTCCGAACGCTGTACTTAACTAAGATAATATTGCTTAAAAATTCCTGCCAGATATCCAGGAAAAACAGTTTCTGGTTTAACTCGGTGTCGCCAATGGTAGCTGTATGGCAGACGTGCATAAACGCAAGTGACAAACCGTTGACTTGTACTTGTAACCTGTTGAAGTTTGGTCGGGCCCGATGTATTTTGACAGTGTTTCCTTGTGCGGACATTGAATAGTCAAAGAGTGTATCGAAAAGAATTCCAACGCTGCCGAGTTTGCAAACAATAATTTTAACTGAGCCTTTTGCTACCGTAAAAACAATATGCAACGGTTGTCAGCTGTCACAGCGGAGCAAATGCAACCTGGGCGAACAGAATCATGCCAACCTTCTGGGGCAAGATCGCCATGGAGATCGAAACATTCATGCTGACAAGATGTCACTGTATGCCACAAACTGTGCAATATACGCACCACAAAGAATTTTCCAAGCATCATAATGCACAAAGTGTATTATATACACATTGTATATTATGGTGGTTGAAAAATGCTTTCGGGTTCCCGGGACTCCATACCAGCGAACCACTACCGGCGAAGTAATTCCACCTGAACCACATGAAACTGACATTGTTGCAATAAATTTAAGAGGACAACTCACCCTTAAACTTGTTGAAACGAGTTATATTGTCGTTGGGGAGGCCGAAAAGTAAGAATTGTAAGAATTCCTACAAGTACTGTACGTACCAAGCTGAAATACCGAAAAGCTAGCTGAAATACTTGTAGCAAAAAAATCAAGTTAGGTCAGTGGGCGTTAATTCACGTTAACCACTGCACTCCGGTATGCAGTTTACCAGATTGTGCATTTATGTAGTTACTAAGTTTCTAGTTACGAGCTTGTTTTGCTGCTTGTGCGAGCTTGGCTGTTAATATAAAATTATTTTAACTGTTATAAAACTTGGCTGCCGAGTAAGTATAAAAAAAATCGACCGCTTTTTAAGAAATTTTATCTTTACATCGGGGCAGGCGCCTTATTATTAGTAAAACAATCGTTTTTTGTACATTAACGTTAGTCGGTAATTTATTTACACCAAAATGCGCTGTCATGCATTTTTCTGATTCCTTGCCGGTGAATACTTGGAGGTACAGATACACTCAAAGGAACTGCTTGCATCAGATTTTTTGTTGTAGTGACTGCGCACGTAGGCACTCGTATGAAGTGGCTGCCGGTCTTATTAATGCAGTTATGTACCCGATGTCAGTGCTCTCCACGGAAGTTTGTACGGGGAATCCGGGAATGGTACACTTAAAGTGAGATAACAATTATTTAAAATGTCTGCCGTCAGAAATCCAGGAAAGCAAGCACGTATGTCTATCTCAAGGTCACTCATGTTAACTAAATTGTAGACGTACATAAATGCATTGGCAAACTTTTGCTTTGAAACCTGTTGAAATTTGATATACCGTAAGCCTCATTGGCCCTTATACATATTTTGACGACGTTTCTCCCCGATATGACCGATATCTGGGAGAATTGGCAATATGTATAAGGGGATATCGTATCGCTATGCTTGTAGCTGTGATCTTTACCTTTTTATAGGTGTGACTACAGTTACAACCGGTGAAAAGTATGAACCGGTATGTGTGGTAAACTTCGCATGAGCACGATTTGTCTACATAGTACATACGCCGTGACAGCGTGACCGCTTGTCTGCGTGAACGACAGCATGTCTGTAGTTCGTTACACGGAGACACGGGATGTACAGGAACAGGGCACATGCCCTGTTCCTGTACATCCCGTGTTCACCTGAGCCGCTGACCATTCAAGTTCCAGATTTTAAGAAGGACTTCATGAATTGCATGCAGCACTGTGACTCCCAGTAAGTTGAACATATCCACATAGGCGTTTCACTTCAGAAGCGCAAGCAAGTTCATTGCAGAACAATTCAGAATCCTAGTGAACGGTGAAATAGATTCATAACATTACATAACTATTGATAACACGACATAATTAATTTTTGCTTTTTAATTCTTGTATGACTCTGCAAGGGTGTCTTTTTTTTCTTTTTTATTATTTTTTTAAAATTACGTGCTAAATAGGAATAAAGCGATTTGGGAAACGGTAGCTGAGGTGTAGCAGCTGCAAGCACTGCAATGCATTTTTATCGAAGATCTGCACTGAATTTTTTCTTAGTTAAGGAACCGGCTTGCTCGGATCAGTAAAAAAGTTCATATTTCCAGAAAAACCAGCGATAAAAATATCTGGCAACGTTATCCGAATTTTCTATTTGTTTGTACGAGTATAATTCCTATGTTAAATTCCTATGTTATAACCTTATTCCCAACATGTTGTTATGACAGAATGGCGAAAACCGGTCAATCTTCATGGCTGGAAGCCGGACGGCTGCATGGAGGGGAGAACACCCCTTGACAGCAGAGTAATCAAGAAGAACAACGGCAGAGAGTACCTGGCGATTGTCGAAGAGTGTATCAATGTTGGTACATTCGTCTACCATGGCTAGGTACTCGCTTCTGTTAACAGGAGCGGCAAGACCAGTGGGTTTGCAGTATATTGTCTATTTTGGTGACGCCTTTTGTGATTATACGAGCAGAAGAACGCACGGTTGCGTGTATCTGTGCATATAAGCCGGGCAGACCAACCGGAAACGTTCACATTGCAGCGCGATGAGTGTCATATTGTGCATTCTAATGCCTGGAAAGTGTTTTGGGGTTACAGAATTGCAGTCCCAGTGGAACATTACGTGGAAAACTGTTTTTAGCGGAGCCAAATGAGACGGACATCGTTCCAGCAGAGTTACGGGATGCTTTCGCTAGAACGTTTATCTTGGTCGGCTAGGAGGCTACGCATTCCTATAAGCCATGCCTCCTGTTTGACAACATGTGGTATGGCGTGTAGGAATGCTTAGAATCCTAGTGCTGAAATCTCCCTGGTTTCAACTCTGCTTACGTCGGAAAAAAAAACTGAAAAGACACTAACCCTTCTCGAGAATTAATTTTTTTAAACAATCACTACCGCATTTTAGGTAGGAGTATTCTGCATATTTTACAGTACTTACACTGACTTACAGAATAGTGAACTCCTCGCAAATGTTTCGCTTTAATTCTTTTGAGGGAAGGCCAAAAAAAGATCCCCTCGCATTGTCATAGTGTTCCCGCACAGCTGTACGAACGTTATGTTTACGTGTTTTAGATTTGGTATTTGTGTGCTCGTATTTTAATGACGATAACATACAGTAAGCCGTGTTTAAGCGTGGTTATTTTTCCGAATTCTACAATGGAATTCTCCGGCGACAGTCAGCTTTCCAAAAAACACAGTTTTAAAGAGTCTTAACTGTTGCGGGAAGCATCATGCTGAACTATGTAAAAATGCGTTTGAAGAAGAACTTAACAGATTGCTTCTTCCTGTGATTTTTGTATACTGAATCTAGCCGTTCTTTCCCAACATGGTCTCCCCAAATTTGTTATATCCATACGTTCTGCTGTTGTTTGAGTCAGAAAACTTGGTCTGGAAGCCGGATCGTTCCTGAATTGTATAGTTGCCGCAAGTCCATGTGTCAGAAATCGGCGCATTATCCTGGATTGCAGGGAACAAATTACGGATCCCCGGGATCCGCTGCAGATAGTCGCGGATTGGTTTCGAAAAAAAATTCCGGAGGTTATTCAAAGACGAGCAGTGGCATTGTTCGTCATCCAAACAGAGAGGATTCCACTGCAAATTAAGCCCCGATCTCGAACCGGACGCTGAAAGACTGTCCAGGAAACGCTGCTCCACATCCGTCAGGTTATTTCCATCCAGGGAAACCCGCAGTATGTCGCGCATGACAAACGGATGGCTCACGGAAAGTTCAGAGATTTTGTTGCGGGATAGGCTAATTACCTGCGAAAACAGTAAAAATTGTGGAACGACCGGTCTGAAGTTATTGCTATATTTTGAAACGTTTTGCCGTGCAGACCATTGCAGAATGCTTTGTACTAATGGTAAGAAAAATAGCACAGTTGGTCACTGATTTCCGAATACTAATTTATTAATACGTACAACAGTACAAGGGTACAATGCATGCAAAATGATGAGAATTCTGATGAGTACTCGAGCTTGTGTACAAGCTCTATCAGGTATATTATCAGTCTTCAATCGCATCTCACGAAGTACGAAGCACCCTTACAAATGTTGAATTCACAAACCGCTTTCATATGTCGGAACGGCGTGTGGTAGGCCACTGAGTTCAACGCAAAGGAGTATAAAACTAGAGCCGAAAAATTCTGGCAGCCGGAAAAAGCGCTCTTTGCAAAAACTGAGCATTGGGTTAAGCATGGCTCATTGCTTGAGTACGTATCAAAGTTCTTCTTCAGTTGTATACATATTACATATATTTTTCGAATGTACGAGTTTTCAATAAAGTATTATATATTGCGATAAACTGGTAGAGACAACTAGATTAATGGATCACTGTGCAAACGCGCATAGGCGGCATTGCTGCCTCTGAGGTTATGTAATTTGAGTGCGTTGCGCAGTATGTAATACTCTCACTGCAATGTCAGCAGCCAGCGGCTCGAACACTGACCAGTCAAACGTCTTGAAATTATTGTCAGAAATATCCAAGAATCCTAACTGGTAAGACGATGCGCTTCCGCTAACTGGTGCAAACGATTCAAACGCATCGAGTGCAATCGTCGACATTCGGTTGCGCTTCAGTTGCAAATATAGTAACGCAAAAAACCCCTCAAACGTATCCCGCGCAATGGTGGGCAGAAACGTATTCTGGATAAATAAAAGGACAACTCGTTTCTTGACATTGGTAAGAAAAGCGGCAATAGGAAAAGGCGGGTCATCGGACGTCATTGAAACACTCCCGATATCAAGACGCGTGATTTTGGGAAGCGATGGCAACGGATCAACTACCGGCAGAATATAGCGGGGACTGCAGATTTCGAATTCCCATGGAAAAATGCCTATTTGCAGGAAATCAACATTAGTCGGAATGGCACTTAAATTATACACCGGTTGCCGGCATGAACAGCTCTGTTCACGTATTTCTGCAGTGCAAGTTGGTAAACCGTAAGACATCTGGAACTCTCTGCCCGGCATCTGAAACCCAAATGAACTGACACGAGTCCAAAACAGCGTTACAAAAATTATGTTAATTAAAAGAGTGTTCATTCTTTATGTTATGCCAGACTTTGCAAGAAAACTAATGCATGCAGACCGCATTAACACTTTTCCGATACACGGTCGTTTAAGTAAAAAAACGCTTTACCCGTTTACAAAGCAGCTTTATTTTATAGACCGTGGATCCGCAAAGCCTACAATAAACGCTCTTATTGCCTCTGGTCATATATGCACGCTGCTGTTAGCAGAACGTTTATTTTTATCGTTGACGTGGAAAATAAGCGGATTTTACGGAGCGCAGCGACCTTCTGCGAAAATTATGCGTAATAGTTATTGCTCATCTCCGGATAGCGTCCTGCATGGCAGCGGCGAATATTGCTGAGCCAGTTGAATGATCGATTAACGATTTTCGGGGTTAGTGGCAAATTTAATCAGAAAACAAAGAACTCGATGTAAGAACTACTAAAAAAAGGCATTTAGTGACAAAATGCGGACCAGGATTTGTTTTTTCTGAGAATTACTGATGAGAATTAGCTGTACCGCGCGTCAATCATGGGGCCAATCGCATGTTACAAACACGCTACCGGCAGTACTGTACTATTCGACGATCCGGAATAATGAGGACTGTTGTTCATAATGTGTATGACCTTGATGTTGGATTCGTCGTCTATGTATTCGTCGATTCAGATTCTGTCACCATCAGATTCTATCAGATTCTGTATTCTATCTACGTTTATATCTGTACATAATATTATGTACACAATGCCATAAAATGCTTGTTTTTGTCACCAGCAGGCAGCAGAAGCTTTCCGAAATACCTGTGCATAACGCTACTTTAAATTTGGGAGTGGGCGTCGACCTTTTCTACAATATTATATGGGTTGCCGGTTACAGCTGTGCCTTTAACAGGATTTTGGAAAGACAAAGGGCGACCGCATAAACACTATAAACTGCATCTGATCGTTTATTGTCCGTTGCACCGCAATTACACCGGAATAGGCGGGAGTGTAGATTTTAGTTGATCATTTCGGATGAGCAAACACTGCGCACAGATCCTTTATTACTGTTCATATCTGGGCAAAAACGTACACCGTACAAGTACAGAGTACTGCTTAATCCATACTTCGGTTTGAGAAAATAAATCTATGCCGGTTGGAAAAAAAACCGGGGTATGTCGAACGAAGAACGACGCTTACCTTTAAAATGTGCAATGAATTGCGAAGACCGAAATTCTAAAACGTGGTGCGATGCTCGAAATAATTTTCATTTGACGGCATCCATATTCTGGAAAACCACGTTAATCGCATTGTAAAACGTTTATAGATACCATAAGAGCTCACATTCTGTCTCACGACTACTCGATTACGCAGACGCTCGTATCTCCGTTCCCAATTTTCGTCCATGAAATATTCCTCAAACTGGATGTGCTAAATAAAACTGCCGGTTGATTTGACAATGATCGGGGTCGCCGCACGAATGTGATAAAGACGACCGGAAGTGGATGCAAACCCTTCAACGGAAAGAGTTGGCACGGCACTGCAAAACTAGCGATTCGTGCTCACTACACTGCAGTTGTGTGATTGCTGCATAACGGTCAAGCATGCTTTTATGATGGTCCAGCACTTTTTTACCCTACAAAAATTAATAATCACAACGAGAACTCGACGCATTTGGCACTTGTTTGTGTGAAACATTCTCTTGGGTTCCGTTAGAAAGTTCCGTGGTGTCAATCAGAAGCTGAACGATCGTTTGTTAGAACAATTAATTGTCAAATCGAATTAAAAAAGTACGGGATTGGAAGCATCATCAGCAGCAAAATGCTCCCATTACTTGTAACGCAGTTGAGCATTGCGTTTGGTAACTTCAGTTAATGCAGCATGCAGATCCACAAAACAAAGTGAAAACATTTCCTTGTAGGAACACTATAAGCAAGCAATTTGAACAAAAGTTTCGTAGTACTTAATTCAACGGCAGATGCCGGAATATCGCAGGCAGTTGGTGCGCATAGTTTTTGAAGTGTTTAAGGTCACAGACTTAGTTAGGTACTGACCGTTCCGGAGTGACTACACAGAAGCTCCAGAGCACCGTACCGGTTCATCGGTAGTTTCGAACATGCATGGTGTTCGGTAACTTCGGTTAGCCATTACGCTCGTCTACAAACCAAAGTGAAAACATTTTCCTTGGGGGCCATTCAGCAAGGAATGCGAACAAAAGTTTCGTAACATTTGATTCAACGGCAGATGCCGGAAAATCACAATCCACTTTGTGCTGCACGCTTTCCTTTTATTAAACGGTCGTGTTCTTAAAAAAAGTTATGTAAATCTCTACCGTGTATGCTACAGATAGGATGTCAAGATTTTCAAGCGGTCACACATCACTTGGGACTTTTGAATATAAAATGCCAGTTGACTGCTATTCCGAAATTAAATGCACCTCTCTTTCTAAATGGACTAAAATTCTTGCCTTTGACTAGAAACGATGGCTTTGCAAACCTCTTGTCATGGCTGAACCAGGCAGTAATAACACAACGCTGATCGTATTCGACGGCAACTTGACCGGTATACAATGGAACATCCTAGCTGGACTGCGGCTCTTTACCTGTACCACAACATTCTCCTTAAATGTGGCTGTATTGACGGTGTTCATCATGACTAAGAAATTGCACACACCGTTCAACGTTTACTTGATCAACCTTCTCGTGGCGGATATTGTCTATGTGAGCCTGTCCTCATTTCAAGGCGTCATCGAATGGTTGAAACCCAATTGGTGGGGTGGTTTTGCGCTCTGCTGTGTGTACAAATACGGGATTAATGCGCCGGCCGCCTGTATGATCTGGTCGCAGGTGCTGGTCACCGTCAACCGCGTGTGGGCGGTCACGTGGCCGCATTTGTACCGGACACACCACACGGCACGCTGTGCGGTCCTGACGTGTACAGCCATGTGGATGGTCATTCACGCCATCTGTGTGCCGTATCTCATTCTGGATTCCTGGTGGGATCTGTTGCCGGGATCACTTTATGGGTGCTTTTTTAACTCCGAAGCGCATTTGCTGTACACTCAGGCAAGTTTCCAGGCAACAAGCCAGAAACCAATAAATTCAAGTATATTCGATAAATTTTTAATTTTTTTAAAGATAAACACTAGAACAAAATAGAACAATCTGCCGCTTTCGTCAGACGTTAAAGCCTAGCGAGTGAATTGCAACCCACTGGTTCTGTGATTATACAAAGCGTAAGCGTCAGTTTGACGGGAGCACCGATTGACTGCAAAAACTGAAAAAAACCGTTCAGCAGATGATTGTAATATTTCGATACTTGAGTCTGTTCGTCTGGAAGACTGAAGGAAAAGAAGGATTTCCTGAGCTCACATTAAAAGTAGACTCGTGAACGGAAAAATCATATAAAACATAATTTAGCCTAAACGTTTAGGCTAAATTATCTTTTATATGATTTTTCCGTTTTAACTGTTTTACGCAGTTTCTATACATTTTTATTGCAGATATCTTTACTGAAAGAGTTTCGATGGCATATGCTCATTTTTAATAAAAAGTGCTCACCGTGAGCTTAATTTGATTATTGGCATTGCCAATGTAAGTATTTTAGCCAGTTTTTTATTAACGCCACAGATTATCGAGATCTCCATGGCCGACTTTCCCGCCCTGTTCATCATTGTAACCTATCCTTATTTACTCTGGATGACCCTCAATCGCCGACACCGTCCCACTCGCCCATGTCACAGACGCGGCTCTGCCCCCGTGTCCAGTGGGGGCCCCCTCGATAAAGAACACCGTACCGCATTCTTGGTCCTCACTCTGCTGACCATCAGTGTAATTATCTTCCTGGTTCCATTACCGCTCGTCATGATGATCGGGTTAGCTAACAGTTGGCTAGCCGCCAGTGCATCATTCCGCGCCTCACTCTGGCTACTAGAGATCCAGGCGGCGGCGGACACCGTCATCATCTTCGTTAGTGTCAAAGATCTACGGGACACCGTAGCACAGACACTGTGCTGCCGGAGAGGGCGCGGGCCAGATCGACGGTTCTCACGGAATAGCGTCGGGAGTATCGGATTGAACATCATGTTTATCTGCGGAAAATAAATGCGGAAGTGTCTTGTTCGTCGCTGCTGTGTATCCGCTCTTTACTCCACTATTGGGCATTTGTTTTTAAGATATCATATTCTTCAACTTGTTACCACAGATCTGGAAGAACGCGGTGCAAGGAACGTAAGGTCACCTTCAGGTCAGGTTAGATATTGTGAGTCTGTTCCGTTGCCCTCCGGAGTTTAACTATATTAACTATACGCGCGAGAACGGCAGTTATGTGATGTCAGTATTGTCATATTGATTAAAGCTCATGCAAACATGCTAATAACAGATACAGGATAAATCTATTCACTCACCTGGAACGCTATCCATTACAATCACTGCATACAGAACAGATGCAGCGTACATCCGCTACGGCCTACATTCCAGTGCAACGAACGTTCGTGGACCTTGGTTGTCATTACATGTCACGGACCCAATCTCAAGACTCAACCAAAAACAGTTTGCCCTGTTACCGTGAACTGTGTGTGTAGCAATCAGTTGTACGGGAGTTTGGAACTCTATCCACATTCTACCCGGTATTTTACGTTGATTTGTCACCGTTACACTTAATGGTGGAGCAACGAACGTGACCCGTTATTGTGTTGGTACAGAAGCCAGTTAATGATGATCGGGATAGAACAACAAATAATTGATATGCTGTAACAACGCTGACTGGATCGTTGAATTCTCGAATTTTTGTACTGTATAAACTCCGGAAAGATCACCGCGCAAAATTAGCATCCAGGCAACAATGCAGTTTCAACGCACTCTTTACAACCAAAAACGCTCTACGACTCACTTTTCCAAATATTCAGTTCCTCGCAAAATTACTTCTCAATCGCGGCGTCAGTTGAGGGTTCATTGAGAAGCTGGTGTCCTTAAAGCAACGATATACCGCAGTACAAAGCGGCGTTGATAACGGCAATTAACCACCGGTAATCGTGTGGTGACAGTTACAAACCTCCGATATAAGCGAACTGCCGAGCGGGCGAAATGAAAGCAATGATCATTTCAATCCAATCTCGCGCAGTCTTGTCGCTCTTGCAGTAGCGCTTCCACGATGGCTGAACCAGAAAGCAACAGCACAGCACCAACAGTATTCGATGGCAACTTAACCAATGTGCGTTGGAACGTCCTTGCAGGGTTGCGTATATTCACATGCACGACGACAATCTGGCTGAACGTCGCTCTGCTATCCGTATTTATCGTGACGAAAAAACTGCACACTCCCTTCAACACTTACCTAATCAATCTTCTTATAGCGGATATTGCTTATCTGACACTGTCGTCGTTCCAAGGCGTAATCGAGTGGCTGAAGCCCAACTGGTGGGGTGGTGTTACGCTGTGCTGTTTATACAAATACGGGATCAATACGCCGGCGGCCTGCATGGTCTGGGCACAGGTCCTCGTCACTGTTAACCGTCTGTGGGCCGTCACATTCCCCCATTCGTACCGCACCCGACATACCACGCGGTGGGCCGTCGGGGCGTGCGTCGCTATGTGGGCAGTCATGCACCTTTTTTATGCGCCCTATCTGATAATGGATGTTTGGCGGTATCCGCTGCCGGGACCGCTGTACGGATGCCGCATCAATGCTGACGCGCAGCCAGTGTATGTCCGGGTAAGTATTACGACTAGACGTTTGTGACCTGCGGTAAAATTTGCTTCAGGCAGCAGTTGCACCACCGGAACTGGTTGCTTTGGGGAGGCAATATTTTCGGCCAGAGATGTTACACTTAATGTTCGAGACACATGCAGCATGATAACTGTGACAAAACACTGCATTGCAACACAAAAACAAAATCACAGTGTGCTGATCTTGATAATAACTTTAGCCATATAACCATTTTACCTCTTTTAAAATTATTGGAGGTGAACGGAAGTGATGCATTTTCGAATCTGACGACTTCGTAGATCAAAGAAAGCTTATGCGCGTTTGCGCTGCCATAACACTACATAAAATATAGTTTGGCAGCTAAGTAGTTTCAATGCAGCCACGCTTTCGTGTCTGTGTAAATACTTTTACGGATTTGCGCTGCCAATTATAAGGGCGTTCCTTTAATTTTGTCAAAAGTTGGCGATATATTGTCGATGTTACTCAAAATTAGATAAGATGTTGGCCTGAAAAACAGATGCTTTGTTTCCACACATATCGCCAACACAGGCTCTTTTCTTTTCGTGCCTATGCTGGCAATTTATGCGCGTTTCTGTTGCTTTTTTTTGTTAATCTTCTGTATTGTATTGTGGAACGGCTGGCTAATTTCAACTTCTTGTACTCTGAACATCTTTTACGCCATCTCTTTTTCAGATTATTTTTGTTTCCATGGCCGATTTTCCGGTCTTGTTTATCGTGGCGACCTATCCGTATTTGCTGTGGAAGACCGTCAAACGCAATCGCTGCCTAGCGGTTTCATCACGAAGGATTAGTGCAGCCTTTATACCGGCACCCTGTGGACGACCGCTAGATAAGGAGCACCGCACCGCCTTTTTGGTGCTGACGTTGCTGACCATCAGCGTGATAATTTTTTTGTCTCCGTTGCCACTCGTGCTGATGATTGGGCAGGCCACCCATGTACTGGCGCCTGGCGCGTCCTTCCGAGCCACACTCTGGCTGCTGGAGATCCAGGCGGCTGCTGATACGGTCATCATCTTCGTTAGCGTGAAGGATTTACGAGAGACCATATCACAAGCGTTGTGCGTAAAGAGGCATGCCACGGACAGGCGTTTCTCGCGAAACAACGTTAATCAAGTCGCACACAGCCCCATGGTCATAATCCATGGAAGATAAGCAACAAATTCACACCCCAGAAAAATCTATCTCGTAACAGGAGTGGCTTACAAGTATTAATTTACAATATGTGTTGCACACAGTTGGCGCCTGCTGCCGAAATATGTAGCAGAAAACGGTAGCAGGGCCAACGGTTAACGGAGTAGTGCTTTGAAACGAGCTGCTTGCTGAATGAAACGTTACAAGTATTGTGCTTGGCTGTGAAAATTTTGCATTTGGATTGTTGGCTTTTTGTGCATTAGAATCAAGAAACCTTGGTGAAATGTATAATTAATGTTACCGCTTCCGGTGACCACTGTGGGCGCTGGAACCCCGGCTGCTGGGCGACTGGTACCCTCGTGAGCGGCTGTGTGCGGTGACCGTGGGTCAGTGAGAAGCCGGCCGACAGGGGGTCGGCGGAAGAGAACGACCAGTGCCCTGCGCAACCGAAGGCCCCTTTATTGAGCAACGCGAAATAACAACGAAGAACAGCAGGGTGTGGCGGGTGGTAAAGAACAAAATCACTCGCGCGCACACGAACGGAAATGCAGTGACAGAGCAAATGCAAATGCCGAACCAAAAGCAGAACCAAGTGCGGGCACAGGAACAGTGCCGAGTGCAAACGGCCGTCGTCGGCGCGTGTAAGGCGGCGGCCGCTTAGATCTAAGCGGCCGTAGCGGCGCAGCGCCACCACCGATTCAGGTAACTGGCTACAGAAGGCGAAAAGAAAGAGCGGGAGCACACAACCTCCAGCTAACATTAAAACCAATTAACGTCGTTAATTGTAACTTACAGTCGCAGATTCATTATAATTATATTGTCAGATCAGGACTAAGTGTAAGTGGTTTGTCTGTTATTTTTGTTGATTGTTCGTTGTTTGTTATTGGTGTTGTTGTTGACTGTCGCTACTCCGGCCGGCAATGTGCCGCAAGATCATTCAAACGTTGAAATGCTAAACATTGCGATTAGTTTTACGGTTTATACTTTATACCGATGGCAGCAACTACAAGGTTGTTCGTGGCACCGTTTTGTTGACCCATACCGAGATATGTACGCCGCTAATACGACGAGGGGTTGCTGCTGACTGTCGCTGACTACATCAGTCGCTCGAGTTCGGTGTAATTGTGGTTTTCCTGTGTATGCTCCTTAAGCGCTTTGCCCATTGAGACAGAATGACGCTGCAAACTGGAACGGCGGACCGTCAAACGATCCACTGTACATCTTAATTATGATTTCAATGTTTACACGCTCTAGGGAGCAGATAAAACCCGCAGGATCGTGCAGTCTCTCTTAAGAAAAAGGGACACTCCTTAAAACTTTAACTACTGTGTATCACTCCTCCAGCATCTGCGAGGCGAAGTCCATTGTGACAAATTTAGATTATTTCAGCCACTTAACAGCCGCTGAAATAATTTGTGCAAGCTATCGATGAAAAATAATAACAGTAATCCTCTTTCAAACAGATGCGCTATTATAACAACATGTATTGTAATAGCAAACGTGCTTGTGGACGCATTTGTATGTTCCTAGTTCTCCTTGTTCTTTGATATGTTTCTGATTTATGCTTTTTATGCTCTTCCAAGCATTATTATGCTCTTAGTTAATATCTTAGCAATATAGTGAACAAAAGCAAAAATAATTGCAGGAGTATAGACGTAGCGAATTGTAAGCGGCTGTAAACCGTGTCACCATTAAATTCAAAATTTACAGCTCACGTTATAAAAACTGGTACCCTGCAAATCGAAAGTGTTTCTTTCCATGCTTTAACAACGCCAGAGCTTTTTGTTTTGTTATTAGTTTTTAACACTAATAGTTTGTAGATTTATCTGCGTCTGTTCGTCTAGACTGCTCGTGGGGCGGATCGTTGATTCGTCCGTAGTTTTTCTCCACTTTCTACAGAAGAGAATTTGGCTCACGGCATCGCGGAGATCCTTGACGATGACGAAAATAATGACGCCATCAGCGGTGGCTTGCAGTTCCTGCAGCCAAATGGCCGCCCGGTAGAAAGCGACCGGAACGTCGTGGTTGACAAAGCGTCCGGCCAGCATCACCAGGGTCATTGGCGTCAAGCAGACCACCACACTGATGGTGAGCCATGTTAAGACGATGAAGGATGTCCGGTTCTCGTCGCTAAAGGTGCGCCAGTTTCCACTTGCAGGCAAGGACGTGGGAAACGTGTATTCCCTGGTTTTCGGTTTGATCGATTTGAGATTGTTTGGACGTTTCCGCATGATGGTTTTCCATAGTAAGTACGGATATGTCACCATGATCAGTATAATCGGCAGGTCTGCCATGGATATTTCGATCACCTGCGGTCAAAACAAAGGTCACAAAAACCCATATATGAAAATTAATGGCAATTTTTTAAGTGGTAGGAACTCGTGACAGGGCGGTAAAATACTGCGAAAAATGAGGCACAAATTCGATAATTTCGTTGTAATAGGCAACGTTTAACAGTACAGATAGAAGCAGGACGTAGGAGTAAAAATAAAAATCGGCCAGTCGGTTCGCGGTTCAAAAACTGAATAATGAGAAATGGGCAGTCTGCACCAATAGCGCATATAAATCACCAGCAAGAATTTCAAACAGGGAAACGTTTGTTTGTGCAATACGCGTAGAAAAGGAGCAACTGCTTGGTTTTAGCTTACCTGTACATTTGTAATTGTATGCATAGTATTCCATAGTAATATACTGACTCTATTCAAATTCAGGTAGCGTAAAGAACTCTTTAACATAATGCACTTCTACACTTGCCTGTGAATAAACGGCCTGTGGGTCAACATTGATATGGCAGCCGTTAATCTCACCGGGCAGTGAATACCACCAGGCATCCATCACCAGAAAAGGCACGCACACCACATGCACTACCATCCACATGGCCACGCATGTACCGACCGCCAGACGACGCGTATGCAGGAACCGGTAGGAATGCGGAAAGGTCACGGCCCACACCCGGTTCGCCGTGATGAGGACCTCCGTCCAGATCATACAAGCCGACGGCGTGATAATACCGTATTTGTAGATATTGCACAGCCAGAAGCCGCCCCACCAATTTGCTTTGATCCACTGGATTACACCGTGGAAGGACGATAGCGCAAGATACAGAAGATTCGCCACGAGCAGATTGATCAAGTAGATGTTGAACGGTGTCTGTAGCATGCGTTTCGCCAGGAACACCGCCAACAGCACCAGACTCAGCCAGAAAGTAGCGGTACACGTGAACAGACGGAGACCGGCGACGAAATTCCACTGGACGTTGGTCATATTGCTGTCGCATGCCGGCGCCACGATATGCGTTGTAGTATTGTTTCCCTGTCCGAGCATTGGAGGAATGTTGTATATAATAGCACATATGCACTACAGGCAGGACCGTTTCCTTTCCGGAAAATAATCAGCAACTAAAACAAAACTGCATCACGAAACAGCGGCTTATATGGCATGGCTGAGTTTTCTGGAATCATGTGCCCAGAGCAGAGAGTTGAATGCGTGCACCAGCGCACCTTTAGCAATTACTCACTATTTTTAGGTCAACGACGTTTTATTGTCAGTCGGGGTAGGGTGGCAAGCTCACTGGATTTTCACAAAAGAATGTGGATCGGACGGACGAATCAGTGGATTTTCACGGCGCAATTGTCATAAAGCAAGGAAATTATTTCCTATCACAAGCGTAAGCGTTTCAGGTAAGCCTTTCAGAATGCATCTATCAGTAGTTACCATTTACCAAGATAAACGAAATTGCGATGGTTGCATCGCATGAAGGAATATTTACTGCACTATCATTTGTTCACGAAAAATCGATGCACAGATGATCGGTTACTAACCGATAGTTAGGCCGATGGAAAAAAAGTTATGCATGCTCTAAAACTTTGTAGGAACACCGAGGTTATCTGTGACTATAAATTCGTCCTTAGCGATCCTCATAAGGTCAACCATGAGTGGATGTGCGGGAACTGAATTGCCTCGCACATTATTAGCTTGATTTTGTGCACTTTGTATCAAAACATTTTTGTGCGTCATTTCAAACATATACATAGAATTATCTAAAAAATCTAGAGTAGGGTTTAAAATTTTGATTGCGTGCGTAGAGGATGTAATAATCCGCCGGCTGTTGCCTGAAAAATGCATTGTTCAAAATATTTTGCCTCCTAGACAACACAAGGTCTCAAGTACAGACGGCTGACGACGAGTAACGCTTTGATGATAAACTAAAACGATACAGCTGCATGTGAATCATGTTCTTTGGTACGACCTGCCAAATCTTGCAAGGGTTCAGCAGGCTACCTAGTAATTAGTGTTCCGTGTGTACACTCCGTCGTTCGCGTTTCCCCATAATTTTCTGGAGTGAAGCAGACAACATTACGGACTGCTAACTGGAGCGTGTAGACGGCACAACAGACTTATGTGTCATCGACACTACTTTTGATAATCCCTAGGGTACATCTTTGGTACAACTTAGTGAACCTATTATTCTTCTTTCCGGACACAGGGAAAGGTCTACAAACAGCTGCGACGGATGCCCCTCAAGTTCACCGTGGGCAAAAAGCGTAAATATCGCCAGATAAAACACAGACATTTCACTATCTGGTCTATCTCCTTGTACGCGTAATTAGCCAATGTTGATCGAACGCGTTTTGAACAGCGCTTCAAAGGGCACTTTTACCGGCCAGTTGCCTACACAGTAATCATTACTCGCAGTGCGAAAAAACTGGCCTTTTCTGATGACTAGCCGTAACTAATGGTCGAACTACGGCCATTAGTTCGACCATTTTGCAAAATTATTGGGCAGTTGTTTAAAGAGAGTTGAACAACTTAACTACAGTGAAACTTCTCTACTACGTACACCCTCCGTTCCCAGCTTCCTGAACGTTACAAAGGGGTGTACGTTAGGTAGGGGCACTGCCCCCAGGGGCGAATTAACGCCCCCCCAGGGGTGAGTTATATATTTGCGTGTAGCAACCGGAGGCGGCGCCGTGTATGTTTTGGAATATAAAATGACTTCTTCAACAATGATTTTCGAGCTTTTTCTCCAAAGAAAAACTCTGACGCTTACGTCCCGCGTCCATTTCTAAACAGATACAGTACCGTAATTGATAGGTTAAGTTCCCAACTACGTCTGTAAATGTTGTTTTTCATCGTTCCGCTGCTTCGCATAGCAAGATCCGGCATTGGGCACACTTAAATCTGGAAGCCGGAGCTTTCTTTGAAATTGTTGTTCCTCGTTCTTAGCCAGGTGTACGTAACGTAGGGGTTGAACGTATGTTAAATATGGTCTGCCGTTCCATGATAGGTGTACGTTATACTTGTAGAGGGGTGAACGTTATAAAGAGAACTGCCCCTATGTTATAATATGCCGGACAGTCCGGTTCCGATCCGTATGCACATAATAAAGGGGTGAACGTTATAAAAAAGTGTACGTTACGAGGGGTTTCACTGTAGTTTATTAGATAAATTTGCCTCTACTTTTGCTATGCGCTTTGCTGATGCTTTTTTCAGCAGTCATACTTCAGCACAACATTGTTCAACCATACGTGAAATTGTATGCCGTAAACAAAAATTGCACTAACATGTAAGCTTATGTTGTATCCAAATTAGTATCAATAAAACAATTCTTGTGTAGGGCAACTTCGATTACATTAACTGCATAACTTCGGCTAAAAACAATTATCTGATAACGATGCCAATAATTCACCGATAAAACAAAGTAATACATTGATGCGTACCAATAAAAAACTAATTAATAATTGAGCTACTGATACTTTTATAGTCAATAAACATTGTGCTGGAAATTGGACTGGCACTTTTATGTTAAGCATTGTACTGGTAAGTGGACGTACCTAGTAATAGTCCACAGCTTGCCGTCAGTTGTGGATACCGTTTCGAAAGTGGAAGAGAAAACTGCAGTACGCTCTCTGCATATCATGCAAGGCCAGATCGTTTCCGCATAGAAACGGACGGTACCAGTTGGTTGAGTAAAGTTTAACTTCTGTACGAGTAACGCGAACTAGGGTATCGTTTGGACAACGACGGCTAATTAACAGTGTCACGTTTTGATTTTTTAATCTGCTACATGGTGCCGGCTTAGTTGATTAGCATTTAATTATGTGCATCATGTTCAGTAAGACTTAGCGGTTATAACAAGACGCATAAAATGCGGCGCCTTGTATGCGCGCAATGTCAGAATCCGCAAAGTAGTTGCACAACAACTAAGTACTGTTGTAGACGGACGCGGTTATTTTGACAATCGCATACGGCAAAAATGAATCAACTGACACAAGTAGATGAACCCGGACGGTGTGAAAATAATCATAATTATGTTCTGCTGATCGTTGTGCTTGGGGCTACTTTGAGGTTAGTATCGCTTTACCGCTTAGAATTTTGAAGTACGTATAAGTTTATAACCATAAATTCTAGAACGATTAACAATGCCGACACCTGCTGTTACTGTCTATCTAGTCTTATAAAAATTTAACGTGGATTACATCAAGATGGATTTCCCTGCCGTTATTGTTCAGTTTCTTAAAATATAACCACACCTACAGATCTGTAGATGGATGGGCGACTTAGCGAAGTGTACGTCGTAGGAAGATACCAACTTCGCGTCCGTACTTCGCGCTGTACTTCACGTCCGTACTGCTAATATTCGCTTGTTATTCGAATATTGCAATTCTGGAAAGGGTAGCATGGAAGAAGTGTTTCTGTTATGAATTATAAGTTATGAATATTTAGTTTGTATTGACAACGGTACTTGATAAAGGTCTTACAGTTGTATTATGTCAGTCTTCGTAAGTATTAGGTACGTATGTGCATTTTCCTGTCATGTTTCTTACTAATATTTGACGGCTTTCGATCCTGAAAGTGTTTGTTATACTTGATACCCATTTCAAAACCTTTTTAATAATGCCGGAAGAATATGCTCTAGTCACAGGCAATTGCTCAGGTTACCTTCTGCTTTAATACGTACTCTGTTTACAAGCTGATACAGCTAATGGCGTTATTACAGACTGCGAAAATGTTTACAGTTGCAATGTGCTTGGTTCTATAGCTTTTTCAGGGACACTCTATCAGTGCCTTTAAAGGTCATATCTACCGTTACTTGCCACATGGGTACATGGGTAATTCACGACGTCTTGCCATTAATTATCTGTAGTTTGTTCAGTTTTTGAGTGCAGAATTACATATTTCCTGTTATTGTGTCAGTTTCCATCTGATGCAACGAATCAAGACAGACGTACCGTGAGCGTCGCAATCAACTCATCCGTCTGCGGAAGGTAATATTGCAAATTACTCATACTTGTGCGTACAAAGTGCTTAATGGAACGACCGATTAGCTGCTCTAGTGGACGAGTTGAATCGACTCGTTCAATCGACTCGTTCTTTGTGAACAAGCAGTGGTTAAAACTGTTTGCCAAAAAAAGCATTTCATAATACAATGCAAATACAGAGGATCTTGTAGATTAATTGATCGTCCGTGCTAGTAAGATATCGAAAAGTTGAAAGCGAGCTGCTAATAAACGATTACTAAAAGCTTGCACAACCAAATGTATGTAGTTCACCCTGTTTCCAAGTTGCATTACAAAGTAAAGGTGTTAATGGTATTAGACCAATCCTATACTTGTCTACGCCATGAACAGCAGTCCAAAAGGAAAAGCGAGGTTTTGTAGAACCATGGGATAAACAAATTCCAAACTGGAGGTTAATAACATCGCCTCCAACAAAATCGGTAATGTGATATCTTCGAATAATAATCATCTGTTTAGTCCTGTCTTTTGTAAAAGCTGAAAACTTAAAAGGCTGGAAAAAGAATTTTGCGCATCGGATGCTATTCAACCTCTCCTATTTTTCTAATTACTCTACGAGAGCCGTCTGTTGGATTACGGTGCTTTGCCGTCCATGCGTAATTCAGGCAAGGTATATTACGACCTTTTGGCTTTCTTATCAAACCGTGCCTTTGAATCGTTTTCCGAGGGTACTCTACGGCCAAATCGTACAGACTGATTGGTAGATAAGTAATCCGAAATTTATCGATGCTTTTTGGATTCTATTGGCTCCAGCTGGCGAAGTTTTACCTTACGATTATACCGAATGCAGTATTTTCGCTCGACGAGATACGTATACAGCAAATCGGTTTGCTGTTAAAGCAAAGCTGTTTACTTTGGGTTGTACAGTTTCTTGTTCTGGATCACATGCGGCACATGCTTCCGCTTTGCTTTAAATGTCGGAATTTTGCACTTTTCGACACCCTGATCGCTTCATTACCCGTTCAAACTGCAATATTAGGACAGTAACCGCAATTGTTAGCGAAAGATCTTGACCGATATTGCGCCCACAACCGAGCACACACAGTAGAATGCTGATTTATCGTTCAATCGCTTCGCAGTTTTAACACTCGGTCGATTATTCTTGGATACTTCCGATTAACGTATGCCGTGAGCAAAAACAGTTCATCAGTTGGTTATTGTATTTAAAGACCTTGCAGATTGGTAGCGGCTGCCATTTATTCTTCCATAAAATACGACGGCAAATGCGTGTCCCTATGTTAACTGTATATGGACATAAGCTTTTCACACGCACAACTGCGCAAAGTTTATGCAGCCCGGTTTCTCCAGAAATGACGGGGTTTACGTAAGTGATACTTTGGCGGGCACTGGCCTTGCCCTGCATATTAGTGGTCCTCCGGTGTCTGTACCACCGGATGATCGCTGATGTGTTGGTTAAGGACAAGCTAATCATCCCACACAGCGACCAAAACCAGGGAAAGCTCGTTGTAGTACTTTCCAAACCCCTGTTTTCTTGGTAGTCGTAAACTCGTAACACAGCAAAATACACGTGCGCCACACAAAAGAAAACTGGGATCCCTTCCTTGCGTCGGTTTTATGTTCAGTCTTTTTTAATTCTTACGGCTACCTCAGTTATAGTTCTTATGAGTTAAAAAAACTGAAGACAAAAATAAGCGCAGCAGCTGTGCTTTCGTGTTTTTATGTTGCTCGATTATCGGAATCCGGAAGGTCAAGCTGCAACCGGTCAAGCACTGCTCGGCAGCTCGATGAAGAGAGCGAAAGATTCTTTAATTATCTCGATGTTGCACGCCTGCTTGTTCCGTGTAGCATATCCAACGAACTCAGAGCCGTATTTCCTAGATTTTTTTAAATTAGAAAAACAGAATTTCGAATACTGTATGCCTTCGAAGTTCGAATGTCTTTGTTACCTTCATGTCCATTTTTCACGTCCTATTTTTGCAACTCGGTTTTGTGCGCACAGACTATTTTCAAGCTATCGTACACGCACCCGCAGAATGCGATAAAACAATGTAAAAAGTTGCTCCAAAGTGCGCGTAAGCGAGCGTTTTAGCGGGTGTATCGGTATTATGGTATACTAAAATTGCACATTGTATCAGTTAGGATGTTTCCGCGAATTATTAAAGAACCATAAAACAAATTCATTTTTTATCTTTGCATTTTAATTGAAAACCCAGTTATGTATAAAGCGGGATCCGCAATTTTTATTTCCACCATTCTGCCATGATGGTACATTTGTTACTACATATATCTAAAGGTTATTTCAGCAATCATGTGCTTCTTCTGTCTTATTGATGGGGAATTAGTGGGCGGTATGAAGATAACAGCTGTTAAACGGATCAAGAACATAACGGTGTGAACAAATAAATCGATCTCCCATAGATCCGTTGAGACGAGATCAGTATACCCGCCGAGCGCTATAATCCCGCCACATGCGGTAACAATACGGGCGTTATGAGCAACGGAAGATTTTTTGCCGGCAGCCCTTGGCATTGATGTAAACCGGAAATCTTGTATACCGGCGAATGCAGCGCAACATAGAATTGAGCGGGATCGATAGCAGAGAGAGAGCGAGAGCGCGAGATATTTACTAGAAATCACCGCGGCTAATTCACCGCTAATTCAATGGCAGCGGATCCAGTTTTTGCTGGTTTGCGTGGTTGGTGTCAATCGGCGGAAGAGCGCGGCGTCAAGGTGCGCAATCCACCGGGAATCCTTGAGATCATTCGTATTATCCGCTGCGATCAATACCGCGCGTTTTGGATGCTAAATATCCTGGATTTATTGCAGTTTGGCGACTGCATATAACATTTTGTTTTATGGCTCTTATGGCGAATTTAAATTTGATTCGTGTTTGCGAGGACATTCTTATATTTTTCAATATCATCTAGAATATATTGTTGACAGAAATGCAGGGAGTGCGGGAATGCGTAATTATTGGATCGCTGTTTGTGTTTAATGGAGCGGCACTGCTGGGCGCCAGTCTGCAAGGTAAGGCCTCATCGACAATCATTAACTTCCTTTACTTTTACACCTGACAACAAATAGCGCACAGAAACAATCTAATGTGAATTCGAAAGAAAAGCGTAATAGCATCCAGTGTCGAATTTTTACTTTCTTTCATCAGTGTTTCTTGGATGGTTTTTTTGCTCTCGCACTTCAATACAATCTGTATATTGGTTCTTTCGGGTTCTTAGTAATTGTGCGATAGCAAAATATATCGTGGAATGTGATCCGTTATTACGATAATTCTGTCCTCTGATGTCAACTAGACCCACTGTAATTAACTTCCCACATTGATCAGAGGCAGACGAGGCAGATCGCAAAATTAGGCAGCATGCTAACATTGTCCGGTAAGGACCGGTGTTCACAATCTGATAGCCCAACATTAAGGGAAGCGCCCCGGTACATGATCCCATGCTCGTGTACATGCACGGTACACTTCGCGTAATTGCGCGCACCCCAAGAAACGTTTTTGCATTGCTCAATGTCATTGTGTAGCCAAATAATTCCAGCATAAACTGGCCTCAACAACATTTCTGCGCACGATAGCCGGTTACATGTACAGATACTTATAGGTGAAATAACATTTAAAAAATTTTTACCCTGCATGGTTTTACCAAAAGCCTTATTATGGAATAATTTTCGAAAAATTTTGAACGGAAACGCATTTCAGAAAGATGCAGATCGCTCTGCAAGGCAAACGTTTCCGTGCATGTACAACGAATTTGCTGCCATATATCGAGTCATTTTTAACACCGTCATGATTCTGAAAAACGAGCACGACGATCTGTACCTTGCTCCCAGGAAAACTAATTATTCATAATACAATAAAAGCTAATAAGCAGTAACCCAATAACAGTATCTAATCAAAGTTACAGATACCAGATCGGTGCAACATAAATACGGATCGTGACCGGTAAATAGCAAGAACTACCGGTATATACAATACATCGCAGATCAGAAGGGAAATAAAAAGATAGAAGCTGCGACGAAGAAAAGGATACTCGTATAGGTAACACAACGATGAAAACGAAACAGAAATCACTATAAAGGCATTTAGAGAAAAAACAATCGAATCAAAAATCAAAAGGGAATCGATGCAAAACTTTGATGGTAAAATCAACAAGCAGTGTGCGACAGAAACACATCCATCGCAAATAAATAACCTCTAGTCGCCGACACTGGGTCTAAACAGCGAAGCGTACACTGTTTTTACGGTGCATCCGAAAAACCGGTGAGCTAATGTTATTGGTCCTAAGTTGATCATGTTTTTCGTAGTTGCACGGATATTGCCGTATCCCATGAATGTTCTTCACGAATCCCAGCACTACAACAAGACCATTGCCGGTCTGCAGATGCTCACCGGTTGCATGCACTGGCTGCGGGCCGTTCTCAAAGCGCTTCACTCTACCAACCGTCCGGTCGTTGCCCGGGAGTTCTACAGCACTTTAGCCAATCTGTTCCTGACGCACAGCATTCACGGCGCGACCGGTCTCATCGTCGTGACCTTCGTAGCCTACACCTTCTTCGAGCACCCGGTAGAACCGCGCCTCGTGGCGGAGCTCATTGTCAGTGTCAACAGGACCTGTGGAGCAGAAGCCGCTGGACACGCAGATAATCAAGCGGGCAAGCTGATCATGCTGTACACCCTCATCGATCTTTTTAAGGTCATTAATTACTGGCTGATGGTGATCAATGCCGTGATACTGGTACGGCTGATTTGTACACACTGGTACGGTGCGCCGAAGGTGAGGAAAGTGCGGCCGGAAATGGAGGATATTACGGAGACAACGACGCTGATCAGTGTGGAGGAGGTGAAAAGCGATACGGATCCGGAGACTGGGCTGCCCATGAAAATGGATCCGTACGGTGGAAATTACGCAACATTCCCGTCTCATGCATAAGGTGAAGACGGTGCGATTTTAAATCATGCTTTATGTTAGTGTTTGAACAAGCGTCAATCAAATCACTGGCCGTGCTTGCTTATTTTTATCACTACTTTTGTATTTTTCGGTTTTTCAACAAATAAAACCAGTTTTTTAATGCTTTTTTGCTTTTACCACATAATAATACTGTCGAAGTGTGAACATACAAGGTAATGCTGCTTCGTTTAGAATTCTTTGTTCTTTGCTTTGTGCAATGCTCTCTACAATGCGAAATTGTTTTAAGTATTTTAAGTATTATTGTTTTAAGTTTATATATTTGGGTATTGCGTATTACATCAAAACAACCCGACTAACTCAACGTCTTGCCGGTAAAAAAAAACAACAGAGCAACTTCATACCGTAATTGCGACAGATCTATTATTCGGAGACCGAATTAATCTCACACGATCAACGCTCAGTGTTTGAATAATAAATTTTATGTCTGTCTGTTCTGCATATTAAATAAGGTCCTTCTCTCGCACTCCTGGCGTCCTTTCTCCGATCTTCTTTTTTGCGGTGGCTTTTTCTTCGGCTTCTGGAGATTATACCGTAACGTAAAGCCTGAAGTCTTCCATCTCATTCAAGTACGACGGCGCGTGGCATGCTTCGTTATTGTAGCTCTTGCACCACCACACTGCTTTTAGAATGCATCCGACGGTCGTACGCCGGCAGGATACGCAGTTTCTGGCACAGCTCGGGTGGCGTCCGCTAATTTCAGTTAGAAATCGCTCACAGTGACCACCCATGTACAGATGCTGTACGCGAAGCTACCTTACTAGGTTAAGTCGCTGTATCGTTAAAAGGTTCGCTTCAAATAGTAGGGCCATTCAAGCCGCACACTTTGTCATAACTCATACATATGATTAAACCGTTTGTTCGATCTTCGCCAAGAAGACCAGTTTTCGGCACAAATTGTTGCTCTTCTCCTGCATTGTACGTACATTTGTTATGGACACATGGTAACCGACACACAATCACTTAGCTGCTATTTTTACAAAAATGCCTTCTGTGCACTTGGCTGAACATCCCTGTATGCAATAAAAGGAATAATGTACGAAATTATTCGTAATTATGCCCACGCTTTCTTTACAAATCCTCGTACAACGGCATCTACTTTGTTGAATACGGCGATTTAATAAATCACGAAATACACATGAAAATTGAAATGATATACGACAAGCCGACATTTTATAACCAGTTATTTTTGCAAAACAGTGGTTTATACTTCAGTATTGTTACAATATAACAGCAACGTCTCGTCTCAAAAAGTGCATAACTATGGTCAATATCAGTTACTGTAAATATCAAAGAAACTAATGAGCAAGTTTTTCCGGCACTATGCTAGCACCGCGACTATTAAAGGGAAAACATGTACTTCTTTGGAGTCTTCCACAATCAAATGTTCGTTGATCCAAATTTGTAAAAGGATACTCTGCCCAAGTCTTCAGCTCGGGATTGTAAATTTCCATGAACGCCGTTAGGGAGTCTTTGTGTGTCCGTTCGAATCTGCCACCAAATACGAAAATGCGATTATCCATAACAAAGGCCCCATGCCGAGTTCGAGGTAGTCGAAGAGGGCCAGCGGTTATCCAGTTCATGGTGTCTACATCGAATTGTAGACACGAATCAATACAGTAATCACGGCGATATGGATTATCGCCGCCGATGACGTACAACGCATCGCCTACTTCAGCAAACGCACAGTTTTGCCGTGGTTTCAATGCTCGGTAAATACCCGCAACCGTTCGGTATTTAGAAGTCTTGGTGTCGAAGCGCGCTACCGATTGCTCACTGTAGCCGTCCTGAGAAAGGCCGGAATAGATTTGACCGAGCAGCATGATGTGGCTGCTGTGTTTAGATGTTGCTACTGGCTCTTCTCTGAAAATAAATTTGAAATCACGCAGAAGTCCGATTTCTGCAGAAGTCAAAACCTTGTTGTGCGCATCTGGCTAAATATTGGCAGCCAGATGTTACAATTATTAAGCCAGACGCGGCAGTTTTATCATTCATTACTATGCTGATGGCTTATGGCAGACTTTAAGAAAACTTCGTTGGTTAACTTGATTTATTGGATTACTAATCCATGAAATTTCAAACTGTCCAGAAAAGAGACATGTACGAACTATGCATACGCATTACATATACCCAAAGCCAAACGGTTTCCGAGTAGCGTTTCTTCTTTCTTGACGTCAGACTTACGTTTTATGTTCATCCGTTAAAGTACTCCTTTCTGAACGCACTTCGGTGATTTGGTCTCCCGAAACCTTTGCGATTTTTGGTTCGCGGTATTTAAAAGCAGTACCGTCATTTTCCCAAAAAAATATCCGGTCGCCGATTGCTACCGGGGGCAGACACCATTCCTGAACCTGGATATCGGTTTGCATGGTACGCCATTCCCGGCTTTGCAGGTCCAAGCAGATAATCGCTAGGGTATGACTTGAGGTTCTGTCAATCGAGCCGGCGTTTACCTGACTTGGCAAATCAAACGATTCTTGACCATAGTGAACGATGATGGAACAAAATTCTCGCAGAACTGGTAAGGTGGAAGCACCACGCCATGCAGTGTTTTAGTTTGCGGGTCGTACAGCTGCACGCGAATTTCCACCAGGTTGACGGCAATATAAAATTCGTGCACGATCAGTATTTTGTTATCACTAACAGCCTCCAAAATATTTTCAGTGGTTTCTTGTGCACCGTGCAGTTGAGTATTGCAGACACACGGGCAAATAGTCGCCGCCGCTTGTTGAGCAGTCTCTGCTGCCAGTTCTTCAATGAGCGCTTTTGTTTTATCAGCCGTGGGCCGGTGTTGAGCACTGCGAGAAAAGCATCTTCGAAGAAGACCCCGAAAAAGTGACGGGATACTATCTAGTGACCATGCGTATCCATCAATAATTTTTGAAGTAAAGTCGTAGTCGGTCACACCTCTGTCATATAAAAAGCTGTCAGATTTATTTGCATTCCAGAGCACTTTTTCTTGGATACCGGAACAGTATTCATCTAAATCGAGGATAACGCGCCCAAGGCTCCAACTATCGGTCTTTCTGCCGACGCTTTCATGGCTTTGACGAAAAAACTTCGTAAGCATTTCCGGAGACATGTACAGGTATGTACCATGAAGTCTTGACGTGTCACTAGATACGGTGCGCTCTTCACGCATGTGCACAGAATCGTCGAAATCTCCCACGAACAGTGCGCTGTGACGGTCTTCGTATCGTTTCACCAATACATTCTGTGGTTTCAGGTCTCCGTGGATGATATTCTGCTGATGTAAGAATCCCAATCCATTAGCAATTTGCAATGCGTAGCAAGCTGCGGCACTTAATTCAAGGAGGGCATCGCTTTCTTTTTATTTTATTTAGCAAATCGCTCAGAGTTCCGTCTAAAAAAGCTGTATTTTATTAAACTGCCGTATTACAGTTAAAAAACTGCTGAAGACTGTACTAATGAATTTTCCGAATACGTAATTATACTCGTAAGTATTTGCATCAATGTCTACTTTCATTCTCATAATCCTGCCGGTTCAGCTCGCCCTTTCCCATTCTACAGTGGACTTCCAAAGAAAAAAACGGGAAAAAGAAAACAGCCCACGCGTAGGGTGTATATTACTAGTCCGTTTGCACGAGCTGTACACACGCTGTGCAATAGTTTCATATACATAATGAATTGTACATCATATATAATATCTATATTTGTGGTACAACTGCGAGAAGTGCGAATGGGCCGAATGGCTACACTATCCAGTTGTTGTCAATCGCACTGTTTCAGACTCACCGCTGTAATAGTTCATCAACAGTTCTATAGTCACTCCTCCTCCATATTCTTCAATAAAAAGAACCTTATGATAATCAGTTAAATTTTCATGCTGCAGCTTGACCAAACGTTGCAGCTTCTCTTTCAAAGCGCCGTAGCCATCGTCCACAGCTGGGCTGGTTTTATGCAGATGTATCACCTTGACCGCAACGTACGTCTCTGTCGGAAAGCTGTCACAACATTTTTGTGAAATACTCCCAAGATGTACAGTCCCAAACTTGCCTTGTCCAATGATCCTGTTGGCGTACTTCTCATAGTCACACTCTTTTCCACATGATACATATGATACAAGTGCATGCGGTTGGGCGGGCCCGACATCCATCCTTCCGCAGGATGAAAACAAAGTCCCCTCGGTTATGATCAAGCAAAACTAGCAAAGAAAGTGTCCAAACCCAAATTTCTGTTTGTTTCGCAAAGGCGCACAGTCAGCTTAATCAAGAGAATATAGCTAGATTACCTGGGTAATGCAAAGTCGTTATCGTGTGAAAATTACAGATACCGTGGGCATTTATCAGAAAACTGTTTACATGCCCTTTTACTGCTTGTTCGAAAGCGCATCGATCGTAATGTTATCTTTAACTGAATTGATTAGTCGCCACATTATCCAAACTTTCTCGCTTGCCTTTGTTTTCACACTAATTATGGGTTACAAACCGAAAGTGTGTATAAAATAATATAAACGATACCGATACGCAGATGCTTAGCCAATTACGGTAAGTATCACAGCGTAAAATAAAACCAACTAACCACCAAAAACTGTAAAATAAAAACAGTTCATTTAAGCAATTCTTGAGCAGTGCAGTTTAAAAGTAGAAACTGATGGTGTGCACAACGGCCGGAAATAATTATACCTAGAACTCGAAGTACCCAAGTACAATGTACTGTTAACAATTATCAAGTAGTCCTTACCAATAAGACCAATAAGACTACGCAAATCCGGCAATCTTGCGCAGGGCAAGAGATCTACAGGATGTATCGAAGTATGACGTTCTCGGCTTGTTATGATTTCTGTTAAATGAAATGGCGCAGTGCTGCACTAAATTTTAGTTTATTATCATGCTGTTTAAGCAAAGCCGGGAAAGTTTGCGGAACATATAAACAAAGCTGAAGCCGACGGTGATGATAACACAACAAAGGGCCAAACATTCCGTTTAAATCTGCAGTTCTTTGTAAAAAAACCGTGCTTCTATTAAAACTTCTCAAAACGTTTTATGGATAAAAGGTTTAATTAAATACCCGTCAAATACACAGCAAATTCAAGCAGCAGGTGTAAAAGTCGCGTAACCGTGATATTCAAAACCGATTCGGTTACTGACGGGCAAACCGGTTTCCGGGTCTTTATCTGGTTTGTCATTATCGTCACCGAGCAAATTTGTTGTCTCTGTAACCACAGTGATTGCCAGCAATTCGTCCTTTTCCTCCTCGAAACCCATTTCCGGATCTCGCTGTTCCTCCCTCTCTTTACGAGTAAGGCGTACCACGCGGACCGCCCCCACAATAGTGCTAGCCAACAGGACGAAGCTAGTGACCCATATCGTTATGTGCATCAGCCGCAACAGGGCGGCCACTGTCCCCGCTTTGGCTTGCAGATGGCGGGCCTCGACGAGACCGTACTGCTTCTGCACGTCGGCCACCACACGGGCTATGTAGTGCGTGTCGACATCATACGGAATAAGGTGCGATCCGCCGTAGATCACCACAATCATCACGGCCGCTGTCAGGAGCCACTGGCACAGGAACTTCAAGAAGTGCTTGGTGATCGAAACGGTAGGGTCCTCGTCGCATTTGCTGGCGCGAAGGACCGCTATAATACCCAGCATCGCCGCCGCCACCAGGATCATGGAGCCCACAAATTTATTCAGGAAGTGGTAGGTCGGTAGACCGTCAACGGAATACGGCAGCATCCGGGCGCCTGGAATGCAAATCATGCAGACTTACAGTCATGACCATAAATTAATCCGAGCGTGTAGCGTCGCGTGGACGCCTGGTTAACTTATATTATGTCCAATCGTTTATTTATTTGTCTACTGTAGCATTCAGCCGAAGACAAGTACTTGCGTAATTGTGTACGAGCGTATCCCCGAGTAACACGTTCAAGGTGCACTCGTACTAAATACTGTAAATGTTTTGTAATGGCCATTTGTTCGTACTACAAAACGTACATAGTTCGCGAAACGTCTGGGCTTTTCGCTAGTACTTGGTATAAAAAAGCTAACTATTATTTTTATTTCAACCTTGTACAAGCAAATGCCATTTACAATTAAATCCCAAACACCGTATAGCTAGAACAAATAAAACAGCTCTTCTAGCTCTTTTGAGCAACCAACAGTTCCCAGAACAGAAGCGGCATTTCCGCGCTGAATTTCAACACTTATGCGCTGCCACAAAAAATTCGGTAGCGCGCGTTTCTCCGGTTTGATCTTTTATGCGTCGACCAACTTCATTGATGAACTGACGGGTACTGGCGCCACAAGTTCCTGTAGTCTCCAAGGCCACAGGTTGGAAAAAATGACGATCAGTCAGTTCCCTGTAATTGTCCCTCTTTCGTTCTTCCGCGCTCTCTGCTGCCGATCCCGCTACCTCTGATGAGCCAGCAATGTACGATATAGCGAATGTGTCGCACACTGTTACATCCCAAATCAAAGGAAGGCCGTTCTTCCAAGGGAAAAGAGATAAACCGTCCGGCCGCTTCCCATCTATCCTGCTTAACCCCGGCGGCTCCAGAATAGTAGGGACTTTTGCAGATCCTAAGCTGCGCTGAATTAGGCTATTCAGGCTTGCGTGACGCCTGAACCTTCCTTGACTTTTCAAACATGACAAACCGTGCAAACCTTGGGCGTCAACTACTTCGCCGCATCGGCATTTGTGCTGCTTGCAGATCGGAGCTCCCGTCCGTAGCGCAACAGCGATTCGTAAAGCAGCATCGTCTAAAAGTGTACCAAGGCTAGCAACCGGCAAGGCGAACAACCAGGCACTGGCATCCCTAGTAGAGGCGGCCAACAGGCGAGCAGAGGCGATAACGTCGGCGTCCTCCCTTAAGGCTTCCAGCTTCCTGATAGTCAACATTTCCGACCACAGGCGTTGATTGCTTCGGTCCTCCATAGATGGGGCTGATTTTCCAGTCAATTCTTCCCAGCACAACTCGACATCCAGTCGGTCATCAGGACAGTCCTCGGGCACAATACTACTGACCAGCTCGTCGGTGGCATAAAGTGAAGAGAGATAAGCTGGTGCTGCAATTTCTTCCGCTTTCGGCAGACCCAGCCCACCTGATTTAACCGGCAGGGAAGCTTGCCCGTATGTAACATCGTCCATCTTGACATTTGTGATCTCTTCGGCCTTGGACTTGATCACAACATCAAATTCTCTGAGCTTCTCTGGGTATTTGTAGCAAGGCGCTGCTCTGAGAATGTACATGAGACGCTAACGCTAACTACTTGGCACCACCAAACACTGACATCCATTTGTTTAATTAATAAATTTTGTAGCGATGGACTTGTAGTAAAATAGGTAAGTGTGGTACAGTGTAATGGCCAGCCACTTGCAGTACCGTATGTGCTTGCCGGGTAAACTTTCATCATTGGCACCACCGCCAAATCTGTAATATTTAGGTAGAAAGTGGACATAGAGCTGTATCTCCACTAAAACAGTCACTTTCAGTAATTTTACATCAGTTTGTGACCTTTCCACAACTGCCACTAATGTTCCCCAAGCGTTACCGACCTCCAGAAATTTAAAAAGAAACATGGTTAGAAATGCCGATCAACGTTACTAGTATTGCTGAAAAGTTAAAACCGGTATCGGTCGTGGGGCGCATCATTCTGCCGGGTGGCCGGTATGAATATTATTTGTGCCCAATTGCATAACCTCGGAATTGCATAACTGCTTCGATCGGTCGTAATATGGTTCAAGGATTAATAACATATGTTGGGATATTACTGACCGGTAAAGAAAACTGAATTAACTTTCAAAATGCACCTCAATGGTAAGTCCATACGAGGCAATATTTCAGTGCAATGTTTCTTGCGGGAAATGAATTGCATGGAATGAGGTTAAGCACGTTATACATAGTACAGTTCTTTATTAAGCACGATAGTTAATACGATAGCTACGAAACTCTACCAGTTAATCTGATCAACACTTACTTGGAATGGCCGCGCCAAGAATTGTCAGTCCATTAAAGAGCAGTACCATCGCCAGGATCGTATATTCGCGCGTGTTCGCCATCAACATATATAGCGGCACATTTTGGGACGCTTTAGACATTTTTGCTGCCTTATTGTAAATTATTTACTATGTCGAAATGATTCCAAATCGGTCGCTAGAAATTGGAATAACCGCGCTTGATTACTGAACCTGGTAGACGCTCGTTATATATCGCGCAAATTTTTCTCTGCACATTCGAGCCAACGTTGGATCGATAGCATGCAATAATCGAGTTCCCTACGGGATTCCTCTTCTTCACCGGTATGTTCTAACGAGACTGACGCACGCACCGCAACACAATCCCGCACTCCACGTTATTGGATGGTGGTCGGCCTGAAAGGGCACCGGTAATTAAATGACAGGTAAAGCCGGTAAACATCCCTCTCTCCTGCGGAGATAATGGGATCAAGTGCGCGGCATCGGTTTTCTTTCGGCCAATTAACGGCAAAAACCAGGCTTGTCTTTAATTAAAAACATCCCGCTCCTCGTGACCAAGGCGGATAGTTTACCGGCGCTTTTAGCGTTAGGACTGGATTGAAAATTTACCATGTGATTCCATATGATGATCCTATGACTAGATCATTTCCGGTGGCTATTAATAATTTCATGTTACGAGTCGGACGAAATTCGATGCTTGACATTTTATCCCCATATTTATTTGTGTTAAAAAATGGCTTGCCGGTAACATAATGGAAATTGTGATCTTTGTGTGATATAGTAGAGGAGTAGTATAGTAGTGGATATACTGTAGAGGAGGTCGTTATTAATAATCCTAAGTATGCCATAAAGGGAATAAAATGAATAATGAAATATTTGAAATTATCTAACCTTTAATAAGTAACGACATCGGATACAAACTAGTACAGTACCAAAATCAAAATACTTATTACCATTACTATTAATTGCATTTTATCGGCCGAAAAATTCTTGAATTAACGGGAGAAGTGCGTTTTACTGCTTTCTTAGGCAACGGTTAAGTTTGGCTTCGTAAGGGAAACGTTAATTACAAGGGTGCGCTAACCATTTACCTTTAATCGATTCTGATTTTTTCTACAGTAGTTTTAAGTTTTAACTGTTGTATGATGAAGTGTGTCCGCGCTTGCACTTGTTGTTACTGTACTCGTATTTTGATGGCTGTTGCCTAATACAGTTTGAAAATTTGTGGAATAAACGCATTTGAACTCCTCTTAAATTAGAATCCCTGTGATTTCTATGCGCCTTTTACAGCATTCTAACGCACATCCAGTAACAAAATATTTTTGGTAAAACACAACGAGTTTGATTTTTGAATCGCACCAAAGACACTCCCGTTTATAAATTATTCTGTTTTTGCAAGCGGTTAAGGGCACACCAATTAAAAAATCGTTTAGAAAATCGGAATTACGCTGTTCGTCTCAAGAAAATTAGCAACTTTACCAAGGCAATGTTTAGGAACCTATGCACCGGACAACACGAGACCCGCTTCTCAGTAAAAACTTGCAGTTAACTCCGCTACCACTTTACTCATTGGGCAAAATCGCGAGGGACGGGTCTTTCAGCAGCTCCACCATCAGATACTGCAGCCAGCGGGGAAAGGACCGAATCTTCTCCAGCGTTAGTCCCAGGGAATTGATGGGCGCCAAGGGATACACCTCCTCCTCGCCCAGCAGCTGCACACCCCTGCAAAAACCGATACATTACTATTTTTCAGCGTTGAGTACGAAAGCTTCCCGCCACGAAGACTTCCTAATGCAATGAAACGCCCAGTTATACAAACAGACAGGGCCAGACTCCGTGCAGAGGTAAAATGCGCGTGCTGGCAGGTACCTCTCTAATTGCCGGTGGACACGCTGTATCCGCTTCGTATGCACAGTCTTCCGAAGTTCTACGTCAAGCCGTTTTTTCTTGAGAATGTTATGTTATTACAATAATTTACTTACTTTTTGAGGAAACGGGACAGAATCCAGCCAATGGCCTCCTCTGACTGCAGTTTGCCTTCCAGGAAGTTCTCCTCGTCGGCGGTCATGGAATCCGGCAGGAAGCGGCTGAAGTGCTCCAGATTACCACGCCGGATTTCTGTGAGAAGCGCGGTGAAGTCAGGAGCCGGTGCCTCGGTCCATGGCCACACACCGTTCTCGCGCACCAGCACGGCTTTTTCCACCGGCACACTCAGCGTCACCTAATAGTTAATACCACCGAACATTAATGCTGAAAATCACTGGACTATTTGTCAGCAAACGGTCCCTTTAACTACCCAGTAGACAGTTCAAAAGCCGCTCACCTAAGTGTCGCGTTACATTATAGTAACATAGTAACAGTACTACATATCTATAGACAACCAATGCTAATGCTAATTGCAGGTACAATTAAAACGCGCAGGAAAGTTACTATCGCGAGCAATGAAAATGAGATGTGAAATCGTGATTGTACACCAAAACCGGTTCTGCGGCTACATCCAGTTGCGCAACTAAATAATGAGAGATCGGAGATAAGAGACACACCTGACTCGCTAACTGACTAAACTGAGCGGTCAGTTCTAAACACTAATTATACTGAAGTGATCGGCTGTTAGCACCGAGTGTATCGCAAAAGTGACCAGTAGAAGGAAATACCGAATACTGCACCTACACAGAATACCTATCATTGTAAAACAATAGAAAACCGAAACTATACCATCGCGGTGATTCGCGACCTGCGCACTGTTTCCTTCGCTTCCTTGAAACTTTAACGAATTTTTATTGTACAAAAAAGCAATTATTTTCCTTATTGAACAAAAGATTTCTCCGCGGCATTTAAAGCAAATTCTTGTTAAAATTAAACACGTCGTATCATTCGCGATGCTTAAGCATATTGTGCTGTTTAGAGCGATATCCGTAAGTACATCAAGGATGTAAATAGTAAATACGCACGGCGAACCTGCGGTGGTTTGGCACGTGGATGGAAAAATCCCGTGTAGAAGTAGCAGCGCATGACGACATTCTCCAGATGCACCGTCTTGACATATCCCGGCAACAGGTCACTGAGATCCCCGGTCTGCATGTGGACATTCTGCACCGTCACCAGACACTCGCCGCGGGCGTCATGCTCACCGCCCGCGGGCGCGGCGGGCAGCAGCTCCTTGATGGCCAGCAGGGCGTGGTAGATATTGCCCCACAAATAATGCCAGCCGACGGCCATTTCCTGCCCCCCGTCGCCGCCCTCCTGGATGGCCATTTTGATCCAGCACTCGGAGGGCGCGGGGGTCCCCGGTGGGCGGCGGAAGATGACGTGGCGGGTCTTGGCCGTCCAAAAACGCTGCAGCAGCTGTCGACGCCATTCCTTCTCTACTTTGGCCGCTTCACGGCGCGCGTCTGCCTCGGAGCGGGGTGGCAGCGGCAGCAGCGACAGCGGATGGTAGGTCTCCCATTTCGTCAGATCGAAGATGACGGTGTGCTGCAGACGGGGGTCCTCGCTGATGGTGGCCCATCGCTTGCACACCCTGTCAACAGAATCGGTGTGTCAGGCTCACAGGAACGGTTGTTGCTGTGCTGTCGCTAAAACGCCAGTACTTACACCGCGCAGTTGGTGCGCTCGATGATATCCAGCAACGTGAAGATGCGCAGCACAGATTCCTCGGGGAGATTATGGAAAAAGCAGGGCGCATCTGTGCCGCTGTCTTCCACTAAAACATCAGACATTTTGCAGAAAAGTAAAGCTCCAGAATGAGGAGAGAAAAACTTATAAGAATCGCACGGGAGGACTGATAATTAAGAAATAAACATTCACGCGGAAGGACCGAAACGATCATGATGGGAGGTTGATTGGTTGAAGAACCAGAATTGTGCAGCGTACTGCGTATGCGATAAGTGAGCGCTTGTACGCATTTGGATTACCGCGATAGACAGACGCACAAAGCCATACACCGTCACAGAGTCAGACAGGCTCCTTCTGCTCTTTTGTTCAATTGCGCAACCGGCTATATCTGCCCAAATCCGCTTCTCGCGTGCATTTTGGTCGACCATTTGTACGTACAATCTGGTTTGAACTGCCGAACTTTCCGTCTCTGTGGCATGAGTCGTGAACTACTTACTATAAAAAATTTCGTACTGGATTGCTTTGAGTTGTACGTAAATGGTGTGTTTCGGCGAGTCGAGTCAAAGTGAACCAATTTAATGTTCACAGCATTTTCCCATAATTTTAAAATGAGTTTTAAAACGTTTGAAATTCATATTAAAATCGGAAAAAAATGCTATGGATCTGATATTGGTTCACTTTCGACTTTGTGGCCATATGTCTTTTATAGCAAAGTTTCAAGAGATCGGGTAATTACGACTTTTGGGACACAACAATACATTTAAACTTTTCACCCATTTTAGCACGCCAAACCTCCTCAACCGGATGTTGCGCGCGTAAACTGTTTTCAGAACAATGTATAAGTAGTGATTCGGAGTGCGCGAAAGCGAAAATTTAGTGTATGTATCCCATTTTTGATAACATGTACCGGGCCGACTGCTCTTTCTTAAAGTAACGACTGCTCTTTCTTAATGACCCAAGAAATTCTGAAAAATCTTTGAAAGCTTTCAAAAGAAATTTTTGGATTCCAGGAAGTATCACGCTGCTGTACAGTCATGTCAAAAAACAGAAATTGTATGAGTCGTACTGACTCGTACGAACAAGGTGGTACGCCACTACGCCGACCAATAGAAAAAGTCGAAATTCCAGCTCTTGGATCGAGTACTTTCACTCATGGTCAGTGCATCTAGTTACAGTAACTTGCAGACTGCAGTCGCCGACATGGGCGGTTGAACACTTCTGTTCTGAAAGGTTTCAACAAAATCCTGATTCGGCCCGAGTGTATACATCGCATCTCGGATACGCTTCGGAACACGATTTCGATCCTTGTTCGTATTCGAGTTCGCACTCGTAGTCGCCCGTCCGCCCATCCGGCGCCCGGGAACCCGCACGCGCAGTCATTAGCGGTATTAATTAATGCTTATATTATACTCTTATTGCCGCCGCAGGTATGTACTATGTACGGTAATGTACCGTATCTGTATGGCAAGTACCCATTAATTATGTGAACTGTGATCAATCAACCGAAAGTGGTCGAAAGACGAAAAATATCTCCAGGTGTTGCCACTTGTCAGCATATTCTGCACCCGTCTTGTGAAAATAATACACTGCAAAGCGCCACGCACAAGTACAATATACAGACTACAAAGTACTACACACTTTCTATGTAGCTGATACTAGCACAAGCACTCGTACTTATTGCTTCTAAGCTTCTCTACAGAGTTAGTGGTAAGCCTGAGAAAAGAACTCAACAACGCATGCAGTCAAGGTGACACGATATTGTAATGTATGGGCCGCATAACGTACATTGTACAGCACCTGTTTTAATAACTTGCACAAGGATAGCCCCGGGCATAACGCTCAGCAGTGAATACTTATTCTTATTCCGCGTTTCTCGTAAATTTTCCGGTATTCACTGTTCTTCGTAATGGTTCTCGGATTATACTGAAGAAGATTGCGGTATCTGCGTGTTACACATTTATCGCGCGACATCGGCCAATGGGAATGCCCCAAAGGGGGTTCCTTTCACATCCTGCAAGTTGGAACGGGAGGCAATTTAGCCGCCGAGGTCATCCCAGCACGTACGTACAGCTGGAATGACCTTGACGGTTTGAAATTGCACGTTCCCTGCATGGGCCGCTCTGCTGATTTCGTCCTCCCTAATCCCGCTTGGCATGCTCTTTTGCGAAGATACACCGGGATACCAGGATACCACTGGGAAGCGTTGAAATTTTTTTTGCTTCCCCGTTGGATCCTGATATCACAGTATATATGCAGTTCAACGTATTGGCATCTTCCAGCAATCTTAAAGATATTAAGTTTCTTGTAAGTGCTGGAAGTGGAGGTTGTTCATCCGGTAAAATGGACCGACATAATGAACGGACCGCATTTGCTTTATGAGTCAGTGACTGCGGGTCCAGCGGTGCGGCGTGATGGGAATGGCGTGCGGCCGTCTCCCGGGGGCGGCGTTGTGCGGTCCGGAGGTGTTGGGGCTGCAGTACGGCTGGTGTCCGGGGTGTCGGCGTGCGCGTGGATGGCCAATTTGTATGTGCACCCGCGAAAGGCCCCGGGAGGAAGGTGGGGTAGACCCGGAAAGAGGAAAACTCGCCTTGTTAGCGTGGTGATTGGTCGGTTGGTTGCTGCATTGTTGTGCGGTATTTTGCGATTAATGGCAGCTTTTGTACTTGCGGTGATTTTTACGGTTGTTGTGTGTGATTCTTTTGAGGTGCTGCGGAGAGATTTTGATCTATTAAATTTTTCAAGTTTTTTCTTCAGAAATAGTACACATATAAAGGAGACCCACTACAGATTAAAAAATTAATAAAGGAGGGGAACCACGAGCCGGTTCGCAGTCGAGGAATTAATAAATAAATAATAATACTTATAAAATCGGCTAGGGTGGTGAAATAGTTGAATTTTTCGCAGCTGTAAGAAGTAAATTAATTTGACTATAACTGTTTAAATTGAATTACTATTAGTAAATTAATTAATTTAAGCCAGTAAAATTAATTTGATTGTAGTTACAAATTCTATTATTAGTACTCTACTGGTGATACCTCGTATCCACCTCATTACTCAATATCACATAATATGAAAAGAATTACTTATTGTACGAGTACGTAATAATTTGTAAGGTTGTATCTGTACCAATGTCAGCCATTGTCTGCCCATAACATTATTTATCGTTAAATGGCAGCTGAGATGCATATGCATAAGATGCATACCGTACTGTACAAAACGAATCCTGTACGTAGGGTAGGTACCGAAGAAGAGTTCTTTTAAAAGTTGTAATAGAGAACCAGTGTTCTTTTTATCAACCCAATGATTTCTGGAAATCCTTTGAAATCTATCAAAACAAATTTTGAATGACAGGAGATCTCGCGCTACATGTTTTAAAAATGGAAGTTGTGCAAGTCACTGGCTCGGATGATGGATATGGTACAAGCCAGTGGTACAAAGAAGACCCGCCGACCAATAGAGAAAGTCAAGAAGCATTCTGTTGGATGGGAGGCCTCGAGTAAACTTGCAGTCGCCGACTTGGGTGGTTGGACACTTCCGGTCTGAAAGGTTTCTAACTTCTAAGATATCCTGATTCGGTCCCATTGCATACACCGTATCTCGGATACGCTTCGGAAACGATTCGATCCTTAGATGGCGCTTCAATACCATACACATGGGATTCAGGTAAACACAGCACAGCGCGCTATGCCACCACGCAACCGTGAAAAAAAGGCTTGCTTGGGCTATTTCACTACGATGTTTATCCCGCAGTTCTTTTCCTTGTAATACCCAGCCGCGGGTATTGTATGTACCGTAGCTCTATGCCGTATAGTAATAAGAAAGTATAGTAGTAAGAAAGTAAAGTACACAATATTTATTTAAAGTGATCTGTGATCAATCAACCGGAAGTACTATGCGTAAGACGATCGAAAAAATTATCTCCAGGGGTGTCAGCACATTCTACACCGGTCTTGCCAACTAATTAATAAGTGCACTGCAAAAGCGGAAGCGCCCAAGTAAAAGTACAGGTACATTGTACGTACATGCATACTGTACTTTCTACAAATACAGGACGTACTACGTACTCTTTAATATTTAGCTGATACGAGTACAGGCACTCTTACTTATTGCTTCTGACCAGTAAGTCTGACTCACTTCTGAGAACAGAATCTGTTCAAAAACATTGCATTGAATACGAGCCGTCAGTGTGTCACGATACTGTGATTTATGGTCCTCATTGCTGTATGTGCTTGTGTTAATACTTAATACCTGTTTTAATAACTTGCTCAAGAATAGCCCCCGGTCGCAGCGCTCAGCAGTGAGCAGGAATAAGCACTACATGGAAAGTATGAAAAATAATATGGTAAGCTCATCAAAACACAGGGTCTGCTAAGTCACTCTGCTTGCACTTTCGCGCTAGGCGCATCCGCGTTACAGTGCGGGCATGGGCGTACCGAATGTTTTGCTGCAGTATCACTTTCCGGGTTGGCTCGATCAGGATGATCTCGACCAGTAGATGCGCTAAAGTGGATAGAACATAAATCTCTTTGTTTTTGTTTGGTTTTTGTTAACCTGGTTAATACCCATCCCACTTTAACCTAGCTCGTTGAGCTTCTAGAAAAAGTTATACTCGGTTAGACCGCAGTAACCTCCCATTCACCATGCCTGCCGCGACGGGAGGCTGTTGCATGCGATCCAGCTGACAATGTGACCAGAACCGTATGCCGGCGCTACAGTAAGACTTGAAAATCTCGCACTTCCCATGGATTTTCTCGTATTCACTGTTCTTCGTAACGCACATACAGGGCCGTAGCGAGGGGGGAGGGGTGCGCACGAGCGCGCGACGGCCCTGCGCACATATAATATATGTCCACTAAATTACTAATTAAAATTTGCAACACCATTCAAATTACTGTAATTCGATGGTTTTCATATCCATATCTTACAGCTGCGATAAATGCAACTATTTTACCTTTAAGTCGATTATGTACAAGTACGCGTACTTGCTGTCTTTTGCTTATTAAGGGAACTTTGCCGGTACATAGCATTAGGTACATGTAGAAATACAAAAAATAAGTGTTGCAGTTTTTAAAAATTTGAGAATGACGGTACAGAAAGAACCCTGACTCGGTGTAAGAACAATAATCATGCCAATGTGCGTTTTCATGGAAAAAACTGAAGATTGTCGGTTTGTATACCGGTAATTTATTTCACCCCAACTCCCCAACCAAAATTTGCGGACACGAAAGGGTTTTACTCCCGTCAATTATTCGACAATGGACTGAGATAAAGCGATGCAAAACAGTGCTTGGGAGTGCTCAAAAGCGGAAGTTTTTCGTGAATGTGCACGAATGGCACCATACCGGAACACTTCTCTAAAGTTCTTCGACCGCGATCCGACTGGTCGTTCTCCTGCTTTTTTGGTATCTTATTTATAATTTTGTACTGTGTCTACATTAATTTACATTAATTTATGCCTACATTACCATTGAAGAGAAAACTTAAAAAATTTAATATATCAAAATCTTTCCGCAGCACCGCAAAAGAATCACACACACACTATCGTAAAAATCACCGCAAGTACAAAAGCTGCCATTAATCGAAAAAACCGCACAACAACACTACGAGCAACCGACCAATCACAACGCTAACAAGGCACTCCTCTTTCCGGGTCTACTCCACCTTCCTCCCGGGGACTCTGTTATGGGACTTCCGCGGGCGCACATACAAATTGGCCATCCACGCGCACGCCGACACCCCGTACACCAGCCGCACCAGTCCCACCACCTCCGCACCCCACAACGCCGCCCCCGGGAGGCGGCTGCACGCCAGTCCCATCACGCCGCACCGCAGGACCTCGGCGATGGCCACCCACCAGGCCCCGTCCAGCACCGACCCGATGTTGGCCAGACTCCAGGTGACATGCGCCAACGAGACGACCGTCTCGGCGTTGGACCAGGCGTCGTGGGCGCGGATGAAGGACAGGAAGTAGGGGAGGACCAGCAGGAAGTGGACGACGGCATAGCTGGTCATCCAGGCCGGTATCTGCGGGTCGTAGCGGATCTCGGGGTGGTCTTCCTTCTCGCGGATGGGGATGCGGTTGAGGACGCCGAGGAATGGGAGACCGGGACGCCAACGCGGACCTACGGCGATCGTCCAGTTTGAATTTCGTACATCCATAACATCCCGTTACACCACATAATATTACTTTGCACCAAAATTAAATAACAATTACCAGAGCGAGGTCTGTATCTGCTCACTACGAACAGAAGAAAATGCCCGAATTAAAATAATAATTATTAAAATAAATACGAGAGGAAATCGCTAGGAACATAAACAATTTTTATTCTTCAGTACAGGAAAGTAAATGAAAAAATAACAATACTAGGACTGATTTCTTGTAAACCAATACAGGAAAGACGAAATTTAGTAAAATAAGTACATACGAAAACAATCACCAGATAAACAGAAAAGGAATACAACAGAGAAACGAAGAAATAAATAAAAAAAATAAATAAACAGGAGGTACTATTAAGAACGAATAAGCAAAATATAAATACAAAAATTAGCACCAGAACCGACTGAGCACATAACAAAAATATTGAAAAGTTGCTCCATTTTTTAGGAAATAAAATTTGCAGATAAAGAACAACCAATACGGTTCTTTTTGGGCGTTCATACAAACAAAAAGAATAAGCAAATTCCTGAATTTTATTTACCGGAAACCAAGCATTTCAAGGCACTTGAACAGCCTGAACATAAGCGATAAAAAAATTTACCACACCATTATGAAATTCGTCAAACTAGTGATACAAGAACAAACAATTCTGAGCTTTTGAAAAGCTGCCGAGCGAAAGCAACTGAATAATGGGAAACCACGAACCGCCCCTTGACTGCGTTTATTGCCAACATCACGCTTACCTTTCAATGCTGCCGAGAGTTTATCGGGGATGGTCGGGAAGAGTTTCATCCGGCGCCAAATCTCTGCTAAGCGAATAATCTGCACCCAGATGGCGTTGTAGGAATCCAGCCGGCCCACCAGCCCGTAAAACGCCGGTTCGCTGGGGGATTCTGGGGCGAATGTGCCGAATAAGCGGTCCCAGATAATAAACACTCCGCCGTAATTAATGTCCTACACGAGATTAAAATGTTTTATAGCAGAAATTATTTTTAAAAATGATATTTTCTTGGCGCGTACAATATAGATGGGATTGCGGCCGTGGTGAGCGCGATGGTGACTGGGTGTGTTCAGTACCAATTCCAGCACTCCCAAATTTCTGAAAAAAATCGAATAAAATTATTTTGTGAACGAATTTGTCGATGTACTGCCAACTGCTTCGCAGTGAACGCTGCCGGCCGTCCATGCAAGGCATGATTTCAAAAATCATTATTCAAACAGTAAATTAATTAAAATTTGATCAGCCACCAACTTGTACAGTTCACAGAATCTTGTTAATTTTTTTCGCTTGTATAATTTTATTTATCATTCTTTTCATTAAATAAATAAAATAATATCATTTTCATATTCTGCATACTATTTATTTATTCGTCTTTACTACTTCACTTTTAATTATGATTCTTTGTTTTCGGGTCTGGTGAAAGTAGGGAAACATCCAAAACCATAGTACTTTGTAATAATATAAATTACATTCACTAAAAGTCCATTTGAGCTTTCGCACCGCACCGATTTCTTTCCACAAAAGATAAATTTTAAAGTTTTAAGCGATCGTAACCGTAAGAATTATGACCCGAAACAGACGAAAAATGTGGATTAAGTAAAAAATTTTACAAATTTTTTCTGATCCATTATTCTATAGAGCTCTTTCGTCCAGGTCGGGGAGTGAATCAGGTACGAAACCCTTATACTACGATCGCCGTCATTATTATGCCAATGGACTACAGTGCCGCTGCGAATTTATCGGAAAGTTAATTCCCGGGCAATTTTTGGCAAAATGTGTTTCTACAATTTTTCCTATTAGTTACCAGTTACTACAGTTTTTATTCAATTGCTATTACGGAAACTGTGAAACACAAATAACAGAAAATCAGCGATTTATCACGTGGTTGCATATAAGTACGTACTTAACCAGCGAAGTGTGAATCCAGAACTGGTAGAGCAGATTGAAATGCTGGTGAATTAAGAAGGCCGTCGGGGTGAATCCGAGAACAGCCATCGGCAGATAGAACACCCACGCTCCGAAATTGGACACGACGCTCTGCCGCAGCGCCACACTCAGGTTGAATTCCTGTGCGAAACAATATTTACTTTAAACAATATTTTTCTGAATTAAGTTCAGAAATAAATTATTCAAGTCATATTATACGACAATATTCTTCCGAACAGATTCTTTTGCAAATAAATTATTAAAATCAGAAAACAGCCTACACAGGCTACCCTGATAGACACTTAAACTGTAAAACGAATCAAAATTTATTTTTGATTATTGCGATTCAAACTCTTACAGTATTGCAAGCAGCAACATTTCTATGAAATTTATTACGAATAAAAAGGGATCCGATATTACTAATTCGCCGAATTTTCTCCAAAGGTTTCTTAAGTAAACTTAAACATAATTATTCACGGTAGAGACCGCATCCTATACAGCCACCACACCACGTTGCGGATGAAGTTTATGATGTACGCGATAACCAGTGTGCCCGAGCAAATTTCGAAAAACTATGCGTCGAAGTCAAACACAGCCGCCGTAAAATACACAATTATAAACCCAGAAAACAAACTACAGAAGCGTAATTGAAATATACCGAGGACTCTGCTCACCTCGGAACTGTGATGGACCTGATGGGCCGCCCAGAAAATATTGATTTCTACGAAAACAACCGTGGTTTACCGATATGCATCAATTACAAAACAGAAAGCAAATCGTCACACACATACACGCAAACCAACCATGACTGGCCCGGTGAAACCAGTAGTACGCGCAATCCGTGGCCAGGATGGCCAGAATCCAGGCCCACCACGTGTCCAGGGGCAGGGTGGTCAGGCGGTAGTGACGGAACAGCCACACGTACGCCACCGTGTTCAGACTTTTGACGCACAACCTGTACACGCTCAAAAAATTAAGTACAAACTGCATAGCTCCACTCGCTGTGCAGCAAGCGGTAAAAATACCGTACAGATACGTACTGTAATTCAAAATAAATATGTACAATTTGCCATTTCAGCCGAACAAAACAGAATTAGCAGATATAACAAAAAACTGCCGGAAAATATTGAAATACTGCTATTATGTGCTAAGAATGGTGGGCCTGTTGTATAAACCGATTCAAGATTTGTTTGGCGATAAAAACAGACTACGCACCGAAAACTACGTCAAAAATGTAATGCATAACTAATGAGATGCTAATTTTCAAACGTAATTCATTTCAGGTGAGCAACACGACAGGATATCTTGAAGGCCAGTGCCACTTCACTACGTTGCGCACTATCTGCTCGAATGATTTTATTCATATAACCATATAATCATTAACCGGTATAATTAGTTAATGAATGCGGAGAAAATCCGCACTTTTAAGATTAACATTTCTTCATGGATGCTAAAATGGTACAGTATCACACTTTCACTAGCGGAGTCGTCGACACGAAATCAGTACTCTATCTTTTAGCATTTTTGTGTGGTAAAAAAAATTGACAAAAATAACTGCAGCAAATGATGACTTTGCGCACCTACTTGGCCATGTGCGACAGGACGCCGGCACTCCACGATACCAGCGTATCGTTGATCCGGAAGCCCTCCCCCGTCAGAACAAAGTTCGCGAACAACTCCAACAAACATACCAGCATAAACACCGGGACGGTCTGCAGAAAAGATAAAAAATAAAGATGAAATAATCGTAATGTTACCACTGTACAAAATCGAAGATAATTAATTCGGTGCGTAATTAATGCCTTCCTAAAAAAAAGGAAATAATTTTATTTTGAATGCGGATTGCCGAATAGTAAATCCTGTGAGCGTATATCTGACAAAAATGCATGAGTGATATTGTCAAAATACAAGATCATCGTTTTTGATGATGCAAAACAACAGCGGAAATTCCCAAAGGAATTCAAGGAAGAAAAAATTAATAGATAATTTAAAAATTCAGCAACTGTTGCTGGAATGAAACCAACACATAACTAGAGAGAAAAAAACGTAAATTCTACTTTCCCGATAATTTTTAACAAGTAAATAAACGGGAATTTACGGAGATGCTGTACTACAGGAAACACAGAATATTCACCCAAAATAAACACATATTCCTAATTTAGCTCAGAAAAAAGCTACTGAATTGCAGCAATTTTTGGAAAAAGGCGGCTTACGTTGGAAAAATAATCCGGAACGAGATGGTAGTCGGGATACATGTCCGTCTCATTCCCATAACTCCCGTTTACCGGAAGTCCGTGCGGGATGACTTCCGACGGCGAGATAAGGTAAAACAGCGCGCGGAGATGGAAAAAATCCATTCGCTCGGATAGATCCTTCGCCACATCAAATACACCGGTTGCGTTGGACTGGTTCATCCCGACGAGAGATTCGGGAGCAAATTTCAACGGGTCCATCGTCGGGATGGAAAGATTAACAACAGGAACTTCAACACCGGTTGCCATTCTCAACAAATACTAATAATCTAAAAAGCGAAATCAAATTAAATATAACCATTAAAGTGATTAAACAGGTCGCTAGAGCATATTCCTTGTAGCCAGTTGTACCGCGCACCATAAGCTGTACAGACGTCATTTAAATTGCGCAATTTAATTTTTACATTAAAATTTCATGCGTTTAGATTCTCTTAATTAATTGTAAGTAAAACTGTTTAACTTACCTCGTACAATAAAAAAAATTCCAAATATAACGCGCTGTACTCTAATAGCGAATCACGTTCAAGGGGCCCGTCGAAGAAGCCTTTCAACGCAGTCTCCAGTTGGAGATAACTCCGAAAAATTTCAAAATGAAAACTCGCACACTCGACGAGTCGACGCTGCTTATCAACCGGGATAAAGTGCAACACCGTTCATCACGTCTTATCAGTTCACCGGAGACGCTTCAGCGTATAGCCGCGTAATTCCCATCCAAACCGCGGAACAACAGCGATAACGATAATTGTCGGACAATCATACATCAAAAATTATACAAATTCGCAAACACAACAGTAAACGACTAAACGAAACGAACTTTTCCAAACAATGCACATTGCAAAATGTTGCTAAACAGCTGATGTGCTATCAAAAGTTTCTCAAAACCACAAATACCAGTGAAATTATTTAATTACGTCATAACCACAGAGCCAGTTAAACTGCTAGTAGAACTTAAAAGGATACCGTAGTCTGGACTTTCAATCACTTGCAAATCTTGCTGTTTGGCAGACATGGCAGTTGCCTGTTTGCAAATGCAGTCAAAACGAAAACATTTGCACTTCGCAGATCTACTAATGCGCCAGCGGCATTTTCCAGGCCCGAAGCGTAACGCACCGAGCCCCAGTTTAGTCATCAAACCCACACACCGGGGCGGCTGCATCTTTGCAAATGGTCAAACTGCTTAAAAACTGAGCTGTTATTCGTGGTCGCCAGTGGCGACTCGCCACTCGCCATTGCCAGTATAATCAAACAAGTACAGTACTTTAATGATTAACCACATGGAATACAGGTTTCGAACAAAAAATACGCACAACAGTAAATCTATCAATCCTGCAAACATGATAAACCAGATTAGCAGAAGTCCAAAAGACTTGAAGTAAGATGAAAAGAGAAAACACCATTTATTTTGCATTGCTACACATTTTTTTTGCTATTTTTGTCCCGAAAATTTATTTGCAACAATTGTCCACGAGTGACGCATATTGTCCTTTTCAGCGTATAAAGTTCAGACAGCAGCAATTTCATGCGACCTTTGAATTGTTTCTGTCCTGATTCTTTTACTCTGATCGTATCTCGCTGTTTAACTTGGCATATAGTGGCAAAGGCGATATTATTTGCTTGGGTTAAAATTTCTCAAATTCAATGTGCACGATAGTCGATCCTAACTTTTGGCTGCAAAAACAGGTGACGTTGAGATAAAATAATGTAAAATAAAATTACTATTTATTTTACTGTGTAACTTCATCTAATTTCCGCCGTATGCGGTGTAATTTGAGTAATTTCAGTGCATTGGACGTCCTGCTCGCTGGAATTGTTTATGATTTCCCCACAGCCACAATTTATTTCCCGTTATCATCTTGCAGTAACTGACAAGCCATTTCCACTTGATACGGGGTTATAATGGCGTCGACAGACCGATAAAGGCAAGGCCCCCATTTCTTTGCGATAACATTGATAAGGAACACTCTGGTAGTCGCCAGCGCTATTTATAGCGATGACTGCGCAGACCTCAATCTGGCAGAGCAGTTTCTAACCTCTACCCACGTAAACATTTCCCCCGTGTTTTTCTAAATTCCCGGCATAATGCAGGCGAGTGCCATGAGCGGATATAGTTATCAGGCGGAGAACGGGATGGCCAACAAGAAGAAGGAGGCCGTCAGCCGGAAGAAGTCCACTGGACAGCTGGCGCAAGTGTCCCTGGTGCTGCCGCTGCGCGATAACGTCACTTCCCTGTCCAAGGCATTGGCTGTGTTCGAGGTACAAACGTGGAAATTTGCTATGCGCCGTGTTTGTAAATTCGACGTTGCACAGCCTGTGCAGTTCCCTGTACTTTGCTATGGCATCTGCTGCTTACTGAACCGAGAAACGACCGCAGCGCTGCAAAGCAAAATTTCACTGCGCTTAAAATCCAAAACTTTGTTGTTCTTTTTCGACTTTCGTTGTTAGTTTCTGTTTACCAGTTTTTTGGCGAGCAGATTTTGGGATACATTGTTTCTTTAATTTGTCACTAGGTTTGTTGCTGTTTGCAGTTTTCTTTTCTCGGTAGAAATTCGCCTTGAAAATCAACCACATTGAATCGCGTCGGTCGAAAAATCGCCCAGGCGCGTTTGATTTCTTGGCGGAGATTTCTCGTCCTCACGAAGAGGAGTTGCAGCAGGCCATCGCCGAGCTGAACGAGATCACTGTGGGTCCCGTGGAGCAGCACGCCGAGAGCTTCGTGGAGAAGGGCTACGACAAGACGGTGGTGAGTGAGGATGTGGACGAGAGCAAGCGTTATCTGCCGGGATTCCCGGGGGTGCCCTGGTTCCCGCAGACCCTGCAGGAACTCATCAGTCATCTGGGCAAGACGCTGCAGTGCGGTGCGGAACTGGATGCTGACCATCCGGTAAGGATTCAGTGGCTTGCTACCGTATTGACGTTAGATTATTTCCTGCAACTCGCCACCTTACCGTGATTTGCAATAAGAAACTTAAGATTTGTTAAAGTTTTGACATTAAACTACTTTATTTTGGGAATATCCATAAATAGTTAGTAGACTATTTACCTTTGCTATTCCGTAATAAATAATTTATTTTCATTATTGTAAATTATGAATATTCCAGAAAATTGGAAGTTTAGTAATAATAAGTAATTAATCTGAAATAATGTAAATTCTGAATATTTCAAAAATTGGAAGTGTGACAATTGTCAAACTGTTAATGGAAAGATATTTTAATTAGTTAATTACGTACCATTTTTTTTAATATCAGTAAACGTTCATTTTCGCTTAATTCGGTCAAAATTGAAAAAAATCAGTCTGGTGCTGTAATTATATACGATGCAACCTTACGATTAATGCTTGTATTGGTATGAGACTCACTACTATGAGTAACGCCATCTAATTTTGCCATTATTCTACAAAGCACAATGTTTTTGCCATTATTCTACATCCTCGCTCTCGTCCATTTTCTCTGCAGTACTGTATATTTGCAATAATACTTATAAAAAGTTCAATAATGCAGTGCAGTGCATGGCTCGTGCAAATCAGTAGAATTAATGGTGAATTATGGAAATTCAATATTAATTCAAATTAAATTTGTATAATTGCATTCAATTAATCTTTTGGTACGTATAAGGTATAACCATTATCTCATCTGTTCCCCAGGGTTTCAAGGACAAAACGTATCGCGAGCGACGGAAAAGTTTTGCCGATTTGTCCATAAGCTATACAATGTAAGTGTTACCTGCTAAATTCTACTGTGATGTTTTGTTAGAGTTTAAGTTTGTCTTCCGAAGTTGTTGTCGGTTTACGCGTAACAATGTTGTGTTGCAATTTAATTGCTGATTAACTCCCCAAAAATTTTTTCTAGGGACAAACCGATACCGAAGGTAGAATACACGAAGGAAGAGACGGAAACCTGGTATGTAACCGCATTAGATTAGCGGAAGATGTAACGTGCTTTGACTTTTCGGCTTAACTGGGCAATTTACAGGGGAAAAGTGTACCGGGAGCTGACACGAATTTACCCGACCCACGCTTGTTCCACGTACAACGAAATGTTCAAGCTGCTGGAGAAGGAGTGTGGATACAGCGACAAAGCCATTCCACAATTCGAAAAAGTCTCCAAATTTCTGCTGTGTAAGTCGCTATGGCCGTTATCGGCATTCCGACGACACAGTTGGCAGGAAATTTCAATGACCAAAATTTCATATCACACCGCAAAACAATGGTGAATTCGATAAGAAAGGAGGTGTGGGTACGTTGCAACTTGGACTTGCCGGTTGACTATAACTACAGTTACTACACCGTTTGTAAGAATATTTTTGCATGTCAGTGAGGAGTCTGAGACATGGATGACGATGGACTAATACTCGTGCTGCGCTTATTTAAACAAATTACGTTTGCTTTACTCGTACCAAGTATTGCGGCTTTTTTGTCCTACGAATTATGTACAAAATTCTAATGTAGATTGTGGTATACTGGTACTTAGTACATGAATGTACCGTTATGTACGTACAGTAAATTTTAGAAAATAATAAATTATCAGTTAAAGGTAATTGTTGTAAGAGACAAATTCAGCAGATTAGAAAAAATTGCGAGATAATTCGGAGTGGAACGATGGAGTGCAAGTACTGAAGACGTAGGGAGTAGTAGGGACATTATCAGCAGCAAACGTAGTGTGATGGCTGCACTAACATCATTGAATCTACGGTTTCCGTGTGTAAAAATGGCTTGTAAAGCCGAATTCATTGGTACAGGTCGTAGTATAATTTTTTATGCATTCTTTCTCATGTATTTATTCGTTTAACGACTCGTAAATTAAATTACACCAATTGCAGCACGCACCGGTTTCCGGCTGCGCCCGATATCCGGTCTGGTGGACTGGCGGGATTACTTGGCCGGTCTGGCCTTCCGCGTCTTCCACGGCACACAGTACATCCGCCACGCCGACTCGCCCAGCTACAGCCCGGAACCGGATGTCTGCCATGAACTGCTGGGTCACGTGCCGCTCTTCTGCGACCCGGTCTTCGCGCAGTTCTCCCAGGAGCTGGGCCTGGCGTCCTTGGGCGCGCCGGATGAGTGGATTGAGAAGCTGGGCGCGGTGAGCAGCCGCATTCATTACAGGGAAATATTCGACATAAAAAAAAATAATTAATAAAAAATAATGCGATATAAAAAATGAATTTTATTTGTATTTTTCGAATAATAAAAAATATAAACGAAAATAATGGGCGTCTGTTGTAGCTGTACTGGTACACCGTGGAGTTTGGTGTGTGCCGGGAGAAGAGCGGGAACCGGGCGTACGGTGGGGCGCTGCTGTCGTCTTTCGGCGAGCTCGAGGTAAAAATTACAAAATGCACAAAAAAGTTGTTTCACAGTAAATCATTTTGAACTTAGGTGAAAATTTTTACCGGCTCATTTAGAAATTTTTTCCGTGACGTTAGAAATAGAAATTGTGCCATTACTCTACGAATGTTGTACAATTTTTGCTGCAGTCTGTGTAAGAGCATACAGCTACGGAGTCAACAATTCTACAATAAATCATCGCTAATTCGCATTTAATTTCGCCACATGATAACCTTTCCTTTGACTACAATGTTGTAATTAGTTTTTTACTAATTCAAGAACAGCGTCCCGTTTGATTAAATCAGAAAATATCTAATTTTATTTATTATTGGTTATTTCGATTTTGGCTGTGATTTATAAAATGTCTCTATTATCTTCCATAGTTATGTTTAATTCGGATATGGGTGCGGGGACAAATAATTGTGCTTTTAAATTTTTTAATAAATTAGCGGTCATTTTTGCCTACGCGTGAAACACTACCTGATTTTCTTTCTCTCCAAAATGCTTTTGTCGACCTATAAATATTGCTCATACACGCACCAATGGTTATTTAATTAGATTTTGAGATTGAATCGGTCAGTTTTGCATCGCTTGTGGTTTGCAGCACTGTTTGAGCGAGAAAGCCATCACCATGCCGCTGGACACGGAGAAGGTGGCGGCCACGCCCTATCCCATCACCCGCTACCAGGATGTGTACTTCGTGGCGGAGAGCTTCCATGCCATGCGTGACCAGCTGGCGTAAGTCGACCTGACTCATAAATCCCGGGATGGACTAATTTTATCCCGCTAAGTAAATAATCCACGCGATTTTTGATGATGATGTTGTTGTGTTGGTGCACAGCGCCTGGATGACGCAGATCCCGCGTCCTTTCGCCCTGCGCTACAACGCCTACACGGACCGCGTGGAGCTGCTGCACGAGCGCCGCCATCTCGACGCGCTGGCGCGCGATATCCAGAGTACGTTGGGGAATTTTTAGAATTTTTCACAATTTAATACTTTTTAATTTATTAATTAATAGTCAATAAATTTGATATTGCTAATTAATATTTTTCTAATTTGATTTTCTCAGTGAGAAGTGTACAGCAGCAACAGAAGTTAAGTTCACAGTAGAAGTATATGTTTCTAGTAATTTATTCTTTAAAAAAATGCATTTTCATGCTTTCAGTATTAATATGTAGACTCGTACAGCTGCAACTGAAACGTGATAAAACGTAGAACGAGGTACGGTAGACGGTAGACCGTAGAGGTACTATGAAATGCGGACATTTTGTGGCCGGAAAATTTCAAAATTTACTTGGTCGAGAAGAATTTGACGCTTTAAATTTTTATTTTGTGATAGCGATATACTCTGTAGATTAGTATCTGCTAAGTAGTAACATTTTTTCTGTTTGAACAAACAGTATTTATTGATCGTATGAAAATCCCGTCATATTTGTATTGATAATTTTCTTCCTTTTTCTTGATTAAACATATTTTCCGGTGCATGCAGTACCGAGTACAATACGAGCACTGGTAATAATCGTTTTTCTTTTTAATGGCCAATCTGTGATGGAAACGCGTATAATGTGGTTTCTGTCCAGGGAACAAATACCATCGGGAATAAATGTGAATCAAATGTTAGCAATGATTAGACCACATACAGCTATGACCGTTGAATGCTGATCACTGATGTGTTGCTTTCTAAGCAACACAAAAAATTTACGTTGTATTTTCTGGACTTGAAATGGTTTACAAATTTTAATGGTAGTCCTAAGAATAAGATGCATCCCTTGCTCGAAAGATGAGAGTACGCAACAGGGTCACAATAATACGAAAATTTCGGATTTGTTTTCTGAAGCGGAAATATGCGTCGTAATATATGTGATAATGACTAAATTTCAGGCAAAATTTTTTGGCATTACATTACCACTGTACAATGTAAATTTATTAAGCAATACTATATATTCTTGTATCATGTTCATACAGATACATGCAACAGTGTACAGTACATACATTCAGATTATTACTACGTAACAGGGTATATTTTGTTCGGATGGCAATCATGGCACTATCTCAAAATTATGTCACTTTCTTTTAAGATATTCCTACATAACGGTGTAAAATATTCTTAGCCGGTAATACAAAATTGCAGATTAACTATGAATGCGTTCTTTTTGCAGCGGAAGTGCGCATTCTGATGGACGCCATTAATAAGCTGTAAATCCGCCGGATGATCCCTGCCAGCGCTATGGTGTGGGGGTGTTGCTGTTAGTGTTATATGAGTAATCGGCCATTGATGAACTCGGAACAATTAATGTATACCGTTGTTTGTTGAACGATTTCCGACTGTTACGTGTTTTTCGTTAGTCATTCTGGTTGTAATCATTGATGGGCCTGTCAACCGATAATTTGTGGTAATTTATGCGTAGCTCACATCGTATGTTTTTAGCGCTGAAGGGGAAAAGAAGAGAAAAAACGTATTTTATCGATTGACAGTGAATGCTTGCGGAAAGACTTAGCACGGTTTACTCACCACAAAAAATCAATTTTTAAAATTAAAGAAAAAATATCCCAATACTAATGAGTATCGAACTATTGGTAATAAGTACATCATAATAAAATATCAATAAAAATAAGTTAACTGAGTACATCAATGTTTAAGAAAAATCTTAGCCATGTTTTATTCACCCAAACATTAGTTTTTTTGCAGCAATAAAAAGGCAAAAAAGTATCATATATATTAATAATAAATAAATAATAGAGTAGTATTATTAGTAAAATATAATCATATAAATAAGCACTTTTTCTGATATACATAAAATGCCGGAAAGTTTTTGCGCGGTTTTTTCAACAGAAAAATTGTTTTTGCCTTTTCCGTAAAATAAGCGGCGGTGTATTTCGAAATTCAGGAATTAATAATTTTGTGGGTTTCGTGCATGAATGTAAAATTGTGTTGTAAATTGTCACAGGGGGAATGGTAAACGTGTTTTATTTTAAATGGACTATTAGGTGAGTAATAATTAATTTTATTTGTTTAAGAAATGGAGCAGGACAACAAAATCAAGCCGTATGTGGTATTATTGGCAGATAACACTGTTTAATTATCAGCTTAACGATTTTTCCACCACAAACTACTCGAAGGATGAAAGTACAGTCTGTAGAACGGGCGATAAGTGGACAACGATGATAAATTAGAAAATTATCCGCTCCATGTGTTCGCAACACTGTCTGCCGCGGCACAGCGGCCGAGCGACATTATTCTGTCAAGAACGACTCAAGATTGCCGCTCGAAGAGGGTGTATATGCACTTTAGCTCAAAAAAGATAAAACCCCGCAAACAACACCGCGTTTCCGCAAAATTTGCCGGCTTCCTCGCGGGCATCCCGAGAATAAGCACTCGGGCACTAAAGCGCAATTCGGCCGACAACAATGCATTTATCTCCACCGGTGAACATGGGCCGGCTGATAATTGCCCCCGGAGCGCTTACTGCATGCCGGCTCCGCTCAATAATTCACTCGTCCTTTCACTCTTATCACAACGTCGGCGGTGAGCTGGTAATCAAGACAAATGCGTGCGGAATCGCACGCTACAATTACGCTGTTACTACACCAACGCGAACTTCGCTCGCTACGCTAACCTTCGCTCGCCTTGCTCGGCGTCTTGTGGTCTCAGCTTACTCCGCTATTAGCGTCGCTTCGCTCGTGCGATAAGAGGGTACACAGTGCGAACTTCGCTCGTTTCGCTCGTCGCGAAACATACGCATTAATCTTCGATCCGGTGACGTTTATCTGCGAATTGTGCCGCTTTACTGTTTACTCGTATGAGAGATTGATTTCGTTTGCTCGCTTCGCTCGTCGCGTGATTACACCGTAATTACTCCAAATCTCCGGTGGGATTAATTGTGGAATGAGTAAGCTGGATGTGTACGAGTATAACGGGCGGAACAGTGGGATGGAGCCGGAAGTGGGGGAAGCGGAGCGCAAGAGCAATGTGGACGTGTTCATGGATGTGCTGGGCAATCCGGGCCGCTTCCAGATGCTGCAGTTTGTCCTGCTGAGTATGCTGTTCATCGCTTGCGCCATGAACGATCTGGCGCCCATCTTCTACGATCTGGACCCGCACAAGGTGGACTGCTCGGCGTCCAACGGGGGCACGGTGCAGCCGGATCTGCTGTGGGCCAACGCCAGCGAGACCAAGTGGTGGCACCATCCGGAAGTGTGCAAACAGTACTGCCCCAACAGTCAGGTGTTCTGGTATTATTACCGGGATAATGTCACCAGATCTGTCGTTGCCGATGTGAGTCGATTTACACTTCGCATTTTTCATCCTTCGCAAAGTAACAGTACACCAGCATACTTGCTTAAAACTTGTTTATGTTTGAACAAGGTAGAAAACTATTAGAAATTTGTTATTTGTAATAAATCAAAATAAAGGTACACATGTCTAATAACTGTATATGATTTGCATAATATTATAATATTATGCAAATCTTGTTAACTTGGTTTTAAATAATTATTAATGGGATATCATTTTTTTAGCAGTTAATCGATTTATAATATAGTTGTTTGCCCGATTTATACGGTATATGTACCGATTATCGCTACTAAAAAAATTTATTTTATACCATCAGAATTCAGATTTTAAGTGCGAAATTTCTGAAGCCGGGACAGGTGTCCGTGGTTGATTTTCGGGGGATCGTTTGCGTAAATTATCCGACGCTCTACGCCGATTCTTGTTATGTGCATGGTGATAAAATTACAAGTATAGACGTCATATAATTATCATAAATCGAAAGAACAGTGTTATGTGTATCTTTTTCATAATTTCGGTATCTTATTTCATCACCTACAAAATGATTAAATTAATGCTGCACATTCTGCACAATATTATTTAATCAAATTTTTTATTTAAAAAAAGTTTTAAAAGGATAATTTTGAGCGCAAAATGAAGGATTTTTATTATTGTTATTGTCTGTTTTTATTGCTCTTTTATTTCTGCTATGTTATTACTGTTAATAGTTTAGTGTAAATATTTAAGTGCTATCTGGAATAATTTTTATCAAAAATAATCTCCTATTAAAAACCTGAATAATTTTTTCCATACTGGAACTCATAAGTTTTTGACACGATATTTTATGGAGAGGATGTGTTTGTTTGCAGTTGAATCTCATCTGTGATAATCGCGCATTTATTTCCCTTGCTTCGACCATATATTTCGTCGGTAAGTTGTGGATCGATAATATGGTTTATGTGGCCGGTCTTAAGTGTCAATAGTATTACAAAGTATTGTGGTAATTTAACACCAATTAAAGGTATAAATATAGCGGAGAAATACGTCACACATTGTCGTGAACTATAATTGTCACGAGTACACCTGTTCGTTCTTCCAGCGATAAAAACAGTTAATTTTGTGCTTATTAAGCTCGCATGCATAATTGTAATTTCACGGAACAAAATTTTTCCTCTCTGATTCCCTTCCGCTTGGATGTTGCAGGATGTGCAGTTGGTGGACCAACGTTCGGCTTCCTGGCTGATAAATTCGGACGCCGGCGGGCATTGTTCTTGGCCAACATACTCTACACGACATTCTCTGTTGGATTGATCTTCATCCAGGATATCGTGGCTTTTATAATTCTGCGCTTTGCTATCGGCTTCGCTAGACAGGTAATCCATGCAGGATTAGATTTAAGATGCTGAGTCGGTAAAAGAATTCTGAATAACTTTTGGTTACAAATTGCAATACATATAGCCTGATCGACCTAGGTACGTACATTCGCTTTTTTTCGACAAAATATAAGTTTTTTATGTATGAAAATGAATGTGTCTTATAATAAAATAAAAGATTTGATTACCGCTACAAAAAATGAACTTTCTGCGGTCAAAAAATATTTTTCGCGCCCTTAATTTTCCCATATATAAAGTTAGTTATGTGCTTACGGTAATTTAAAGGATGTGATGGCACATGAAAATTTGCCGATGCTCTACGATGATTCTCGTTACGTTCATGCTTATGAACTTACGACTGGCTGTATATGCGGCATTTTGTCCACCGCCAAATACTACTGTTGCTAATGGAGTGCCTAACAGACATGGACCCAGCTGAGTCCATGTGCTGGCTAGGAGTCCGGGGTTCCGTTAATACTGTTATTTTTTGTTGTTCTATCTCGTCCTCTTTGCAAATAAGCGGAAATGCTATCGATATAAATAAACTCCCATTATTTCTCGCCACAGGGTCTACAAGCGACATTTCTCGTGCTGATGCTAGAATGGACCCATCCCGAGCAGCGCAGCCGCATCGGGGCGGCCACCCAGTTTTTCTACGTAGCCGGTGTGCTGCTGCTGGCCTTCTTCGCCTTCCTCTTCCCGTGGTGGCGCCATCTGCAAATTGTGCTTGCCTGCGCCAATTTTGTCTTCCTCACCTATTACTGGATGGCGCCGGAATCCCTGCAGTGGCTCCTTATGAACGGTCGGTACACGCAGGCCGAGAAAAACTCACAGTTCGTCGCTAAATTCAACGGGATTAATCTGCATACCGATGATCTTTCGCTGTTGCAACGGTTGGCGGATGAGGAAGAGCAGTTGCGAGCGTCGAGCACCAGTAGGAAAACTCACAGTGTGCTGGATTGTTTCCGCTCCAAGAAACTGGCCATTTTGACCTTACTTTCGTGTTATATTTGGTGCGTACGTTTCGTTTACAAACGCTGAATAAAATTTCATAATAATCTGCTGGTCGTCTTTTTAGGTTTGTGGCCAATTTCGGATACATTGGAATATCTTTCATGTAAGACATCTCCTAATGCTTGGAGGCGCAGCAATAACGATCAGTACTAGTATTTCTCAATAGGATTGGAGATATTTCGGAAACCATGAGCGCATACGCTAATTTAGCATTAGCCGGATCATTGGAAGCCATTCCAACCGCGCTGACCATACCGCTGGTTTCCAAGTATGTATGCGCGGAGCATCACTTGCTGATTATTACGATCCGATTAACAATTGTGAAATTGCAGATTTGGAAGGCGCTTCCCGATGGCCGGCTACTTCACCGTGGCTACCATCTTCCTGTGTGTTGCCGGCAGTTTAACGGGGAATCCCGCTCAACTGCCGTTAGCTTTAGTTGGTCGAATGTCCATAGTCGGGTATGAAAACAGGAATTTCTGACTTAATCGTATGAATAAATCTGAAATGTGTATTACCTTGCTTGGATCCTGCTTCTGTTCACTTAGAATTACAAGTGGTCTGTGCCCCCAAATTTTTGTGCACATAAACGATAGACATGACCTGTACATTAGTCGAAATCCATCAAGCGATCGCTGCGTAATGGATGTTGTGTTTCTCCAGGTCGTTTTCAATTATTTACGTCTGGGCAACGGAACTCTTCCCCACCGTTATCCGCAATCAGGGTTTCGGACTACTATCCCTGGCTTTCATGACCGGTGGAATGGTGGCACCGGAAGTCCTGCTCCTGGTACCGCGTTTTAACTGCCATCATAAACTAGTTTATGCAAAAATCGTATGTCTGACCGTAGGGCGAACGACTTGGCTATGCCGCCGGTGATCTGGCCATTCCCATTACCGGTAGGACTAAGGAATGTTTTGAGTCTGTATATCTGTACCGTAGTAGGATGATCGTCCGACAAATGATATATTAAACCTCCGTGTTACGTTTTGCAGTGATTGGCTGCTGCACATTTCTAGCCGTGATAGCCGCATTGATTCTTCCGGAGACCAAGTATCGTAAAAATTATCCCGAAACCTTCGAAGATGTTCAAGCGTTGCCATACGGTTTCAGCAATAAGTGCACTGGTCGATGACCGTTGTTGTCCAGTTACTGTTGCAGTGCATGGAAAATGTTACTGGCGCTCTGATTGTTGTTGGCATTTGCTGCAAATGCCCTTTATTTCAAACCTAGCTAACAACGAACGGTTTCTGAATGTTAATGAACAGTTAATTCGCTGCATGCGACTAAATTAGCGGAGACCCATTCGGGCGAGTGGAATTAAATGCTGAGAATACGTTCGATAAAATAACGACCAAGAGTGTCTGCGCTATCAAGCCAATTAACTTGCTACATACTTACATATTTTGCCGGATTACCATAGCAGGTTGTCATACGGCTGATTGTAAGTATCATTCAAATATCAAGCTGTTTAGTACCAGATCAACTCCAGAATGCCATTTAATAAAGAATTCGCTTGCGTATTGGGCTTTGGCAAGGCATATCCATAATTTGCATAGTAAACATGAATCGTTAGTTTTATATTACAAGAAACACACACCGGTGTACGAAGGTAACATCCGCCGGCGTTCGCTTTATACTAGTAGCATCAACGACAGAATTTCGCCGGCGTCCGGCCTATCGGATTATATGTCGACAAATTAAATCACACTATTGGCTGACAATTGAAAAATAAAGTTACACAAGGTCTGCGCAAGCATAGGTCAGCCGTATTTGACCTATTTCGATATCGTTAGCAAATCAGACACGCGGACGCTTTAGCGTCCCACTTTCTGGATAATTTTGTTATCGTAACAGAGCGACAAAAGTTTGCGACACAGTGCGGAGTATGATGCCGAAGTTGTCTGTACCCCTACCAATTTCTAATAATATACCTACAGCATGTAGTACTCGTGTAAGAAGAACAGTGAAGGTTGTTGCTCGGCACTCGGCAGTTCAAGTGAAGATAGCACTACGCGACGAAGGAATGCAGAATGTTACGGACAAATGGGTTCTGGGTTTGGACAACACAACCTACCGGTTGCATATATTCTGCACCGGTGCATCACCTGCCCTGGGTGGGTTCAGCATAATTTTATTCGTACTGATTATTTTAGCCAACGGCATATGGCTACTGGCTATATTGCCTCACCCAAAATTGCGCACCCCAGTCGGCGCTTTCATAATTTCCAACAGCGTCTTGGATGTTTTCTTAACTTGTTGGTCAGCTTTCACTTATTTCCATTCTTCCATCGGTCTGGGGTATCCCACTTCGCCATACGAAATGGCCATGTGGAAAGACACAGTAGCCAGCGCGGATATCATCCACATAGCCGTAATCTCTGGTGTTCGGTATATGAAGACGTTTCATAACACTTTCCAGGAGAACTGGCTGGATAGAGAAGGAGCCACGGGTTCTATGATTTGCCTAATGATTTTCGCGTGGGCTTGCACAAGTGTACCTTTAACACTTGGTGGAGCGTCCTTCTTACCCACAAGTACAAGTATCTATCCATCTGTTTACTCAAATAAAGAAAAAACTCCCATGTTAATGTTTATTATAATAATGTTGATTTCCAGTATCCAATGGAAGCTTCTGTACAGCTGCGCTTTTCAGTTCAGAAGATACAGGCCTGTATCATGCGACAACATTGGTACTGTATGCCGTGCCCCTTTTTATTGTGGTTGTATTTTATGTGATACTTTTAGTGCGAATGTATCGCCGAGCACAAATTGTTTTAGCAACAAGAGTAATCATACTTCGAGACTCGCAGATACCCGGCCAACCAGCTTTTGGTCTGACAGAACGCATCGCAATTTTTTTTCGAAGCAAGGAATACATAGCCAGTCGAATGTACCTAGCCATAACGCTTCCTGTGGTACTTCCGGTAACACTACATTGCATTTTTCGTATTCTGGGAGCAAGAAACGTCCAGATCAACCACGACCATTTTGGAGCAGCGATGTACGTTGCGATGCTCATACAGTCGCTTATCAATCCAATCTTACTATTTGTTTTCAACCACAACTATCGGATCAGATTGAGAATGACCTTTGCCAAGCTAAAATGTTTGAGCTGTTGTGCAGGAAATTGCGAGAGAATAACTACCGGCACTGCGGAATGGGATGAGATGGCACTGATCCTTGAAAACACCTGACACGTTCATTCAAAGATTTCTATTGGCTTTGGGAAGAAACCGGTAATCATCTACGTATATAACATACTAGGAAAGTGCACTCGCTTTATGCGGGCACTGCATGACCGAAGCGTAGCTCAGTGCAGAGTAGAATTAAGTTACTGTACTCGTACTAATTTAAGGGAAGTGGCCCGGTGCATGGTACCAAATTCGTGTACATGCACGAAATCTTTCACTTTCGCGCACTCCCAAACCCTTTTTTCTGTTGTTTTATGACAATCTGTAGTCAAATGATTTGTATACACAGGCCTGAAAACCGTTTGCGCGCGCAACATCCGGTTCGCGAGTTATGGCTGTTAGAAAATTCCCAAAAGTTTAAATGCATTCAGGTGTACCAAAAGTCTCTTTATGGGCCGATCTCTTTCAGATTTTGCACGTAAATGCACATAACCACGACGAACGTTTTTACACCGATCCACTGTTCCAGCATGTTTTTCAAATTTTAAAATGAATTTCAAAAATTTTAAAATTCCTTTTAAAATTTGAAAAAAATCGTGGAAGTCTGGATCGGTGTAAAAACAATCTTCATGGCCATGTGCATTTACATGCAAAATTTGAAGGAGATCGGTCCATAATGAGACTTTTGGTACACCTGAAAGCATTTAAACTTTTGGGAATTTTCTTACTGCCATAACTCCCGAACCGGATGTTGCGCGCGCAAACGGTTTTCAGGCCTGTGTATACAAATCATTTGACTACAGATTGTCATAAAACAACAGAAAAAAGGGTTTGGGAGTGCGCGAAAGTGAAAGATTTCGTGCATGTACACGAATTTGGTACCAAGTACCGGGCCACTTCCCTTCCCTTAACCGTGTCAGCAATTTTTAATCCATGAACCCGTTGGTGCAAACTTCGAATTCATTATTAAATTCCACTGTAACGGATGCAATTATATATTTGTACAGCGGCACAAAAACAACGAAATAGTGGCCCAAACTGGTATTGAATTACTGAAGGGTTTTTAACCGGTCAAGTTCACGCGCTCTCTGCTGGGTGGCCTTCTTGGTTTTGATGCTTTGCAGTAAACTGTATGAAAACATAGGCTCAATTGCCAAGCCTGTCCATGTTTTCACACGTGAAAACCCAACGTATATTAGACCAGAGGCGAATTCCCTAGCTCCGAGGTGCACGACGGCGTGGTTGCACGTGATGCCCTGGGATTTGTGAATGGTGATCGCCCACGCCAGGCACAGAGGCACTTGCGTTCTTGTGCACTTCTCCGATTTGTCGTTCCATTGAGTTGTGATGGGGACGATGGGAACGCAGTTGTTCGCCAGTGTTGGGCCGGTGTACCTGTCGAACTCTACCAGGACGCCGCGCCGGTAGGAAATAAGCACGGATACGCTTGAGCAATACAACCGGGTGTATTAAATTCATCAATAGGATGAGATGACATTTCGGGATAAGCTATTTCAGATGCGTTGAATGCAGTATAATTGTCCACTGCGCTGCGGTTAACCAACACAACGGAAACCAGTTCATGTATGCTGTGTGGCAAAGATTTCGCAAATGATTTTACATCCTGCATAAAATTGATAACATTCCCACTGTAGCTCAACTGTTGTCCGCGACCAATTTTGTATACTGACAGGACAGGGTGGATTCGGGCTACCAGTTGCTGTTCCAAATATGTCAAGTTTGCCAAGACTGCTGGTACAGCACCTGGATCCATATTGTTTTGCTCGCTGAATTTAGAGAAAGCTTTCCTGCAGTGCGCACAACGCATTCGATTATCCAGTTTTAACCCTGGCCAGGACTCCTTACAAACAACACACTCTTTCCACATGAAGGTCATCATATGTTCGTGGAGTGAAACTGCCAATAATTTAGGTTCCATTGAGGCTCGCAACACAGCCCGACTGAAGCGAATGGCGGCCACTTGCATATCTCGTTGTGGTGACGTTTGTGATTGTCGTACACGGGCATGAGCTTCTGTGTTTCGGCGCTGTTCCCGCGCTCTTTGTGAAGGCTGTTGGCAACGACGTGCTATACGTTCTCGAGCCCTCGTGTTCACATTATTTAGGGCATGAGGCAATAAGGTTTCGTTACGGCGTCGAGCGGCAGCCTCTCTGTCTTTTCTTCTTTTGCTGCGTAATTGAGCGGAAGTCATTGTCGCTCTTTTTCTTGCCTGGTTGACCTTGTTGCGCGCACGAGCTTGCTCAGCTTGCTGGGAAGATTGTCGGCGTTTGCGTTTAGGGGGAGGTGGAAGTGGTTGGGATGCGGAATCATCACTCTCTGACAGTTCACCTGCGGTGTGAAATTGACAATTGTTGGAGGCATATTGGTCTGCGGTAATTACTGTACATAATATTAAACTTACGGTTTGCTGTTTCCGCTGTCTTTTCCGCTTGTTGCTTGATGTTCCAATCGGGGCTACCCTGGGCGCCATTTCGTAAGATCAGCTGGTCTTTACGTTAAGCGATGAACGGCACCGGTACCGGCAAATTTTTGCCGGCAGTTTAATAGGTCATAACTTTACAATACATAGTGACCTTTTCGATTTACTGTATTTACCTGCATTTTATGTACCGTATTACAAAAGCATTTCAAAAATCCGATTCCATGGTGACAATACTCTAATGAGTACTGTACTTAAAAAGTATATCATGTGGCAACGACCGACGAACGGACATTACCATTACCATCTGTTGGAATATATAATGGCATGGGCATGTTTGTTGGCGGTGACAGACGAACGGACATCACCAGTTACATGGGGTATGAGTATATACGGCCACCGCGCATACGCGCATTTGTTTCCAGTGCTACTGTGCGTATGTGCATTTTGTGGCGGTGACCGACGAACGGACATCACCAGTTACATGGGGTGTGAGTATATACGGCCACCGCGCATACGCGCATTTGTTTCCAGTGCTACTGTGCGTATGTGCATTTTGTGGCGGTGACCGACGAACGGACATCACCAGTTACATGGGGTGTGAGTGTATACGGCCACTGCGCATATGTGCATTTGTTTCCAATGCTACTGTGCGCAAGTGCATTTGTGGCGGTGACCGACGAACGGACATCACTTTTCCCATTAATTCTGAACATAGAGGACCTTCGCTACGCTTCGGTCGATCAAGTGATGCGAATTTGCTGTTACCGGCGTGGAAATGCAACGATAAATCTCTTTTGGAACTCTGTTTCTTGCTGGTACTAATACTGATAGTTGCAACCATAGTGCCATTTAGTGAGTGCAGCCTTGAAGTACAATTTCAGATTGAAATCTTTATGGTTGCGAAGTGTTGCGCTCCTGGCGGCGCGGTATGTTAAATCGGAGACGTTGAAAAATAACGTGTGCGTCAGATGACTCAGGCTGGACAAGCTCAGAATAAAATTTATCCTGCTTACGTTGATTTTTAATTTGCAAGATGTGCAGGAGATGCTAAAGTAGTACAAAAAATGTAAAACTAGATACAGCGCAACTGCACAAGAAAACTTATGTCATTTATGTGTACATATTACGAGGCCGTACAAACGTAAATGAGGCCTTGCTGAGGAGCAGCAGACCCAAAATCATTACTTTCACTCACTATTTGCAAAATGCAGGAACTCGCGCAGATACTTTTGTTTCATCTGAAGATGTAACGCTGTCTCTGATCAGGCATTACAAAGTGAAAACTCACCTGATTGTACACCTACCACATGGTACATACTGAAGTATGCGAATATGGTCACTCGCCACCTAGGTTGAATCACGAAAATTAAGCTAACAAAATTTGCAGTAAGATTTGCACTTTTGTCATCGTAAACCCGGATACTTCTAACGTTAGTTGTTTTGCTATTAGTTGATAGTCGCCGGAGCGGTAAAGTACAAAGGAGCGGAAGCTTAAAACGACACTCATTACATACATGTATATGACTAACGCAGCCGGGTACGGGCCTGCATTGCATAACCGTAAAATTTTGTATCTATCGTAAAATTTTGTAGTTGGTACTCGTAAAATTTTGTAGTCTGATTTGCCATCAAGCACAACAGCAGTTACATACCGACCATCGGAAGAATGCGGTACTCTTCTGTGACATCCGTATTCCTGCTTTTTTTAGTGCGCTTTTCTGCCAAAGGACTTCGGTTGGTAATAATAGGGCTGGGAACAGGACGGCTATATTGCCCTGAACCCGTACTTTTTCAATTTTTCTCTCCCTGAACCTGTCCTGTCCCTGAAACTCATCGTGTCGATCAACCTGAACCTGTCCTGAACCTCATGCCCTTCACCCTGAGCCTGACCTGAAAACCTGAGCGTGTTGAAATTAAATTTTAGTTTTAAAATTTTTTCCGCACTTTCACATCGGAAAGTCGATGAGCAGACAGTAGCGAAACGAGCTAACGCGCGCGTAGCGCGCGCATTTTTAGTGTAACGTACTGAGGTAGTGTGTTTTTATGCACTTTTAGCGCGTGATGCAGCCATCACCCGCAATTGTCAACTTGCGGGTGCCATGTTTGTCTTCCGCAAAACTGAAATTCCGATAACTTTAATTTTCTTTAAAAAATTCAGGTTCCTGCAGGACTGAGTTACGCCCTGTCCCTGAACTTTCAGGCAGTTTAATTACCCTGAACCTGAGGCAGATTTCAGGGCAGCATTTTACCCTGGAACTGTCCTGCAGGGACAGGATCCTGCAGGATCAGGACAGGATCCCTGCCCTGCGCCCAGCTCTAGTTGGTATGTATGGAAAACGTAAAGTTACAGAAACGCCACATGGGGGGTTTCTGTTGTTCGTTTGCTCACTTAGCTTATCTGTAGTAACACTGTTTGGTCCGAGGCATTGAGTGTTTGATGATATAAAAGTGATGTCGAGAAAAAACACGTACATCGGTTTAGAAAAAGGCGGTTTTAAAACTATTTTCGATGATACAGTATTCCGTGTAGGGTTTTCCCATATACCGGTCTTTGCACTTCCGCTGCATGTTTGCTGCATGCTTTCACTACAGTAGGCATTAATTAGGCAAACCTTCGGCTGCATGCAAAAACGATTCATCAACAGATAAAAGCGCTTTTAACTCTAGATGCCGCGATAATTTACAACGATGGAAATGAATATACGATACCACGCAACATACAAGCGAGCAAAGCCGCTAAAAAACTCAGGCAAATAGAAAATTTAGGTACCTGTAGTACTTATACTGTGTTTACTTATCCAGAAGAATATTTTGCAACTAAATTTCGTTTTCAGACTGCAAGCATTGCATGGAGAATATCAGAGCCGGAATGGCATCCTCGCCCTCCGTAATGTCTTTGCAGTATAATCATAAACCAATTCTGGCACTCGGGATACTGCAGGTGCTGTTTGGAGCGGCTATGATTATCACCGACATCGTCAGTAAGTAAAAATGCCGAAGAAAACTATTTGCTTCGCCGTGGCACATTTCTAAAACAAATACCGTTTAGATTTCAACATCATTCCGACTTCGGACAGCTTGTACTTCAGCCTCTTTGGCTCCGGTTTTTATATCGGCAGTTTTTACATCATTACGGGCTCCTTGGGGATTGCCGCCGGGAGACCGTTACCCAGCGGGCAATCGTCGCGTTCCCGCCGATGTCTTCTTCTCACCACCCTGGTGATGAGCATCTTGTCAACTATCATGGCAGCATCCTTGATCGTGGTGCTTGGATTTCTCCTGCACATTTATTTTCATGCCGGCGATGATGACGACAGTGGTACCTACTGCGGTAACTGGAAAGAGTGTGCAGTCTTAAGGGCCCGCGGCAAAGCCATCCTTTGGAGCTTCTTGGGACTACAAAGTATTATTTTAGTTTGTAGTTTGGGTCAGTCAGTTACTGCGGGAATAAACGGGCGCAAAATGCTGAAAGGCAACGAAATCCCACAAGTGGTGTACCTCCAGCCTGACGTCAGTTATCCACAAGGAGTGCCGGAACAGTGGGTTCCTTTCGTGGCAGAATAACTAGTACAATCGCCTTTTGCACTGATTTTAGTGCAGGTTCATTTATAATGCCGATGTTCTTAAACAATTAGCATGAGCGATGGTAAACGGAATTAAATGCATAATATGATATGCCCGGTAAAAGACACGTCGAATTATTATTTACATGAAACCAGTAGCGCCGCTTCATGGCGTCAAGAGCAAAATGCCAAAGAATCGTATGCAACTCCCCTACAAGATCATAAAACTGGTACATAGATTGTGCAATGGTGACCGTTTTTCAGGTGCGCTTTTTAGGCGCGCATAATACAGTAATGTCATGAAGCGACGTTAAGTGATCAATTAAACTTTACTGGCAGTAGTGAATTTTGCTTATTTGTGTACTGCTAATTTTTGATTAGAAATTCGGCAATAAATTATCATTGATTTGTAAGCATTGCAACTCATGTTTCCGGGGGGCAACCAATGGGTTGTGCTTGTAAGTGTCAATTTTATTATAAAAGCTGTTATAGATTTTTGCTTTTTGGCGACGACTTGGAAATTATTATTAAATTTACAAATTTCTAATTATGAATTTTAGAATACCCGTATTAACTTTAAGTCCACTGTCCAACAACAAATCTAAAGGAGTTTTGCACACATTCGCTTCTTGTCCGCTCGTGTTTTATCAGGACTGGTCGGCTGCTTAAAAAAATTTATTAAACCATTTAATTCATTGTTAACAAAATCACAGCAAAGCTGCCAAGAGAAACAACATCGGGCACTAATTATTCCCGAACAGCCGATCTAAATGCTAAGAAAATATCCTCGTTGTCTCTCATTTATTAAACGATAAAGACACGTGTGTAGAATGTAGATGTACGATAGCGAAATCAACAGGATAGTATCGAAACACATTATTTTACTTGTACATTACTACACCCTACATTTAAGTAGTTCTCGAATCTGTGTTCTATGCATTGTACATGCTTTATTTCGGAAATCAGCGATATAATATTATTATGTCCAAAGTTTAGCAAGGTGATTACAACAACGTACTTGTAAGAAGCATGTACTTGGAGATTCGTGTTGTCATGCTGCACACATGCTACGTCCTTGTTATTTGGCTATTTGGCTTGATGGTACATAATGCTGCCTGCACCATAACCTGCAGTTTCGGACAGTTTGGTTCACGAAAAGTATCAATTCACTGATTACTAAATAAAACGCTAAAATTGGCAAGGCTAGGAAAATGTGGGTTACGGCGGATTAACAGTAAAAACGACACTGCAGCAACATTTCCGTTAGTTTTTAACTCGACATTGTTTGCTTTTCATTCAAAAGTCAACAAAATTTAGGAAGTATTGCAACAGCTGCTGCTGGTTTTCCTACCGTTAACCACAAAAGGGTTGCTTTCTTAGTTATTTTGGAAGTGAAAAGAGATGTGACAATTTTTACACAGGACCTGAGACTGAGTACAAATACATAACTGAGTACAGAGTGGTATTGCCTATGCAAATACAGTTGGTTTTTAGTCAATAGCATCCGGATCGGCGCTGTTCAAAGCTTTAGTACGTCACAACCTACCTTATCATACTAACGTTTTCCTTTTACATACGCCAATGACCAAACCTACGATTAACGGAGATGGCCCAGTTAATGTATCAAACCGGCATGGATCCGCTGCACCTTTTTCTTTGCAAACTCCCAAAATTAGTACACTTTTTCGCATTGATTTAACGCATTAATTATAGCATTCTTAAGCGAAAGGTGTTGTACTCGTATACGACCAAATGATTTGTATACATATTATAGAAGCGGTTTGTGGGCCCAGCATCCGGTATCTCCCTCTAATATAATATAAGCGAGTTCCATTGGGGTTTGCAATCTGGTGATTTATAATGGGGAATTCGGGCGAGGAAATGAAAGAGCCATCAGAATTCGGTAACTCGACTTATCCGCCTACTGTCAGCGGAAAGGATGGCTCTCCATCAGTGCACTGCGTATTGGATTTGCTCCTAACGATCGTTTCGGCAATGGTTATCATAGCAAATAGCTGCTGGCTTCTGGCAGTTGTGCCATTCCAAGCTGCGCACGCAAATAGGTGTCTTTTTCGTCTCGATTAGTCTTTTTGATCTCTTGTTAAGTGGTGTGTCTTCCATCGCCACCTCAGGCTATGCATTTATCTGGGGATACATCGACACATCGGCGTCGACACCGTTTAGTGGCCAGCGAGCATGTACCGTGGCTTTCCAGAAAGATGTGAGGCTAGCGCCGATGTATTCCACGTAACCGTCATCTGCATTATTCGATATATAAAGACAATGCATCCAGGGATCCATAGAAAATGGATCAACAACAAGAAAGTCACATGTCTCCTGATACTTGCAACCACGATAACGTACTACCCTGCTTTTTGCCTGACTATTGGTAAGCGATAGGAGAATGGTTTCCGTGACAAATGATGCGAGTATGGTACTAAAAATTTTTGGAGGGGTATTAGAGTTTGTACGACCTTCCCGAAAATTTGACGGTTGACGACAAAATGCTGGCGCTTGATCCGGCAGAATTATCCGCCGCATACTGGGTAGGCGAATTGCCCGCCTACTGGGTAGGTTCTCGTTCAGATATTCTGCCCGCCTACTGCCCACCTAATGGGCACGATTTTCGATACTGTGACAAGGCTGTATCGAAAAGGGACCGGGATCTTGGCTGAGACTGTGCATTTGCGACTTCACGGGTTTTTTGAGAATAAATTTGCGGTCAGGGTACGAAGATAAGTATGTACGCCGATTAAATCCGTCCTTTGCTTACTGATACACTACTATTCAGCTACTGCATCACTCGACATACAACTTCAGATCGACTTAAGGCTTAACGCGCCACGGTGGCCGGTTAGCTGATTTGCACTTTTTATCGGTTCGACCAACCGAACACCAGCCTCGCATGTGACCCGTTACGTATCTGTCGATCTGACATCAGATAGATTCAGATTGCGTTTCTTTCAACTGATCGCTGAACGTTTCAAAAATTAGCGTTGAGCAAAAACGAAGAGCAGATAATAATGAAACGCTAAAGTAAGTCTGCATTCCGCACAGCGGAAAAAAAGTGCGTACGCATAATGCATGTGACATGCTCAATTGCCCATTGCCCACCTCAGCTCTACCCGAATATGCATTTGTTCTGCTCTAGTTATCATCCCGGCTGAAGTAATCTTACGTTAAACATCACGAATTCGGGAAGGAGCAACAGATAACAGTTGAAAAGCTTAAGAGCGAGTGAAAAACTTAACCTCCACATGAAATGATCCGATAGCTGAACCGAATAGTGAGAGTCATCAAACGACGGATTCACTCGAAGTATGCTTCTATTCGACATACCGTCTGAATGAAAGTTCGCATCTGACCACTTCAAAGGTTTTGGCCGTGTAAAAAAATCAGGCTAGCAGACAGTACGGCGAAAGATCTTTCCGCGGACGGCAGATTTGTCAATTTCCGACGCATCTGGCATCCGTTGTTCAGGATTTCTTGTATTACAGATAAATCATCGTGATTTTGTTTTTAGTTGCTCGCCCTGGAAGTTTTTGTCAGGATATGGTATTTATCGAGCAACGCCCCGTCTTGTACCACACGACAACTCTTTTGCTTTACGTGATCCCGCTGCTGAGTGTAACAGTTTTATATGGAAGGCTGTTGACGCATATGTACAATCGAGCGCAGATTTTACTGGATTCCAGGGCATCCATCCTACAGGGATCGCCGCCATCCGAACGATTTCTATGCACTTCCACAAGCAGAATGCGTACGTTTCTTCGCAGTAAAGAGTACAGAGCAAGCCGATTATATTTGGCCATCACGCTGGCCGTAGTACTCCCAGTAGGAGTGCACTGCGTCTTTCGGTTTATGGGCGAAGTGGACATCTTCGTTCATCATGAAAACTTTGGTATTGCCGGTCTAGTCTACTTCATTATGCTCTTGAATGCCGTTATTAACCCGATTCTGCTATTTTGTTTTAATCGCAACTACCGTATTGGACTGGTACTGACCTTTACCAAGTTGAAGTGCTTGAGCTGCTGGGCATTAAGTGACGGGATATTAACGACGAGCACGGCCAAGTGGGACGAGATGGCGCTGGCTCTTGAAAACAACGGTTAAGTGTCGTGAAGCTGCACGAGATTTCGTAAAAAGTCGCAGTTATTTAATCTGGTGAGCTCAGAATAACTGCCTGTGTATTGACTGCGCTTTGCAACATTATTGTCGGAGCATGCTGGATAAATGCCTTTGCCGAGCCAATAAATGCCGATTTCGCAAAGTCAAGCGCTGCCTGTTGTGTACCAACAAATGAGAAGACCATCGTGCCCGTTCCCCAGGAAAATGCATATCCGGTGCCCTTTTAATAGCTTCCGTCTGTTTTTGAATCATTTTTGAATCATCAACATTATCCAGTACTTTTTCGATCTGTTCACGATGCAGTTCGGGTTCTTGTTCGCAGTGCCATGGCAGATACGCGCACAGTTTTGCTTTGTTTGCCTAATTTCCGGGCAATGATTCCCATTGCCATGGGAGCGCATAGGACAAAAAGCGTTGCATCCAAAACTGTGTTAAGGTTTGCTATCAGTAGTCCAATCTCGTTGAGCAGTCTCCAGTGAGGGAAAAAATACTAAGCCACAGCCTGATAGCTCCATGTAACAAAATGAACTAGAGTCGCCCAAAAATAAGTCTTGAAACTGCTGCTTGATTGTCGCCCCGATCCAGCGTTTTCACCTAGAAACATTTCCAATTTAGTCAGCCTAATTCGTGCAAACGGTCATCAGTTTTATAAAATCTAGCGGTTACTACCGGTAATGTTTCGGCGTTTACGGTATCGCATGACGGCGACATAAACTGGCGACCCAAATAACAACACATAAACGGGTATAAACACCAGCCTGGCGATAGCAGAATAAATAGGTGCTGAACGATATGGTACGAGACACGGCACTTCAACGTCGCCGGGAGCACCCTCCAAAGTCAGCGGTACTTATGGCATACGGAAGGCGACGGTCAGCGTAATTGCCACCACACAGGTGACCACGGCTAAGCGGGCGGTGTGGAACGTTCGGTAGGAAATCGGAAAGGTCACGGTCCAAATGCGGTTGAGAGCCACCAGACAGTAACCAGCCGCTACCGGGTGTTCCAGCACGCCTTCCTGGAACATGCGCAGTCCGCAGGTAACTGTGTCATTCATCGTAAGACCCAGCGCGCGCGCAGCCAGTATGTGCCATAAGCTAGCGCATTTTACTACAAGTGACGTGGTGAAGCACAGCAGGATGTTGATGAGATAGACATTAAACGGGGTACGGAGGCGCTGATACGATAGAAACAACCCAACAATTAAAACCTCATAGCATAATTCCAAAGGGCTCACCACGGCTAGGATATAATTAATAATCAGCTTCACATGCTCAAACTCACTGGTATTGTTGATGCTAGAGATATTCGCAACACTGGATGAGTTTAGCATCTTCGCGGCGGATAGCTGATGTCAGTATTGTGTTCAGCGAAATTTAGCACGGTTAGTATCCCAGTTAACAGTTACTGATATAATTATCCGATCGGGTTTAGGTTTGTTGACAGGAAATAATGACTCAAATCCAATTACGAGGTTTCTTACGAGTTTCTACAGGGGGCATGTGTATCAGAAGTGGAACGACCTGCTACCGGAAACTAATTACGCTCTCGAAGAGTCGGTAAGTCGTAAACAATTTCAATCGAGGGAGCTTCTGGCTCCGCTAATTCCGCTTGGTTGCAGCGAAACACACAAAGAACGAGGACAGGTGTTTCCACGGATTACATGGCGCGTCGTTTGCGAGAAATATGAGTGTTCCTGTTTCCGGCCATGCATTAATACAATCTAGTACACACATTGTATCGCGTTATAATGTGCATAGTCACGACGATTAGGCGGCAAATTCTGTTTTCGCTGAATGGGAAACAGGTTCATGTTTTTAAATTCTCTGTTTGTTAAGCCATTGAGTGGTGCCACGAAATACTCGTTACGAATGAAGGCCGTGAAACCAAATGCGGAGCTCGAGAAGGAACTCTTGACTTATGGGCTCTGTGTTCGCGCCTTCACTGGTCTAAAGCCAGAGATTCCTCAAAGTCCGGGTCTTCGGATTCTAAACCGTGGGCTATTGTCACTACAACGCACTGTATCTCCAGTTCTACATTTGTGATCTAGCATTCGGTAAGTAAAGCATGGAAGATACGCTGTGCCACGGGGTATAGTATCGATTACCGGGCGCCATCCGTGTCATTTACATAATTAAGGCTGTTAACGATTTGTTTCAGTTAAATCTCGGTATAAATTTCAATAGAAACCATGTTGTTCTTATGTTTTTCACGTTATTTTTATGGTATTCCTAAGTTACGTTTATTTTTTTATGTTAAGGTTGTTATTCTTTGTATATCTCATGTTAGTTTTATGCTGTTCTTCATTCAAAAGAATAACATACGTAATAAGAACATAGGAAAAAACACAAGAAATACATACAGTACAAAGCTGTCAAGTGCAGGGTTACTCTACAGTACATAAAAATAGCACAAGAATACTACCCGTAGTAACATATAAAAAATTTCTTCGAAGGTGAAGGCGAATGCGCGTCGCTCAAATGTCGGAGGCGAAGGAGAAAGCGGAAGGTAAAGGATTCTCATATCCAGCCCGTTAAATGGCGTAGGTACCCGTTACAAATGTTAGTACAAATCATGATGCAGTTTTATGAGAAGTACTGGACTTGTGCGATATATTTCATAGAACGTCCAAGTTAGGACATTAAGTGGTTCCATAGGAATGACACATTTGGTCAGGACACGAGTGGTTCTCCAGGTTCTGACCAATGGAACCTCCAGAATATACATTCTCCAGAATATCCTTATTTCAAGTAAAAAACATTGGTTAATGGTTATTTGCAACAGGCACCGATAGTAGTGCAAGGCATATTTGCCAACCGTCAGCCATTCTGCCCGTCAAAATAGTTAACAAACCTTTTTGCCGGCAAAAAGGTTTGATTCGTGAGCCGTGAGCCTGTCGGCCAATGTCAAAAGAAGGAAGGAAATTTTAGAGGAAGGAAATTTTTTTTTGTGTGGTCAAAAGGAGGAAGGAAAGTTTCGAGGAGGGAAATTTTTTGGGGTCAAAAGGAGGAAGGAAATTTCTCAGGGCAAAAAGAGGAAGGAATTTTTTTGACAAAATCAAAAATTTTCTGGTAAAAAAAATCACAGGCATCGAACATCCAGCACTACGCGCATGTGAAATACGCATTTCACAAATAACATTATAGAAAATAGCAGACTATTGCACAATCGCTATTGAAGTAGCGCATAATACTGTAGGTCTGCCGCGCACTTTACCACAGCGGGCACTGTACATCGGCATGACATAACATAATACGCGCGCCGCGAAGCCAGATGTAAGGGGCCAATAAATTTACGAACAAAAGCTTTTCACGATAACTAGAAAGTGTGATCTTGTCTGATCCCTTTTCTGCTCCTCAAAACAACCAAACTTTCCTAGGTCCAGACCGACAAAGCTGACTAGTGCCAACTACAGTCTAGTCGGTAGCTGGGTAAAGCGCTGAGACACATGGGCGCATTCTACACGCCGCATTACTTCTCATGCTGCATTTCTGTTCACAAAGAAAATCCTTGATTTTCAACTATACGGAACATATGAAACTCGGGAGCATGTAAGGTGCACATCCAGCGCAGAATTAAAATCGGTTCTCAAGCCGCTGCTGCGTGCGGTAGCGAACGAGTAACTGCTAACGAGGCTCTTTACTGGAGTCGGTTGTGAGCTAATACTAAAAGTTGCCCCCGTGGTATTTGAAATTGCCAAAGTTGGTTGGTAGTAGAAGGGTTAAACATGAAATGCAAAATTCTTCTTCCGAAAGCGGATAAATTTTTTCATTTCGATCGGCTCCTGTATTTCCAGATGAGTCACCAATCAGTCAGATTTCAGGGTTGACTGTTGCGTCAATAGCTTACGGAACGGGTGTTCAGTTTAACTTGCAGCAGCTCTGCGCTACCGACTCAACCATAATCCTCCTCGTAATGAACTTCCAGTAAATTACTTCTACCTTTATAGTCCAAAAACAAAATAATTATGTACACTATAATTTAACTTGAAAATTGGTTTTTTATATTGGTTTTTTATGAATATGGATTTTAATACATTTTTAAATGAAATATGAGCGAAACATTTGTAAGTGAAGCACTTTCTACGCATCCCGCGCTGCATCACAAAGGAGAATGCAAGTTGCATGACCGTGTTGCTTTAGTGTGTTTCTACTTTCTACCGAACAAACGCTTTATGCTTTCAGATTATATTTTTCTCTTTGAATGCCACCTACCGCGCATCCATGCGGGATTTATTGAGGAAATTTGCCCCAAGTGTGATGGTCATCATTGTAAAAAAGTGGACCCATCTGTTAGTATGATAGTTAAAGTTTTGTTAAAACTTTTGCTATTTTAGGCTCTATCTCCACTGCCTAAAATTTAGTTTGTGGAATGTCCATGAACTGGTTACTGGAGTCTGGATTACTGGACTGGCTGTGAAATTGGGACAAAGATTCACCAGCCTGTGCACTAGAAGTATGCGGAGTACTCGTATAAAATAATTAACGTATTTTACTGCCCTGATTTATACTTGTCTGCGGACTTGTCTACTTGTTTATCAGTGATATTAATAAGCCTCCATTACTTGTTCACGTCAAAAACGGTTTACCAAGATGTCCGGGCAGTACACAGTATACGTCAATAATTAATTAAATTTAATCCGAATGGCTTCGCTGAGTTCGTTCGGATGTTGTGCCATATTTATCTCCTGTTGCAACTCCCGTATAATGCTAACTGCAGAGGCGTCTCTACATCTTACAATATTTACGTGGTGTCTGCACCATGTAATATTGGTACATGTACTTTGGTTTAATGATATTGACAATCGTTCGTCGACAATCGGATAATAACAATGCAAGATCGAGAGATTTCTTAATATTCTTTCCACACTTTCCAGTCAGTTTGGCGAGATTATTAGTAATGCCTAGTTAGCTTTGTTCGGCGTTAATTAAATTTTGTAGTCGTATGTACTTAAAAAACGAAAAACAAGTTCGAATTAAGCCGCTCCAGTACAAGAACAAAAAGGTACCGTAGGACCAAACGTCGTTATTTCACATAGTACCAGAGGGCATGCAAGCACAACTTGTTCAGCTTGCGTACGTCCACGTTGGCGATGTCGTCCTCCGTCATCAATACTCCGTGGCTGTACGCTGAGGAACGCGGGTCAGTTCCTTCATATGCTTGTAGAATCTACAAATCAACAGAAGGCGTTATGTTAAGAAAACAAAAAAACTATCTGGAACACAGATAAAAAAAACTTTTAGTACAAATTTGAGACGTAGAAAGAGCGAAGCAAACTTACTCCGCCGTCAACTAACTTCATCACGAAAATTACTTTTTCGTTATATTATTCTGGCACTCACCCGCACCCAGAACAGACACGGCGAGATACGTACTAGCACGCTGACTGGGGATACTGATTATACGAATATTTGTTTGCTTATTAGACTGGTATTTTATAACTCACGTTTTGTAAATATGAGACACCGTAAAAGCATCTTAAAACTTTGCTTTATTTTCATTTACTTTACTTTTTATTTGTTTTTTCAAATCATTTTATTTATTTTATCAAAATATTTATAACGCTTATTTTATTTTTATTTATAACCACAAAATACATAAAAGATAAAACCCAGTCAGCAACTTGCACCACAACCACGACGCAGTTTGGGAGGGCCAGAATAATTCAATGCAAAAACCAAAACACAGGTGCGCTTGTGGTACAGTACCGCTTGGATGTGCGCAAAGTGGCCTTTGGCAATATACTGTGCAATGCGCTCCATATCCAGCGCCGGTCCGCTGCAGAGCAGATGCTTCTCCGCCACTTCCCAGATCTGCGCTTCGTCTGCATTGCTTAAGATAAAAACCTCAAAAGGAATACGAAATTCGAGAAGTATCGTCGCCCCGCTCTCCTCTCTTTGCTGCAAGGACTGATCTTTCCAGATCAGACGGTCACAGACAGTCGACAGGCTAGAACGCAGCGCGGCCATCGTGGAAAATCCATGTTTCAATATCAACGGATAGTCGATCGTCAGCGAGCAGCGGTGCATAATTATACGCTGAACACGGATACCGGCTTTGTCGGCCGCATGTTTAATCAACTTCAAGGCCTCATCGACCTTACTCAAATCGCTATAATTGCTGCAGTTCACATCGGTGTCGTGGATGCAGACGGTTTCCGTATCCCGAGAAATGTACTTGAAGAGACAGTTGTATACGACATAATTACCGTTCCATTTCTTCGCCAAATGCGGTGAAAAGGCGCGATGGATACATGAAGCGTGAACATCTCTGCACAGCTCCGCCGAAGTGAGAAGGGTTTCCCACAGTTGACAGGTGCGCCGGCAGCGCTGTCGATCGACGGTGTCCAGTGAAAAGAAGACCTCCTTCAGCACCTCCACAGGCAACGCCAAAGCGCGCCCCATCTCGCCGCCCGGCGTTTTCCGCTTTGGTTCATCATCTTCCGGATTTCCCGAATCATCGAAACGACGATTTCCGAAACATCGCTGTCTTTTCCGATGGAACATTTCTACCTAAACGAACATCACTAGTTATTACAAATTTGTAAAATGGTTTCTACTCAGATCATGAAATTTGTTGAGCGTTAACAGGCTGTTAGATTTAATTTTTAAGAAACACTACATGTCTCCATAGCCTATTGCCAATAACCACGGACATTTCTCCAATCAACTTACGATTTCAGATGACGTGACGGGAACCCTTGTGCGCAAGTGCACGTAGTCCATCTTCTGGCTTAGAATGGAGAAAAATAGCATACAATATTCTTCCTCAATCTCGTGGAGTAATCTGGTCGCAAAGGAACGATCCAGAGTCCAGTAGTCAACCGGCACTTCACATGTTCCAATAAGGAAATGTCCCGGTTGAAGGCGCGTTCTTTCGGGTTGATCCGGCGAGGAAATCAATCGGACCTGTCGGTTGGGAAGCAGCTCACTAGTACGTTTGATGATAAGTGATCATTCTGGCGCCATTGGGCGCCACCCCTGATCCACTGCCCCCCAGAAGCAGCAACCCCCAACTGCCCCTGGAATTAAATAATAAATTAAAATAAATAATAAATTATTATTTACAAAATTAAAATAAACGTCTGACCAAATTAATATTTTAAATATTAATAAGGCCGGCAACCAACCACCCATGGGCCAAAGTGACGTAGGTCGCTACCTGCGAAGCAGGCGTCAACCAACCCGCGGGTGGTCAGGCTGTGCGGTACATATAGCGGTCATAAGTACTGTACTGTACTTAGTTGTCTCATCTCTGCAGCCTCAAAGAAGTGGGACTCAGTACGTACTGGCTACTCTCGCTGCTGTGCGCTGCAAACGTCTACTTATTCCCTGCTGCTTGTACACGCAGGCTTATGGAAGATAGAAAGAAAGAATGCAAGCCGTGTGCAAAGTCACAGCTGTATTGCTGGCCGCTGCTTATTTATTCAGTGTGCTCATTTTCATGTCTTCAGTGGTAGACTGATAAAAAAAACTGCATGTGGAGGAAAAAATGGCCATCTAGCTCAAGTTCTCATGGCTCTTATCAGCGTAATGAAGCGTAAACAGTGTCTTACAGCAGAGAGAATTTTAGCTGTAATGGCATCATAGTCTTATCTCCTGGTAATTTTTTCTCTTTCAAAAACCGTCGGCCCAGAGAATGAGAGGAAAAATGAGGTAAGTCGCGATGTTGAAAACTAACTCAACCATCAGTTGATTATTTGCGCATTCAGTTGAGTCATTTGCATTTGGAATGATGTTTTGCCAGGCTAGAAAATTTGTTAACAGCTCTTATGTGACATAACTATAATAACTGTATTCATTCTAATTGACCTGTGTGTTTACCGTGCATAACAATGGCAGTGGTTTTTAACCTTATTATTGCCGGGGCTGTAATGGGTGTAATTACTGTATGCAGCGTTGCTTACGGACAGTACTATCCCATCGTCGCTACCAACACCGCCGCCGCCGCCGCTTGTCCATACTTCTGCACTTGTAAGCCTACAATCTGGCAGTGCTCAAGCAGCAGCTCGATGACCTGGCCGTTGGATAATCAGCCTCATGTAATTGTGAGAGGTGTGAAGATGTTGGACATGACAGGATCGGATGTGAATGTTCTTCCAAATTGGCGGCCTACCCATAATTTCCCGGATTTGCAACTGATCTTCCTGGTCAACACAATTTTGACGGTTATCAATGTCGTGAATTGGAGTGCCTGGAGAAACTGGGTCTGAAGATCATCGCTCCCCGATGCGGAAAAGGTTAATTACCAATAAAAAGTTTCTGTAAATAGTTTTCTTGACTCAGAATCGTTTCCCATCGAAATAAGTTTCACGCAGAAAATGTATATCCATCCGTAGACAAGCGTAACGGCTGCGCGTATGCCCCGTGCTGTCCGTGGTCCAGCCGCCCTACACCAACCGGGTTTCCAACACCCTGGCCTTTGCCATATCCGCCCAAAGTCTTCACTACCACCCATGCTGGTAAGTAAAGATTCAGTCAAACATTATTTTCGATAGAAGGTTCGGATAGTTCTTGTTGTATGTATGTAGCTGCCGCTATAACTACAACAACGGCCGGGAGCAGTGGCGCCTGCGGCAAGCACAAAAATTGTGCAAGCGACGATTACATCACCTGCCCCTTTATTAATTACGGTTAGGCAAGAGAGCAAAAGCAGTAGCAGCAGCAGTAGCAGCAGCAGCAGCAGCACCACCACCACCACGACAGAATCGGCATTTACGTCGAGTGATGATAGCGCATACGTTGTTTCTCCTGTCTTGACCGATGCTGCTACGGCCGTGATAGATCCCACCACCATAAAAATTTCGAATTTATCGTCAACTTTATCTATGCTGTTGTCTCCACCTGCAGACATTCGTTTTGAAATAAATAATATCCACCCTTCCTCCGTCCCATTGTCCACGGAAATAGAAAATGAAATGGACACCAGCAGCAGCACTAGCGCGCCTGCTGCTACCACATATCAGGTGATAAACAGTTTCCCCGACGACAGCACCACGGTTCATACCCAAGTTACTGAAACCTTTATGGATGAAGGGGATAGTAGCGGGGGAGTTGGTGGCGCTGATCGGAAGGATTATGGAAACGATCGTTCATCTATCCCCCCGTTTTCCTCGGAAAACAATATAACTTCAACGAGAAGCTACATACCCGATATTTTCACCACCGCTACCGCTGCTGTATTTGACCACAAGTTATCAGCGGCCATCACCACCACCACCACCATCAGCACCAATTCCGTCTCTGTTATCAAATACGTTGCTGAGTCGTCGTCGTCGTCATCGACGACGACACCCTGTACCTCGCGTCGACATTGGCGACGGTGAACCAAACGGGAGACAATTCAAGCGTAGCAGATGTATTAATCTTGATCAGTATTGACGGCAGCGATGTAAACATATCCGGAACAGATAACAACATGTCTAACCACTCTTACCTTCTTGAGGGAGGTCGTTCACCCGACTCTGCAGCTACAGCCATGTCAACCATGTCCACCGTGCTTTTAGGTAGTAGCAGTGGCAACGACAACGATGACGACGACAACAACTACAACAACAACAAAGCCAGCCACAGCAGCAGCAGCAGTGCACCACTTCTGGATACTAGCGGAATAATCGGGATCGCTGTGGGAATTGTCCTGCTCGTCCTGGCTATCCTGGGATGCGCGGCATCACGCTACAATTTATTTCAGCGCTGCATGGCACGGCTGCACGCACACAGGACTGTCGATCTTTTTGCGGTTCGAATTCCCAGAACTCCATCCGCTCCGCCACATCCCTTTGGTGGCCCTGGCAACGGCCGCCAACCACCGCGCTCATCGCGCCCATCAACATTCTTGGGATTCCATAACTCTAACGCTAATCTAAGAGGTCCCTGGCCGCCAGGATCCGCTGCAACAACAGCTTCGCCTCATCATCCACCTTGTCCAAATGACGGTAAGTATGCGTGCATGTGGCACGCCAGCCGTGCTTTGTGTTGCGTGTCTTTTAGTTGATAATCATAAACAGCGCTTATAGACGTTACCGGGTTTGACGGCATTAACACCGCTGACCCTAACCAGGAGTGGGAAAATGTGAATTTGCGACTCGACAACAGTATTAATCGTCTAGGCGAAAGAGTTAGTGTCATGCGGGCAGCTCTGTCTCGCGGAGAACAACAGCAGCCGCCGCCACAACTACCGCACAGGCAGCCGGGGAATTTTTCCCTGGAAAGCGTTTCTGGAAGCAACCCACCATCAGATTCCTCTTATCACAGCGCCATCGACCCGGAGCGATACAACAACACAGGTATCACCGCAGTGTTGCTTGGTTAATTGTGTTAAACAGTTGTGTGATTTGTGTGGTAATGATATCTGTAGACCGGGAAGCTGTTAACGATAGTATGGCCCATTTCGTGGAGAATATGGATGAACGGACCAGAAGACTGTCTGCTGTGTGGAGCCGAAGCGTGACGGACCCAGCCTTTCCCGCCCATATGGCCGCCTTCTCGACCAGTATTCTGTATGATACTGTTGCAAGTGGACCGGAAGGAGAGCGTCAGATGGCTGATGGAATTCGAGCGTGGCGCGAAATGGACTTGGAAGTTCGGGCACAGGGTGGTCCAAGCGATGAATTTGAAGCGCAGCGTGAAGAATTCAAACGTCGCCGCGAGCGTTTCAAGCGACTTCGGCGTCAGACACAGTAATTCGATCATCGGTTGCGTTTCCTTGATTGATACATTGTATGTATATACCTATACCCACACAATTTTGTATTTTAATACCCAGAACTAAGGTTTTGAAATTTGTTACGGAATTGCTTTTTAGTTGATCTTTTGTTATATGGCTGCATAATGTTGGAGCTTTTTTGTTTCGACAATTCCTGTTATTTCCTATGCTGGATCACTTACGTTTACATTATGTTCCCGGGATGGCAAATTTGTACAGTCACTTTTTTTATTTCTTGGATGTTTCATTGGTTGAACAACAAAACATTTCCTTCGTTGTTAACAAAAAGGCGGCTTATCAACTAAAATTCCACGCATATGCCCAGTTTGAATTCGTTAACAGATTCGAATCATCGTTGTCGCAACACGGCCGTTCCGTAAGTCAACCTCGTTTTACACACGCTTGCAAACAAACGTATTAGCCTGACATGCTAAGCAAATCATGCATAATTTCCCATTTTTTCGTACAATGACAGTCGAGCAGCTTCTGCAATGCTGGCACTGAACAAATTGATTGAAGTAGTTCTTTATAACCTGGAAGATATGCCGAAGATTGAAGTGGCGGTAAAGTTCCAGGTAGTTGTATTTCTGGTAAACATCATGAGAAAATCCTCGTGGCAGATCCACCTCTGTTCCAGTGCGTTTAATGGCTGTTGTTCGCAAAGCGTTTTGAAAATAGGTGTCCAGAGGAATGAGGCTTTGTTCCATGAGGTTTTGGAACTGGTAAAAGTTTACTACGCGTGTGATGTTAATCATCGTGTAGCGGTAGCGTAGAATGGGCTTGGGAAGAGGCTATATAAAAACAGAACGCCATAAGTAACTGAAAAATTTGAAATTGAGGATGTCGATAAGGCTTACCAGGATTATGGAGCACGTCTTGGTGCACAGCTGCAGCTCGTTCCGTATCTGGCCGGTGTCGAGATATCCAGTGTACTTTTCGCTGCTCCCTGCATCGGGGTGCTTTGGCGGAGTGAAATAGCTGCTGTCATTGTTGTTGTTGTCGGAGATGGTTCATTGGTTTCCAAAGGGTGAAGGGGGTGAATTATATGGCGAACGATATCGGTAAATCATACTGGGTCGGAAGCTAAATCTTTGCCGCCCGTTTGTCCTACTGTTATAACCACTGCTCATGGTGATGCCGGCGCCGTCGTCGTCGTCGGTGTCGTTGTCGATGTCGTCGCTGCCTTGGAAACAGAGGCGATGCGGGGTGGAGAATCCAAGATTTCTAATAAAAGTCGAATATAATGTACCAGTAGTTTCCGAGCAAGTAGCCTAGCAGCATCCGCTTTTGCCAGGTGTGTTGTTGGTCCGCTCCCTATTATAAAGAGATCTTCGTTGGCAATTGCTGCCTGATAATTCCAGTTGTTCGCGTCGATGGACGGAAGTCGGCGGTATTCCAAATCAAAACCGAGTATGTTTGCTAGGCTTTCCGCGAGTGCCTGATAAGGCGGTTGTTTTCTCGGGGCGAGAGAGAGGGATGGATCTGGCGTAGGCGCTGATTTACTGGTAGTAGTTGTGATGGTAGTGGTGTTAGTGGATGTGGATCCTGATTGTTGCTGCCTTCTTTCGCTTTCCAACACTTCCAAGAGTTTGGTATGGTAATTCCGCAATAAAATAGCAAGTAATTTTTTAGCCGCGTCCTGTTTGGCTGTCGCTGTTGACTTTCCAACACCTATTGCAAAAATGTGTTCAGCCAAAATGCCGGCTTGGTGTTTGCAGCAAAACGGTTCGTTAACTTTCTTTGGAACACTCTTGTAGTCAATTTTAAAAGATAAAAGTTTCCCGATAGAACTAACAATAGTTGTAAAGAAGCGGCGCACCATTCCCAAAAATCCGCAAAACTGCACTGACTGCAGCATCGAATTACGCCGGGTGATAGCTATTATATATTATACGGCTTGCATATCGGATCTGCTTAGTTGCAATGCTCACATGCCGTGCTGATTCTAGCCGCATCAGCCCCCTGGATCGATGGGCCGGGTCAGTGCGATAGTTTCCCATGCGCCTCACCCCCTGTTGTGAGACGTCCAGCGGAGTATAAGTCACATAATGTCACCACAACTGTTTTGTGTGTTCAGCGTGTTTATCACCCTGTATAAAAGCGGTGTACATAGACAAAGAATGACATGTAAATAAGAACTTGGCTTTTCGAGATTTCTGACAACCTTCTGCTCGTAAGCGGATGCGAAATCGAATTATATCTCCGATCATAAATTGTTGTGTAGTCAGGAAAGGCCCCCCTCCGCATGACTATAGATTATTTGCTGGCTGTGGAGTTGATTATTGTTCTTGTTACGTGGAATTATTCAGAGAGGCTCTGCTGCTCCCGCTTCCGCTCCCGCTTCCGCTTTCGCTAAGAAACACAAAACCCGGCAAAAAGGTAAGAAAGCTGCAATGGCGCGAAAAAAGTTATTACCAGCAACCGCCACTGAAAGTCGGCGAAAGGCTTCCTTTCTGAAATCGCTCTATACTGATATTACGTCACCGGGGTATTTGGGTGGAACGATGACTCTATACCGGCTTGCTAAAGAGGCAGAGAAAGCTAAGCACCTGACGGTAACCCTACAGGACGTCAAGGATTTTCTTTCTGAGCAAAAGACTCATACGTTGCACAGGCCTACCCGAATTAAATTTAAGAAATTAAAAAATTTTTGCGTTGGCGTGGATAACGTTTGGCATGGTGACCTGGTGGAGCTGCAGAAAGTTAAAAAATTTAATGAAAAGTTCCGCTACATTCTAACGACAGTAGACTGCGTTAGTCGTTTTGCTACATCGTACCCGCTGGTCAACAAATCGGGTGAAACTGTTTCGAAAGCGCTGGATATAATTTTTCAAAAGCGGCGGCCCGTTGTTTTTGGTGAGAATGAATAACGAGACTGAACAGCACACGCTATCCTAAATATACAGAAAGCTTTTGTAAATTTAACTGTTTTAGTTACTGATGCGGGAAAAGAGTTCATCAATGAAAAAGCAAAATCCGTATACGACAAACACGGCATACGCCACCAAATATCGTCTTCAAGATTTAAAGCCGCGCTAGCCGACGTTTCAATCGAACTCTTAAAACGACATTATTCCGTCATTTTACGTTCACGAAGAGTTCAAATTGGTTTTCAGCGTTGCAAAATATTATTCAAAATTATAATGGAAGCGTACATAGTGCTGTGAAAATGAAGCCGGGAGAAATCACGGTCAGCAATCAATCGCAGTTATTTAAACTGGGCCAGGAAAAGCGGTTTATTAAGTTGCAGAAGGCAGCTTTTAAAGTTGGTGACAGAGTCCGGATTGCACTTAAGAAATCAACATTCAGCAAGGGATACACTCAAACGTTCTCCGATGAAATTTTTCAAATTTCCGAAATTTTGTTTGGGCCGGTGATAACGTATCGTCTGCAGACGCTCGATCGCGTACCGAAAACTCTCTTGGAAGGCAATCGGCCACTGCAGTTTTATAAGGAAGATATTTCCAGAGTGGGGTCAGGAAGAATTAAATGAAATTCTGAAACTGTATGATCAGTCAGTTGTGAACTTTTCATATTTATAAGGTAAACCTGTCTTTTTGTAGGAAACCATGATGGAGGGAGGATTTTATACCGTACTGCATAGCGGAGCTTCCGTGGCTTATGGCTCACTGGTGCTGCGCAACACCGCCACAATTTTCCAATAAACAACAACTACCGATTTTATCCTACTACGAACAGCAAGTGCCTTGGGAGGTTGCCCTGGTTAGGGCGTTCACTTCAGCGGAGCTCAGCACCATCCACCTGAGCATCGGCAGCTGACAGTCTGCGTAAACAGTGCTGATAGCCAACTTTATTTAGATGCCTACCTTGCGGAGGCTGAATTCGACAAATCGCCGCGTGACTTCGTTGCTGCCGTGTCAAAGGCAGTCCAGATGATGGTCACCAATATGGCTGGAGTAATTGCGCCTTTAATTTTGCTGCAAGAAGGAAAGTTGCACTGGCTGAGTCAGAACGAGCAGGTGCAAATTGTCAATAGAGGTAACCTGCTGTCGGTGGTACTGGGTCTGCTCTACGATGACGATGCCGGCGTAATGCGTCAAGAAGTGGCTGCAAGCGCATATTTTCACGATCAAAACTTCCAAAAATATGGAGACACTCGGCTCATTCGAAATCGTCTGCCGGTGGACACGCAGCGGGGGCGCAAGCAGGCCATTATCTGCATGAATCAAATAGTTTCTTTTGCCTTCGGAAATCGGACGGAAAATATTCTCGCGGTAGCCAGTGTCGATGATTTGAAGAAAGGTTATGAACCAAAAAGTCGCATGTATGTCCCCGTCAAAACTGGTTCTACAAGTCCAATCCCACTGTTACCATCCAATCAGACTGGAAAATGCCTTGGAATGAAAATGCTCTGGGAGAAACCACTCTGACGCTCCATTATCGAAAATGCCAATCCAATAATGGGAGAGCGGAAAAATCGGAGACTTCTTTTCGTGAGTGAGTAGTTCTGCGGTTTTGCTAATTTGTAACCAGCAGCGTTTTTTGTGAAACGAATGTGTGTTGCGTATTTCTTGGAACGTGAAAAGCGAAAACGTTAGTGTTTGTCTGATTGTTTGTGGATCTGCTTGATGTTTAACGGAAAAGAGCGTTGTTGCACCGCCGACTATAAAAGAAGAAGACCTAACCATTCAGCATTCAGTCTGTGCTAGTAGTTTGTGGTACTCTCTTAAAAACGGCTCGCTATCGGAGAAAAACAAGTGGGAAAAGAAGAAGAAGGAGAGGGCGCATAATTAAACGAACAATTGTCCAATCAACGGCTGTAATTGGGCGAGGGCCGATATTTGGCACGAGAAAAAAGACGACGAGGGCGAGGCCGACGTAGGCGAAGACGTACTTTCGAACCGGATTATTTCAAAAGGTCACAAAAGGAAAAAGTCTAGCTTCAATAGTCTAGTTCACACGCACGCACACACACGCAAACAGTTGGAATGGCTACCCTAAAAAACCAGTATACAATCGAGGAGTTTCCAGACGAGCTTCAGCTGTTTGATCCACCCGTATCACAATCTACAGTAGAATCGTATCATTATACGGATGTCATGCCACTGAATCAAATTGTAAACAACACTGACGTTATTGAATTTCTCATTCCTGCAACTGAATATTACTTAGACCTGTCAGATGTGCTGCTGAAAATGAAATGCCAGATTTTGGATCGTGATCCTACCAA